TCATAAGAAAAATGTCTCTCTGGATAGATGCTTTGATACAAGCTCGTATCACTAGAAAGAATGACAGAACATGTGAAGAAGCTGTTTCAGCTACCAAATACAAGATGAGAAGTATTCAACAAAAGTATGGTTTTAGAGGTGAGTAGAGATGAGCGAGAGGTTCTGAAGGGGTTTAAAGGTTGTGTTGTTGAGATGCTAGGATAGATATATGGTTGAGGACAAATTCAACATCAATAGGGTGTTACAAAGATAAATTATATCCCTCTGTATTATGAAATCTTAAGTTGATTGATGATTTGACGCTTAGAGTCTTTTTTGGAAACCTATTATTTTAAAGAAACCAATTACTAGAAATCTAGTGGTTGTTTCAATTATTGATGAGAAATGTGAATTTGGAAAATGAACTTAATGGAAGTACTTGTATAGTTAGAAAAGATTAGAAATATAAGAACGTTGTCTGTTAAAAAAAAAAAAATTTTTTGTCTCTTGCAACCCGAATAATCATGTATTTAATTTATCTTTGCTTTAAATGTTTTTATTGGCGTGTAAAAAGAGCTCAAAACATCTAGATTTAAATTCTGGAGCTTTCGCGAAATTGAAATGTTAACCAATTTTTCGTGAAAAATCAAAAAAAGCATAAAAGTCGCAAAATTAAAAAAAAATATAGATTGCAGCACCTGAGTTTCGCGTATGGTCTCCCACTACACTACTCGGTCAGGCTCTTAGCAGCTTAACTACAGTTGATCGGACGGGAAACGGTGCTTTCTGCTAGATATGGCCGCAACCGAAAGAGTTTGAGAAATGAAAAAACAAGTTGTGCTGTCAGGATTACGTAAGTCTTACCACGATTTGCTAAAAGAGTCTTGATTATTGGTACAGTAATATGTTATATGTTATAGATTAGGCTAATCTAAGAACTATCTATTATCAATTATTGGAAAAAAAAATACAGATTAAAGGGATCCTTTTAATTTTTAGTAGATTGGGAGGTGTAGGGAGGGTATAACAATCTTACCGAACTATACTAGTGTTTACATTTAAAGCCGAAGCATACTGCACAAAAGATAAAGTTTGAGCAAAAAGAGGGCATTGAAGTGCAAATAGTTTCATTTCTATAGAGGCAATCTATTCAATTATCTAAGTATGGCTTTAAGCTTTAAGTATTCTGCAATTTGAAGGTTGGAACTTTTGACTTTCCAAGAACAAGTATGTCATTCCAGATTGATCCAAAGGAATAACAGACTTCACCACCACCTATGCAGACTAATGAATCCTCATATTTCAATAATTCAAAACCAACAAGAAGTGGTAAACGTTCCCAAACTTCATCTGAGATTTCAACTGCCTTCACCTCTTTCGTTGATAGAATGATTTCAACGATAGTTGTTTCCTGGTTGTGTAACATCATATCACTGACACCACCAATTAATAGTAGAACATCATCTGAAATGAATTGAACTTTAGCCCCATATCTTGAAAGTAGAGGATGTTCAATACAGAAGTCTATATTGATAGTATTTCCTTGGATTTCAAAAACATGCAATGAGTCTGTGATATTGTAGTCTCCATCCATTCCTCCAATGATAACACCTTTAATACCATTGTAAGCAACAGCAGATGAAGTTTTGCTATCGATTTCACCAAGTGTAGTCATAGCTTGCCATTTGTTGTTGTGGAATTTCAAGAATGGTGATGCAGAAAAATTACCACCATATACAAATAAATTGTTTTGATCACTGAATGTCGAGTGTCTAGATCTTGGTTCTGGTAATGGTGGACTTTCTATCCATTTGAACGACCCATCATGTTCTTTCAGTACAGAACATTCTGACAGCGGTCTATTTGGTGCATGTCTCCCACCAACTATTAAATAACTACCATCTTCTAGTTGATCCAAAGAGTGCGCCATCCTAGGCGACAGCTGAGTGTCATCGATTTCCCACGAATTCTCAAGCTTTGAACCAACCATTGTGCTTTTTAGACGTGATATTGAAGCACCCCCATTGAGTAGTATTGTGCCATCTTTTGAAACAGTTGCAGCTGGAAATTTTCTTTCCAAATTTGGAATCCTATCTTGAAGTTTAAAGTCCAAATGGAGTTCAGACTTTTCAGCATTAAATGGTACTTGGATATTTTTATCAAGTAGTGTGAAGTTGGAGTTGGTTGCATGGAGAATGATATAATGTTGAGCGAAATGAATGAATTCTTTCATTTCATCAAATGCTTCAATCTCTTCCACTCTTTTACGAAGATCTTTCGAAAGTGAGTTCCAAAATCCCATTAGATCAGTAGCTTCTGCTGCTGGATAGCCACAGGATTTGAATCTTTCAATCTGTAAAGGAATGGTTGGATATGTTGATACCGAATTTAAAGGGGAGTTCAGTTTGCTGAAATGGAAAAGCATTGTCCTACCAAATCCTTGATATTCACCGGCAGGAAGAAGTTGCTCGAGACATAGAAAATGTGAATCTGGGAGCTTTGAAGTTGCTGAGATCACAGGGTCTGCAAACTTTGGTAACATATAAGCAATTGAAACTTCTGCAATAAAGATTTTTGTGACATTTTCACTATCTAAGTCCAAACTTCTCAATTGTTTCAAGAAAAGATCTATATTCTTAAGATCACAAGACAGAACAGTGTAATTTTTGGTTTTTAGCTCAACACCTTCAATTGAAGATCGTATCCTCTCACCTATGATCTCTTTGAGTTCGTTTGAGTTGTCGATCATCTGTGTTTTAATCTTATTCAAATCAGGATAGTCAACATCAACAAAAGAAAGTTTCCCCAAATGTTTAGAGTTTTCAGGATTTTGAGGATCTAAATATTGGAAAGCTAAAGGATCATACCCAGCACCTAGATTGATGATAACCACCTTTTTCTCTTGTGATAATGCATTTTGGATGATTTTAAATGTTGATTGTTTGATGGATTCCATACGAGTCCAGTAACCTCTATTGATAGTTGGAGATCTTCTTTGGAACTTTTTCACAAAGTGCTTGAAGTACTCAGGCGGTGATTGACCATGAGCAGATTTATTGAGAGCTGATGTGTATAGTTTTTCAACAGATCTTTTCGAAACAATTGAGTAATCATTCGTACCTTGAATCACAATATCAGAAAATTTTTTTCTTCTAAGATCCTTTTCAATCTTTCTCTTTTGCTTTTCAGTGAGTTCAGGTTTAGCCTCTTCGTTCTGAGCCATGTTTGCTTCAATTATTCCACTCAAGACACCTTCAAAATTTGTGAACTAACAGATTTTCAACAGGTTGAATATTTTTCACTTCCTACCACTGGAGGTAAAATTGTCTATGCGATGAGGTCAACACCCGAACACCACAGAAGATAAACATACAGGTCAAAGAGAACGTTACCTTTTGCTTCAACTAGTTTTATGGATTCCCAATTGCATCTGGAACGCATCAAATCAGAATTCCGCCCTGAAGTAATGGAGAAGGGCGCTCAGGAAAATGGGCCTGTCCCAGCAACTGATCAACATTCCAACCTTGTGCTCCTTAATAATTCCACATCTAAATCAAGGAAACTAATACTTCAAAAATACACAATCTATGAAACCAGCACAAGGGTTTACATTGTTGGCAGTAATGGACGGGAGACTATGTTTAGGGTGTTGGAAATAGATCTCACTACATCAAAAGAGGAATTGTCTATTGTTGAGGATAATGTGTTTTTCACAAGAAAGGAAATCATGAATGTTTTGTCTAGGTTGGAAGAAACCAACGCTGAAGGGTTAACCAAGAAATTGACAGGATTTGGATTACTTGGATTCATACGATTTACTGACTGCTACTATCTTTGTGTTGTTACTAAAAGGTCTCCTATCGCAATCCTAGGTGGTCACTATCTTTACCATATTGATGATACACAATTGATCCCTATCTCCAACAACTACAAGAAGCCAGATAATTACAGTGAAGAAGCCAGGTTTCTTGCCACTTTTGCAAATTTAGATCTTTCAAAGACTTTTTATTTCAGTTATACTTATGACCTTACAAATACTTTGCAAAGAAATATACTTCGGGAAAAGAAGAAAGCGTACGGGTTTCCCAATACAGAAAAGTTCCATGACCAATACAATGAAATGTTTATTTGGAACAGTTCTTTATTGAAACCAATTGTTGAAACATATGATAGACTTTATGACTGGTTTCAACCAATTATACATGGCTTTATAGATCAGGCCAACGTGTCAATTTTTGACAAGAAAGTTTACATCACAGTCATTGCAAGGAGATCACATCATTTTGCTGGAGCCAGGTTTTTGAAAAGAGGTGTGAATAATCAAGGTAATGTTGCCAATGAAGTTGAAACTGAACAAATTGTGTCAGACCTATTGACTACAAGTTTCCATGATACTGGATGTGGGTTTTATAATAATCCAAGATACACATCTTATGTCCAACATAGGGGGTCAATACCATTGTTTTGGTCACAAGAAGGTACAAATTTGAAACTTGCAAAACCACCTATTGAAATTGATATCATAGACCCATTTTTCAGCTCTGCTGCACTACATTTTGACGATTTGTTCAAGAGATATGATAGTCCCGTATTGATTCTCAACTTGATCAAGCAAAAAGAAAGAAACCCAAGGGAGACAAAATTGCTTAAAGAATTTGAAGAATGCATCAGGTATTTGAACCAGTTTCTTCCTGAAGAAAGTAAGCTCAAATATACAGCTTGGGATATGAGTAGGGCATCTAAATCAGATGGTCAAGATGTTATTGAATTTTTGGAAACTTATGCTGATGAGACCCTTAAAACAACAAGTTTCTTCCATAATGGGCCAAGTCTTGATACTACTAAGCTACAGCAAGGTATTTGCAGAACCAATTGTATTGATTGTTTGGATAGAACCAATGCTGCACAATTTGTAATTGGTAAGAGGGCACTAGGTTACCAGTTACACGCTCTTGGAATAATTGATGATGTGTTTATAGATTATGATTCAGATGTTGTGAATATATTGACAGAAATGTTTCATGATCATGGTGATACTATTGCCTTACAATATGGTGGTTCTCATTTGGTGAATACTATGGAAACTTATAGAAAGATTAACCAATGGTCCTCACATTCAAGAGATATGATTGAAAGTATCAAAAGATTTTACAGTAATTCTTTTGTTGATGCACAAAGACAAGAGGCAATTAATCTTTTTTTGGGTAACTATGTTTGGGAAAAAGGGAAACCTATGTTATGGGATTTGAATACTGATTATTACTTACATAACATACAATCATTATCAAAACAAAAAAGAAGCTATAGATATTGGTGGACAGAGTCCAATTTGATTAAATTCCGTGATGCATATGATGTCCCAAAAGATGGATTAGTGTTGAAGAAACTAGAGCCATATCAAGGGTTCTTTGATAACTACTGGAATGAATATTACGTTCCAAGAAGGTTGACACTGTTTGAGAAATTATTTGAAATCAATATGAATTCCACGCTAAGGTACATTGCTCCAATTGAAAATTTGGAAGATGCTTTTATTATTTCTCCATTTAAATCTAGAAAACAGACATCAATCAATCACAAGCTTAGAAAAAGTGAAATGAAAAGACTTAAAGATTCAAATCAGAAGGAAGAAGAGGAAAAATATATCAGTTTTGAGGCTTTGGATTATTTGGTGACTTGTCAGCAGCTTTCAGAGCTATCAACCTCATCAAAATACCTTGATGCCGAAGTTGAAAAGGAAAAGAAGAGCATGGGATTAAGTGGATTCACCCCTTTGCAAAGTGCAGCTCCAAGTTTGGATTCAGATGCACAGACTATTGATACTATTAACAGCGTTGAATTATTTGATAATACAGTAAAGGTTGAAGTTAGTCCTCAAAATATCAAGATCTATGAAAATTCATGCCACAAGGATTATACTGAAAGTTTATTAACACCCAGTGATGCTGAAACTAATGAGTATACTAGATTATTACAACCACCATCTGTAAACTCCAAAGATCTTGAGATTTATGAAAGCTTGACAACTTTTGAAACATATTAACGAAGTTATGAAAAAAATAAGTACTACATGAATACAATTATGTGTACATTTTTATTGATTGTAGTTGGAATCATAAACCAAGTTCACTAAAAGCTGAATTAATCACCTTATTGAATTCACCAGAATAAACAAGTTGAGCCTTTTCTATAGATTTGGCTAAAGCCAAAGTATATTTTAAATCATCAGCTTTTATCCATATTTTCCCGTTTAACCCAATGGCAAGTTCAAATTTACATTTTTTGACTAACAAATTCAGTAAAGTATGATTGACATCAAATAATAAACTTCTTGCAAATGATAAACTAACATCAAAAACATAACCACCTTCTAATAAACCAAACCCACCATCTTTACCTGTTGTTGGATCTATACATTCTATCTCCACATCAACCTCAGGGCTTGCATTTGAAACTCTAGCATATATTAGGTTACCGATTTTGAGATTTGGTCTATTTTTCTTTGTAGCATTTGGGAAAGCCATAGCAGATAATGAGACTGGGAATGAAAAGTTCGATAATGAAACTCTGAAATTATCACCAAAAACACCAGTTACCAAACCTATCACATAGTCATTATTTGAAGGTATATAACGTCTTGAATTTGATTCTATATGAAGTGCATTATTTGCTTGTTGAAGTATTCCTGAGTGAACAGGTATTATCTCTTTTGTGATTGGTGTAACGTGGATACCAGGTCCTATAACTAGTTCTTTGCTATCAGATATGGTTAGGTTATCACCTGGAATTATAAGTTGTGACATTTATCGATAATAATTTGACTGAAAAGCTATGAATTGTACTTGCTTTTGGATCTCTTGTAACGTCAAAGCTCTTCGTCTAACAAATTTTTTTGAAAAAAATTCGCGAAATTGGTATTTGCACTCCATCATCAGCAAAAAAAATAAAGTACGCGAAAATTTAAGAATTGATCATTTTGACACATTAAGTTCTTAAAGAGAAACGAGGGAGGAAGGATTAATTGACCTTTTGCTTTCAACTATACTTTATTGAAACAAAATGCCAAACCAATTCGAGACACCCGAGAAATTGAGGGATAGAAGACTTATAAATTCATCGCCCATTCTCAGCAGACATGAAGGTTCACATTCAGACTCAGATTCAGAAGGGGACGGTGTTATTGAACAGATAGAGAAAAGAATGAAGGCAAGAAATGAAAAGTTATACAAGCCAATGTCATCTCCAATACGAGGAGAAAGAAGCAGCAAAGGTGGTTTCCAGTCGAGGTCCCTTGGTGCCAAATATACACTGAGAGGTCGAAATTATATACCATTTAACCAACAAAAAAGGGACGAAAGAAGGGCCAAAATTGCACTAGAGAAAAGGGGTGGGAATGAAGAGATGGAAAGGTTCATCCAAACGCAAGAAGACAGAGCTGGACTGGATAAATTAAATCAAGAGGCCAGTTCTCATATGTTTGATATAGAAGAATTGAATGAAGATGATCCTGACGTTTTGTCCAATTCTAGAGAACCTTCTCAGCAGCCGTTGGATGCTTATGAAAAGGAATTGGAATATATGATAAGAATGGAGCAAGAGGAGCTAGAAATGCTCACTGCAAACTTGAACTTGGATCCATGATCACTTGATTCGGGTTGTTTTAATGACTGTTATGAATAAACGAACATTAGAGAGAGGTAAATGTAGGATGGAGCATTAGTTTAACTGGATGCTTTGAAATATTAGAACTTTTAACTGAGTTGTATGTAAACCACCAAAGATTTAATAATATGGCCTCGGCCTCGCTCGCACACAATAATTCAGCTCCCGGGAGATCCAGGATTTGAGACCGTCTGGTGATCACGTCAGCACCGCGTCAGCAGTGTCATTTTTTTCGATTGTCCGAGTCCCGGCCGATTCACGTCTGCTTTTTTACCAATCAAATTTCCTTCGAAAACAATCATCATCAAAAGCTTCTCCAGATACAACTTTTAACACTTTCACTGATCTGTTAAAGTTATTGAACCAGAGACCATAAATATAGTCAATAAAGATGCTATCACCAATATTCAGACAAGGGATTTCTCCAATAATCAAATCTACAATCTCAAGACAAGCTTCAGCTCGTTATTCAGCTGCTGCGTTCCATACATCAGCTTCAAAGAAATTTGATATCCCATTCTTGAAACAAATCCCACAACCACCAGGTTATATTGTTGGTACAGTCAATGATGCTTATACTGCTCCACATGCTAGTAAATCACACGGTTCTTTACACTGGACCGCTGAAAGAATTATTGCCATTAGTATGGTTCCATTAGCTACTGTTCCATTTGTTACTGGTTCTTTTGCACCAGTCTTGGATGCTACTTTATCCACTTTAATATTGGCACATGCATGGATTGGGTTCCAATCTTGTATCATTGATTATATTCCAAAACGTGTTTATGGTAAGCAACATGATTATGCCATGTATTTATTGACTTTTGGTACTTTTATTGCTGGTTATGGTATTTATTTGATTGAAAGTAAAGATGTTGGTTTAACTGGTTTACTTGGTAAACTTTGGTCAAAACCTGAAGAAAAAAAATAATTAAATAAATTTTAATGAAATCAATTTCTATTGAGATCAGGAAGGTAAATTGAAAAGAAGATATATTTATACTAAATACAACTTACTTATTTATGGGTTTCGGGAAAAATAAGACGTACTATGGGACAAAGACACACAACAAATAATACACACGCGCCTACAATCAACGCGATTACTCACTTACATATTCAGAATAAAAAACATATTTCTTTAATTTCATCCATTCTTGTGCTAGTTTCATTATCATAAAGATGTAGAATTGTATTATTTCCCTTCAATTTTTCTCTTTCTTTTGTTATTCAGGGCTTGTTGCTCCTTAGTTTCTTTTGACTTAGTTGGACTGGAGCCACTGGGTGTTGGTGTTGTTTCTTCTCCAGAGTAAGTGTTATTCAAGGATGTCGTGGTTGTCATTTCTTCCTTTGTGATGGAGCTTTGTACTTCATCAATGTATTTTTGACCTTTTTCAACTTTTGCTCCAAATGACCGTAAGCCTTGGATCAAGTCAGAAACTCGCTTGTTCGATCCATACTTCTTTTCAGTCTCATTATTTAAAAGAACATCTCTTCCTATACTTGAATAAACTTGAACAATACCTTGTTCATTGTATAGTTTAGCATCAATGATTCTGGAGTAAATTGATTCCGTTATCAGTCTTTCAAGCTCAGGCGTTGAATCAATATTTAAAACACTTTTAAGGTAGTTGTAACTGAATTCCTGTGATATTTTGTTAGTAAGTTACTTGACAAGTGATCCCAGATTCTACTCACGTTGTTTATGAGCACCTCAGATATTAGAGTCAATTGAGTAAGTTTGAATAGCGCTGGACTCGATAGTTCGATGAAATCATTTTTGTGGTCTAGTTGTTAGTGGTTAAACACAATGATGATAATTAGAGCATCTATACTCACCATTATAGTCTTTTATGGACCCAAAACTGAATAATTCCAAAGTGTTTTTGATCTTTACATCATCACCTAATACGTCATTAACGCTCTTGTCCAACCTCAATTCGTTGAAACCAAAAGTCGATTTATCACTCAAGGCAGCCAGTATTCTATCATGAACCTCTACTTTAGACATTTTCACCCTAAAAACTCTGATTTCGTTATCTTTTCAAAGTGCTCTGTTTTGGCTTTGATTTTGGCCTCTTTCACAAAATTTATGTCAAATTCGCGAACCCTTTCAAGATTACTGAATAACCGTCAAAGGTAAACAAATAGAGAATTCAACAAAAACATTAGCAGCAAAACAATGTCCAAAGTGGCTCCAAATGACAGGAAAATACCATCAAGACAGCGCATGGTCAAGCTGACCAATCAAAGACCTAATGCTAAAGCTACATTCCAATCACAAAGCTCGTCTACAGAAACAATAGTATCTGAAAAAGATACACCTCCATACCTTCAACAGCTCATAAAAAAGATATTTTATCCAAATTCACAATGTAATGAATACAAAGATGCATTACCAGCACTCACATCATCTTCCGAAGTTGATCTTCAGTTATATTCACTCATTGGTTTACTTTTCAAACTATTTGTTCATAGTTGGTATCAGAGACTCACAGATGATCATGAATTTCTAGATGAAATAGTTGATATAACTGCACATATTACAAGAAATTTAGAAACAAGGCTAAAAAGGGTCGATTTAACTCAATTGTTGCTGGACGATGTACCCTTGATACTTAATGATCACTTGGAAGCTTACAGAAAGATCCACGAGGAGTTGGGTTCTAGATTCTTACCAGATGAGACAATGGATAAAGCTATGGATCATATATATAACCATTTTGCATTAATGGATGATGATGAGACTGTTGAAGCTGATTATTTGAAAGTTTTGTCGAAAAATGTGTTGAAATACCTGCTGCCTCATGATGACTTGAATTCAACATTGGTTGAAGAATTTATGAAAAGTGTGTTGAGTGACTTATTGTTGAAGAATATAATAGAAAAGATTATACAGCCTTATCAGATATTTGAGATAATATCAATTGCATGTGAATTCCTTGTGGATCAAGATGGTGGGAACGAGGTTAAGGAGGATGACAGAAATGGATTCAACAATATTCAAACATTTTTTTCTCAAGTAATAGATTTGGTTTCAAAGACTATATTTGTTAGTGATAAAAAGAGGCCAACATCTGTGAATGTCTATTCTTTAAGCATTTTCTCGTTTCTTAACAATTTATTCCAAATTAATAACACCAGACCTGTTCTATATGCATTTATCAAATCAACAACACCAATTGCCTCACAAGCACCAGTGAATGATTTGCTTAACAACTTGATACAAAACACATTAGTTAAATCCTTGCGAAATGAATCTTTGATTGCTTTAATCATTCAAAAATTGAGAAATAATTTGTTCCCAAGTGATGATGAGATGGGACCTCCAAGAATAGTGCCTGACCTTGAAGAATTTGAGAAAATTAGGAAAACAACAAAAGACAATCTCAAGTCCGTATGTAACAAGTTCAAGCTTTTATCCAACTTGGTTATTGCCAGTGAGTCAGAACTCGATGATACTCTGGATGATTTCTTGACAACTTTTGAAAATAAAAGAATGAACAAAAATTTGATTTACAGGATACTTGATTTGATAGTCATAAAATTAATTCCTGAACTATGTGGTATGCAGTTATGAATAAAGAATGCTTGATGACACTATATACAAATCTGTAACATCTTATTCTATTAGCCTCTCATCAAAATTTTCCAAAATATCATTTATATCCTCATTGAAGTATCCATCTTCATTAACAAAGCCCTTCCATAAATCATCAGCACCTTGCTGGATCGGAATGAAATGTTTGTTAAGTTGGTTCCCAACTCTTGTATAGATGAAACTAGAATGAAGACCAAGTTGTTGATCGTTACCTCTAATTATTGAGCTTCCATATTTTTTATCATTAACAATCGGAAGTGACAAAACTTCAGAGAGATGTTTTCTTATTTGATGTTTTTTACCTGTTTCTAATTGCATAATGATTAATTGAAGATCTTCTCTAATACCTGATTCTGGTCTTATGAATTTAGTAGTGGAAAAAGGACCGTATGGATCATCCTGTGTCCTTATTTCTCCTTTAGTGTGCTCTTCGTTATGATAAACAACATTTTCAATAGGTTTGAACTCCGAAATAGCTCTTGTTATACCAATATACTGATATATAGTTAGTATTAAAATCTCAAAAAATCACGTACACTATAACTTACTCTTCTTTTGAACTTGTATCCTTTGTCTCCCCCACTTCTAAGGTTATTACTGAACATCCGGGCATCGTGTCTTCCTCTTGCTATTAAAAGTCCACCTGTGACTCTCAGATCTAGCCTATGAACTGGTTTAAGATCTGGATATTGATCGATCAATAATGGTACAACTTCATCTTGGGCCCTCGCTTTCAAACTAGCCTTTGAGTGCTGAGAATGAATACCAGCTGGTTTATTCACCACTATATAGTGTGAGTTCTCAAACAAGACAGGCAAGATAGATTTAACACTCATTGGACCTCCCAGCACTTGAAGTTCTTTTCCTTCTGAAACTTTTGACCCAGTTAAAAAAATCTGCCAAAAGGGCCTTGGAAATACTTTTTCCAAAATGGAAATAAAAAACGTCTCTCAAGAAAACATCACCACATCAAAACATTGAACAATAGGCGCCAACAGCTACAAGCCCTATACCAAGCTCACAAATTACCAAGAAAAAGTCATATGGACTAGAATATTGATAGAAAGTGGAAAAAAAATCACAAGTGAAGGTATTGATTGAAACTGGCAGCTTTTCCCATTATAAGATGAATGGTGAATCTAAAGGTGTCAAGTCAGACCAATTCCCAGTGAATTTGCAAGAGGGATTAGGTGTTACACCATTGACATACCTCATTCCAACTCAAGATCGTATGTATGAGTCAAGGCTTCAAGCTCCAAGTTTCTTGTTACTAACGCTTCCAAAGTGGCCGCATTAATCCTGCCCACAAGTTTAACGCCAATAAGTCCAGAGATTAATGAAGAGGAAGGATGTGAATTATATCAAGAAAATGTGAAAGCAGTCTTTGAAAGCAATAGCCCGTCGTATGATTCTGTTAAGCAAAACGTTCTGGAGACTTACAGTTTCAGTCAATGTCTTGAGAATTCGACCCTTTCATTTAGAGGTACTTCTTCTACAATAGAGGATGAAACTACACACGAAACAAAGTCCTTGTTTGATGGATTACATGGTTTAGCTAAAAATGTTATTGATAGTGTGCCTCTGGTTTCTCATAAAAATATTGTCAGCTCAAACAAAGATGCTCCTCAAACCGTTACAACTTCTAGACCAAACCCCAAACGTACAGCATCCACCCTAATTCAGGTTCAAAATGAAGTTGAGATAAAGAAAAGAAAATCTGACATTGGCGTTCAACATTTACAACTTGAAAGCATATCAAACCAAAAATTGACAGATCTTGTTGTTAATAAGATTGGATTAGCTGATGAACAATGTGAATATGAATCATCAGACTTATGGATAGAACTACCCAGTTCAGAACATGTTTTGTCAGATGATGTCTTTGTTGAAGTTGAGCAATATTTACTTAAAGTGAAGGGAACCAGATTGGTGCAGGAGTTTTCCTTTGAGGTTTTGGATAGGCTTAAAAAGCTATCTGTGAGATCTATCAAGTGCTCTGAAAATTTTGATTGGGCTGACGTTGACCTTCAAAGTGATTTTTGGCCATTGAAAATAGCATTAAACAGTCTGAAAGCAGTGACTACTATATTGATTATATACAACTGTCAGAGGAAAGAGAAAAAATTATATCTTGATGAGGATTTGGTTTTGGCTTTAGATTTCATTTACAAATTGACAGAGGATTTAATCTTAAAGCTCACTGTTCAGAGTGATGAGTGGGATAATGAAAACGTTCAGTTGATAATTGGGGTCATGAATTTATTGACCAAGAACTTAGAACTTTTTGGTGATTATATCGCTTCTAATCAAGCTAATGATACTGTTTTGACAAAGCTGGAATACTTGTCATTAATGATCTTCTTTCATGCACCAGAGAAAAACAAATTTACCACAAGTATGCAAAGTTTGAAAACATCTTCAATGAACTTGCTTATTGATTTATTCAGATCCAAGAAGGACCAAAGATCTTTTATTGTCAATGAGGTTCTATCTAATTTTGATAGGCTACCAACTCACAAGACACAATCTAGACAGTTGAAGCTATTCAGAGGGTTGAACATTCAGTTTTTTACAGCCTCAATATTAAACTTTATTCAAAGTTTGAACATAAGAGATATTGAATTGAAAGAAACAATTAAAGAAAAACAGCAACATAATAGGGATGCTGGTTTAGCAGATTTTATTGAAGAAAATAACGAGATGAAAAGAATAACAGAAGAGCTACAGACCGAGAAAAACTCTATATTGTCACTTATCTCCTCTACACTTGTCAACAGAATCATTACTCAGCTCAATGCTAATACAAAACAGTTATTTGAGTTATTCATTCAAGATTTGCTTAATGTTGTGCAGTTCCCGGAATGGTCAGCCTCCGAACAACTTTTAAGTTCATTGACTAACACTTTGGTGTCTAATTCAGAAAATCAACCTTCAATCGTTGAAACTTATTTATTGGAAATAATTGGATTAATAGGATCTACAATGTTGGAACTAAAAGGCCCTAACGACTTACCAGACCTAAGTGTTTCAGATCTAACTGATGAATATTCAATAGTTTCGAGCTATTTGTTGACCTTGAGAGATGCTTTTCCTGTGAAGTTTTCCGGTGACTCCTTTGTTTATGATTGGATATACAAATTATCCTCCAATATCTCATCCAGTACAGAGGAGGATTATGCTAAAGCCAAAGAGAGAGAAACTTATTTGAAATTGTTGTCAAGTTACTATAAGGAGCAATCAAATGGTCTTATCAAAAAAAATGATGGAAGTGCTACAGAGGAAAATGCTACATTGTGCTACAAAAAAATTCTCTTGTCTGGAACATTCATGAAGCTCTACCACAACTTTTTGACTCATTTATTGAGATCAATTGACCATCCCAAGATTAAATCAAGGACAAGGGCAATGAAAAATTTGGCACAACTTATTGATAAAGATTCAAGATTATTGAATCTCCCAATGGTGAAACAATCTTTGTCCAATAGAATTGCTGACCCATCCCCCCTTGTTAGACTTGCAGTTCTTGAAATTTTTGACCAGTATATTTTGAAGAAACCGGAGTTGATTGGTGAATTTTATCAAACATTAATTTTGACAAATGATAAATCTGTCAGCGTCAGAACAAAATCATTAAAAATTGCAAAAAGAATCTTTTTAGAAGCAAGTAACAAAGATATTAAAGTTTTTGCATTAGAGAAAATTTTGAGAAGACTTGAGGATGATGAAGAGAATGTGCTTGATTTAACCAAACAATTATTGATGGAAACCGTGTTTTTGGGTCTTTATGATCAAATTGGAGCATACTCTAAAGATCAAATCAAACAGAGAGATGCTGTCAGCTTTATGATTGATATTTTACTTGATCTTATAAACAAGTCAGAAAAAACTTGGGAACTCTTTGAGAAATATTTAAATGAAGACATTATGAGAAAGACTGATGAGAATAAGAAATTTCACAACAACCTCTTGAGTATATCCAATACTATAGTGGATGTTCTTCTGACATTTGTTGTTGATTATGTTGATACAGAGAAGCAAGATTCAGTGGAGAAAAGCTTAGGTTTATTGTCAATTTTTTCTAAGTGTGAACATCCATTGATTAACCAGGAACAGTTGATGTCACTACAACCTTATTTAACTTCAGAATCTACAGTTTCATCATCTACATCCTATTATACGTTGATCATTTTCAGACACACTCTTGGACGTACCAATTCATACAGAGACCAATTTTTAACAGACTCTCAAACATCATTACTAAGAAGGTTGACAAAGTTTAATACTAGAGAATTAGACGAAGCTATGCCATGCATCTGGATGATTTCAACAATGAAAAAAGATACAACTAAGATTTCTAATGCTGCTGCTTCTTGTTTGACTTTGATTAAACCTAATGTTGATAAGGCTTTGAAGGATGAACTTGATAAATCTGATCCTAAGGTTTTAAGACTAATATATTTGATTGGAAGTTTTGGTAAATACTGTGATTTAGAAGCTAATAGGCAAGTGTTCAAAAATGCCAAAAAGCTTGCCTTGAAAGACAAAGAAAGTGTCTTGAGCTTAATAACTAAGTATCTTTTGATTTTTACAAGAGATTCAGTGAATAGGCAGATAAGAAGAGTCGCTGTGCGAAATATTATTAATGTTTGCTCAAGCCACCCAAAACTTTTCATGAGTTCCCCTGTTTTAAATGTTTTAGATAAAGAATTTACTGGATCTAGCATTGATTTTAAAGAGGTGATGATACAAGGAATTTTTGAGTTTTTAGAAAGAGAAGAGAAGAAGTCATCAAAAAGATCTGGTCATGAAGGAAAAATTTCAAGTGAAGTCAGTCTTGATGTTGATGTGTTCCACGGTAACTCCAAGATGTTTGAAAACGATGGTATTTGTGCATCTCTAGTTCAACGTTATATGGATCCAATTTTGGAAATGTGCACTTATGATGATGGTGAGCATTCATATCTTGCTGTTAAATATCTCAAATTTATTGTTAAACTAGGGTTTGCCAATCCTAGGATTTGTATTCCAACAGTTGTTGCACTTGAAGCTTCTAAAGTTCCCTATGTTAGATCAATGGCACTTGAAATACATAGAGAGTTACATTCAAAGCATGAGTCACTTATCGACTCTAGTTATATTCATGGTTTCAAGCTAGCTGTGAAATACAGAGCTAAACTTTCATCAGGGTTGCTTACTGAGAATCAGCAGTATTTTCAAAAATTTTACAAAGTTATTGAGGAGTCAAAAGCAACAAAAAAGAAAATCTTCAATCAGTTGGTCAAATCCTTTACGTTTAGTATTGATGGTTGCACTGAAGAACAAGCTTTGTTCATGAAAAACTATGTTTTATTTATGGCTAATACAATCCCATGTTGTGAACTGTCAACATTGGAGGAGGTGTTCATATTGGTTGATGGTATTGATGCTGTTTTAGCCAATCAAGGTGTTACGTTATCCAGTAATGTTTCTGTCAAATTGAATCAAACTGATCCAAATTTTGATTGGAAGATTTATGGATATTTAAGTTTGGCTATTTTATCACTATATGAATTGAAAAATTGTTTGATCCAGGCTTACAAGATTCCAGAGGATGGCCAAAGAAATGAGCTGAAGTCTCAGAAAACTAAATTCACTGAGGTTCCCATTAAATTGTTTGATATTTCCCCAGAAGCTGGTTCTTTTAGGGAAATATGTGAAAAATTGGCGACTATTTTACTTTGAAGCGGAAGTTGTTAATTACAGGTTCATGCAACAGGATGTTTTTCCAACTTCGCTAAACCACGAACTAGTAAAAGTGTATATCACATAGAATTTTGAATTATACAAGTTTGCTAATATCGAAAAGAGTGTACGAGTGGGGGCAGAGCATTGAACAAAGAACAAAATTCTATCTCATACATAGTACTTCAAGTAGCTTAACGGTTAATTTCCTGCTTAATTAAGCACTCAAACCATGTTGTTAAAGTTTTTCTGATCTCAACCAGACAAGCTAGTCTTCTAGCTCTCATTATATTTACTTCAAGTTGATTCCATTCGTTGTACTTGAAGCCAAGCATCTAAAAGAGCAATAATTAAGCCATTTAACACACTCAAGAACAATCGAGTAATGTCCATGGAAAGGAGAGTGGGATATCTTGTAATCGATAATTGAACAGGGTTTTAATTTTTTTTTTACAAAAGAATGTGACAATTTTAAGCTATATAGAGCCACAGGGTTTGGATTTATCTCAAAATATTTGATTTCAAAATAATTGCTGTGTAACTACCTGTCTTGTTTGGGCTAGTACTTGAGACCGGATAACCTGAGAAGAACCGGCCAGCGTTATGAAAGTGTCACTGTGGTTCTGAATCCCAACAGCTAGCTCCATCAATGAGGTGGTTTGCATCAGTTATTTCTGGTGTAAAAATTCATTTATGCTTTCAAAGGATACTTAGGCCATGGAAGTGTAGTAGTTGAAGGAGGAGTGTTTTTGTTGGATCATCTGTAATCTGGTATGCAAGTGAAATAATTCGCGAAACCATACAAAGCTACAGCGCGAGAATTTTTTTCTGAGAAGAATCAACATTTCTCATGAGAAGACATTAAAGTGATATATAACTTTTGTGCTTTGAGAGAATATGTTTTATGCAAGCTTAATTCAATGTGCTTTAAAGCGTTCAACCAAAGCTTTTAAGCCTAGAAGGCTAGCTAATAATTCAAACTTACACCCATAAAAGAATTCAGCTATGAGGTCACCTTATGATATTGTTGTCAATGATGTTATTCTTAGGCTATGGAGGCTGGTGGTATGGTTAATTGCAGAAACACTGTGGCAGCTGGTGGTATGGTTAATTTCAACTACACTTGTCACTCCCCTTCTTTATCTGCTTATCTTCCCAATATACTATCAATGGCAAAAGTCAGCTAGAGCTCAACGTCTCAGTCAATACTTGACTCATATACTCTTGTCGAAACATTTGATTGTCCCCATTGAAAGATGCTGCTATCATAGTTTGTATGGAATGAAAACTGGTTTATTAAAGTTGAAGTGTCCAACTGAACATGAGTTCAATACATTTTTTGATTTGCCAGATGAACTGATGACTCAAATTGCCTTCATTACAGATGTCAATATTTCGCATCTACTGCAGTTAAATAAGAAATGTGTTTTTGCTTTCGGTCCAATTCTATATCAAAAAGTTCATTTTTCTATTCCTGTTATTTCAACAGAGGTGTTGACCACCGCCGGGCATATTAGACTTCGTTCGCCCCAAAATACTACTGGAGCAAAACTCAGAGTCAACGCTTACTTGAGAAATACAACACAGTTTAGTTCTACCACCAACCAACTAGGTATCCTTGGTCAGAAGTATCAGTTGCTTCAGAGAAACAAAAAAGCGGATAACCATGATTTTATGGGTTTCTTTTCTTCTTCAAAAAGGAAACCATACAAAAGGACGCTCAAGGATAGGATGACACATGTATGGGATCATGATCTTATGATTGAAATATGTAACAATGTTATGAGCAATGAAAAATCAATCATGAGGCAATTCATTCGTCAATTCTTCGTTGATATTCGTATATTTAGTGGGGTTTATGACCCCAGTTACAGTATCTCTAGAAACCCTGGGATCACTTTGATCAAAACAAGGAAGCAAGGGGAAATCAAGAGCACACATTCTGCAACACAGTCTGCGACATATACAGATATTATCTTCAAGAAAGATTTGTCAAACTTAGAGTCTGCTAACTCATCAGCCAATGAACACGGATCCTATAAAGCTCTGATTGAACCTTGCTTAAACCTTTGCAAGAACAAGGAACTACTCGTCAGTTCTTTTTATGACATGCTAATATTTCAGGGTCAAGAGACACTAGTTGCAGACGTCAAGCATTCAAATATTGATCCACCCCATCTCGTTTTGTTAACGACTGATTCTTTTGAAATCCTGAGGGTGTTGTACAATATTGGTTATTCCTTCCTTGGTGATGAGAATGATTTGAATCTTTATGACGAACAAGGGTATTTCTCAAGCACATTTGGGGAGCATAGTATCGATATTAAAAATTTGAATAGTCTTGATGAGCCAGACTTTTATATGGGCTCTGAAGTTTGTGATTTGATTGAAATGGTATCGAATGCTGCTTTGAGCATCGATGAAACCCCTGCTCGTCGCTCATCCTACATGGGATTTTCCCATGAGACTCTTTGTCTATACGAAACTTGGTATGAGTATAACCGTACTGTAGCAAGTCGTGAACCTTTCACAATTGAACATCAAATCAAGATTTTTGTAATTAAAGATGATGGACCATAATTATGAAGTGTATAATTTTAAAAATATTAATATTCAACTGGTCATCTAGGGCCTAAAGGCATAGTTTGAGTAGCAATACTCTTCTAATATAATTTCAAATCTGACTTAATTTAGTAAATTGATTGACGATTTCGAATTGAAGGCCTATACCAGTCGCGAATTCGGTGTACTGTTTTCTCTTGGTAACAACTCATTCAGAACCAACGTCCCAACTTACACTACGAATGTCGCTTATAGTTGGAGAAAAATCAGCACAGGTGAGCTTGGTTGTATTTATGGAGAGAAATGGATTGAACTAACAATGTTGTCCAGATAGATCTAGCCTTGATCCTGAAAGCGGCCGTGTTCTTGAAGTTGAGTATGTGAAAGGACCCACCACGTTCAATCCAACCACTGGAACTTCCTCAAACTAACAATGAAGCTGCTTTCGCACTTGCGCTGGCTCTCACCATCATATTCAATTATAATTTAGTATTAGCCAATGATCTGAACGGCAAAGAGTTGTGAGTATACCGCTTGAAGTGCAAATCTGGGTCCACCGAGATACTAATTCTTGATTTAAAGCATTCCATCAATTCCTGGGGTTGTTGCGAGTTTCCATCCAAGTAAAGCATTATTTCAAATTCAAGTAGCTCTTTTGACTGCATTCAACAGCATTTTCCTTGTCCTGTTCACAACTATTGTATCATTTAAGGATGGAAACCTGTGGAAATCACTTTTTCTAATTGGTTTCACAAGGCTGGTATCTTTACTGTCGTTTTCCCTCATAACGTTACAAGATGATCCTTCTGCTAACATCAACTCCATTGCCTTATATTTTCTGAGCACTTCAGCTTGGATGTACTTGATTTCCAAGAAGATACAACCGAAGCATAGTTATGTCAAGGCACAAAGAAGCAAGATTTTGAAAATTTATTTGATGTGCTTTATAGGGACCATCGTATTCTATTACAAACACCAAATGGAAAGGGCTAACTATTCTTTCTCCGTAAGCTCTTTTTTCCAATGGATGTTGCTGGTGTTGGATGTGCAGTTTGATTATAGCCTTCTGGGTGATGTCAAAAGTTTAGAATTTGGTGTGCAGCTAGGTGAAGAACTTAAACTTAGTGAAAGATTAAAGAAATATATAGTCTAGGAAACTTCCTTTTGTATTATTATTTAATCGTTTATAAAGATCATTAGCGTCGTTAACGGTTTTCAATTCTTGTAGCTTTGAAAGGCTCTGCAATTATAACTTTTGTGCCAAATTTTACCTTAATGATAGGACCGAACTTTTCCAGTTTTTTCCTGAGACGAAGTCTTCTAATCTGTGGAATTGTCATATTGTTTTCATCTTCATCAGTGTCACTGTCTTGTACCAAATCAGCATCTGGCATGTTTGTATAATATTTGAATGGATGTTGGATTAAAGAAGGCGATGACGCACGTATTCTACCCAATACCCTATCTTCGCATCTTTTCCAGTCCTCGAACCGTTTGAGCATACCTTTCAATGATTCGATTGTCCACTCTTTTTTCTCCATCATCTCTTTATGATCCCTTGGATCTCTAATATAGGTGATTGTCTGAAGTGATTTCATCCAATCGTTTTGATGCAGCTTTTCTAATTGAGCCTTCATCTTATCAGCTTCAGAGTAGATTTTCTCTCTTTCCCAGTTTATCATCTTCTTTTCCTCCTTTTCCATCCGTCTATTATATGGGATATAAAGCTCATCGTTCAATGGATCTGTTGGTTGTTGACGAGTTATTGTTGATTTCCTCAGTTTACGTCTTTTTGAAGAGCCATTCTTTTTGTTATTCAAATCATCCACAGTTTTTAAATTTGTCTCAAAGCTGAATGATTTTTGATCAACTTTGATATCATTTTGTAAAACTTCACCAACTTCCTTTTCGTCAACAATAAATATTCTTTGATCTGGATCAATTATATTTGGATTCTCCTCGTAATTAAACAAGGACGAATCAATCTTTGGTGTCTCCTTTGACCTCAATTTCCGAGGAGCTGATGGTTCTCCTTGCTTTGTATTAATCCTGGTTCGAGTCATCACAGCATCACGTTCAGTTGAGAAGCGGCTTGAAGTGTTTTTACCTCACTGTTTTGAAGCTTTATAACTTGGTTTGTTTTTCCATCGTTTAGTATAGTCCACCTAAAGGTTAGGCTCACGCTCCTTCCAGGTTTGATTCCTAGGTGGAGGATCCCCTGCCCAGGAGGAGCCTGGGTAACCTCCGAAATTTTCGCGCCGGAAAAGCAGCCTGGGAATCTACGGCCTGGGTCCTCCTTTGAGCATGGATTTTTATCATTTCGATTTTGTTTGGAGAAACGATAACTTGATGGTGGAGAGTCATCAAAGCATTGGCTTTAACTTCACAAAGACAACCCCCAACTTAGTTATTTACTACCGTTAATTAGATCACATAGTGTTTTCTGAACTTTGTGAAGAATTGGATTGGTTTGTCGCCGGTGTTAGCAATAGGAATCGTTCTGAAGAAGACTGCAACAACTTGAATGAAAACAATACATTAGACTTTCAAAAACTCATTGAAAACTTGAATTATATGTGTTAAATATGAGTCGATCTGATACACCTTCTGTTGTTATATCACACTCAGGTGATTATTTTGATTCCAAAGACCTTGAAAACAGTGGGGATCAGGCTCCAGATGACTATCAAAACAACAATCCACAAGATGATTTAATAGAAGCTAGCGCTAAGAACCCTAGTGTGTTAATGGAGTTAGATATGGACGGTAATGTTAAACATTTGGGGAAAGCATGGGAGTCAATTATTGGTACCAAAGTTCAAAAGATCTTGAATCGCCCTATTTCCAACATTGTACTAGGCGACGAGGATGATAAGAAGGTCTTCAACAATGCTATTAGCATAATGACAACAGATGACGCAAGTTATAGAGTACGATTTGTTGTCGCAACTAATGATCCAAAGCCTGAAAGTGGCGACGGTGAATCATTTGAGTCTGAAGAGGATGATACGGATCCCGTTAATACAGATCAAGGTTCTTTGAGTTCCATATCTACAAATGGTGAAATGATTGAATTGGAAGGCCAGGGAATTTTGATTCATAACAGTAAGAATATTCCAACCCATTCAATGTGGATATTGAAACCTTTTTACGCCAATGCTTTGAACGTTCAATTACCAACAAAACTCTCTGAAACATTAGGATTCGGTGCTGATATTTTCACTTCATACTTGTCAGCTCTATCAGAAGCTGGTATAATCAATGAAGATGAAGTCCCAGCGCCCCCTCAGGTTCTGTGTCGAATTTGTGAACAACAGGTGCCGTCATGGTGGTTAGAAAAACATTCACAGCTTTGTTTTAATGAGCATAAATGTGAAAGTGAAGTCCAGGATGCTCATGACGCTTTAGTTGAACAGAAACAAATTATAGCCACCATAAATGAATCATTGAGTAAGCAGCAAGTAAATTTACAAGAGGAAGTTAATGATTATAAGGGCCTACCACTTCCCAAAGTTGCACCAAGTGATTCACCAGTTGCAAGAAACGCTACACCACTCGTGAGAAGGGGTCGATCCGCTTCAATATTTGGTGCGTTGAGATTTCCATTCAAAACGCTTGCCCTTTTGTCAGAGCTTTGTGAACAAGCTACATCTATCAATCCCAGTGAGTTTAACGAAGAGAGTGATACTTTTGAATTTTCTCCAAATACAAAACAGGCATTAGAAGAAGTTTCAAGCTCAGCAATACCCGAATCATCAGACCCTGCCATTATACTACTCTCTAAAGATACAGAAAAACTAGTCAAAGATAAGGTTGATGCTGTTTCCCGGCTGAATAGCTCATTGTTATATTCCCAAAAGATAAAGGATGAAGTTGATGAGTATGTGATTGCTACCATTAGTGAGACAATTAAAAACATCAGAAACCAAACATACGACGTTGTTCCCTCTAATCCGTCTAGTTCAAGTGAACGTCTTCAGACTTCAACTGAGAAAAATGAGTCAACTAACAAACTGGTGTACCCAAGACCAACCTCTGTTCAATCAAATATATTTACAGATGCTTATCTTAAGACTGATAATTTACCCAGCCCAAGCCGAGAGAGCATAAGAGAAGCACTGAATGAAACAAGGGGTCAATATTCCCCATCCAGGTCAATTACACCAAACGAAGCCTTGAAAGATTCCAATCAAGAAGATCATGTTCCGAGCTTCTCAGACCTGAATATTAAAAGTCCAATTTTGACTCCACAGAGGAAAGGTTCACCAGGAGCACCACCAGGATTTCATAATTCACCAATGAGTTCTATTCAAAGAAATGTTAAGTCATCTGGAACGCCCAGTTTTGAACATCAAGTCAACACGCCCTTTTCATCTCCTCTGATATTAGCACATGATCCTAGTGATCATTTTGAAAAAAGATCCAGTGGTGATAACAATTATCTGTCAATTAGCAGTGCTGGTAGTGGAAGTATAAGCACAGGTCATTTGGGAAAACCTCCTTTATCACCATTGTTAGTAGCTGTTGCACCAAAACCTTCAGCTCCATCGATCAAAGACTATGAAGTTTTGAAACCAATTAGTAAAGGTGCTTTTGGTAGTGTGTATTTAGCTAGACGAAAAGTCACTGGTGATTATTTTGCCATCAAAGTCTTAAAAAAAGCGGATATGATTGCTAAAAATCAAGTTACCAACGTGAAATCTGAAAGGGCCGTGATGATGGCCCAGTCTGAAAGTCCATATGTTGCTAAATTATATTCTAGTTTCCAAAGTAAGGATTATTTGTTTTTAGTGATGGAATATTTGCCTGGTGGTGATTTATCAACTTTAGTTAAAATGCTTGGAAATTTACCAGATGAATGGGCAAAACATTATATTGCTGAGGTTGTTATTGGTGTTGATGATCTACATAAAAAGGGTATTGTGCATCATGACTTGAAACCTGATAACTTGTTGATTGCATCTAGTGGGCATTTGAAACTTACTGATTTTGGTTTGTCAAGAATGGGGTTGGTTCGTCGTCAAGAAAGGGCACATAAACACTCCATACCAGGGGACGATGCATTTGCACAAGCTGCCATGAGTTCTCATCATAGAAAAAGCTCTTCAGTTACTCCTTTCAGTCTTTCTGCCTCAGGTCCTCCAAGTGCTAATGATTTTTCAAGTGCTGGTTCAAGTCCGACTTCAAGTTTTTTTGAGAACATGATCAAGGGTGAGAAAAAGAAAGAGGAGAGATCAGGATCAGGTAGTAGTGTTGTTGATTCGCCGCTACTGAGACCATTGCATAGATCTGCTTCTCAATCGTCATTTGCTCTTGAAGAGAACCCATCATTTCCTTCTACTCCAACAACAAAGAACCTAGCGTTGTTTGATCCAGAGAACACAACTTTCAATAAAAAGTTCGTTGGAACCCCGGATTACTTATCACCAGAGACAATTCAAGGTACAGGTGAAAATGAAGCGTCCGATTGGTGGTCAGTTGGCTGTATTCTTTTTGAGTTCTTGTTCGGTTATCCACCTTTCCATGCAAAGACTCCAGAGAAAGTTTTTGAAAATATTTTGAATGGTAGAGTTGACTGGCCTAATCTAGCACCTGAAGAAGAGTTGGCATATTGCTCACCAGAAGCCAAAAACTTGATAAAAAGACTACTTGATATGGATCCGGAGACCAGACTTGGTGTTAACGGTGCTCAAGAAATTAAAGATCACCCATATTTCAGTGGCGTTGATTGGGATGATTTATACAACTCTGCAGGCTCATTTGTTCCTGTTGTTGATGATCCAGAAAGCACCGATTATTTTGAATCTAGAGGGGCTGCTTTACATGAGTTCCCATCGGATGGTTCTGATTCTGATGCTGATGATTCAATGGATAGTAAGAATGATGCTCCAAGAACTCAAGTTAATAGCACAACAGCATTAGGTTCACCTTCAACAATGAATTCCCCAACTTCGAAACATTTGTCATTAGCTATTCCTGTGCATTTAAGAGAAAGAAGACCAAGTAAGTTGAATGATAATAGTGGTGAGTTTGGCTCATTCCAGTTCAGAAATCTCCCAGCTTTAGACAAGGCAAATAAAGATGTCATTAATCGTATCAAAGCTGAGCATTTGGAGCATAGAAGCAGTATGTCAAGCTCATCTTCTGAGTCTGGAACAAGGTCTAGAAATTACTCAATTTCATCAAATAATGGGTTGAGACGTGCCGTATCTCCTTCTTCTTCAATCATGAGAACACATTCCCCAAGCAGGATGAGTATCAACTCAGCCAATGCGCCTCAATCTGTTCCATTACATGAAAGACTTAATTCAAGTGCTTCTGTTTTGAGTAACTCATCAGGTGAAGATATGGGAACTAGTATTTTTGTTGAGAGATCCGGTCGGTCAAGTCCAAGAAGTGATTCAGGCTCTCCATCAACGAAAAGTTTTGCCAAACCACAGACACCAACACCACAAGGTCAACCAACTAATCCATCAAGAGTTTCAAGAAGCAATCTGTTTCATAGAGCCTTTTCAGATTTTTCACCATCAAGCTCAGATACTGAAGATTCTCGTTCTTCTGCTTTACAAAGAGTTCGTAAAAGAAGACAGAGCTCCAAATTCTCGGAAAGTTCCAACTCTAGACTGTCGATTCTGGATATTTTGTTATGTGAACCAATTCCTATTTTGAGATACTCTATGAAGAAAAATCTAGAAAGTTTAGGTTGTGCCGTTGTTGCTGTTTCTGCTGGTGATGAAATCGTAAGAAGAGCTACTGGTGAAGTTAAGTTTGATCTGATAATTACTGCTTTGAAACTGCCAAAGCTTGGTGCTATTGATATTGCTAAATTATTGAAACATACTTCAAGTGTTAATTCCGAGACCCCTGTTATTGCAGCTACTGCTTACTACAAAGAAGCTACGACTGCTAATATTTTTAGTGATGTTTTGGAAAAACCAGTTGGTCGTAAGCAGCTCAAAGGAATCCTTGAAAAACACTGTCGTTGGAAAATTGATAGAGCTGAAGAGGCTGTTTCTGATACAGAAGCTCTTTCAGATAGTGATCATGTTACTTCAAATATTGCAATTTTGAATGCTAAGCCAACTTAAATTATTTTTTATTAATGAGAACACGATTAAAGAGCATAAATATAAGGGAAGTTATGATTATATTACACAAATGTAGTTACAAATTTGCAAAATATTCTATATTCATCATTATATAAATTGATAACCTAATCATACAAGATCTTCGTCAAGACGAGCAGCAGGGTTAGTTTCAATGAAATCAAGACTGACTTTATGACCCAATAACTCTCTAATATTACTGACACCGTATTTAATCATAGTTGGACGTTCTAATGAAAGACCCCAACCTAAAACTCTCAAGTTCTTTGGTAATCCCATTGGTTCCAACATTTCAGGTCTAAACATACCTGAGTTACCAATTTCAACCCATTTACCTAAACCACTGTGCCATGAGAAAATTTCCATTGAAGGTTCAGTGTATGGGTTATAAGTTGGTTTGAATCTTAAATCTTTGACACCCATTTTACCAAAGAAATCTTCCATGAAACCAATCAAATCACCTAAAGTTAGATCATAATCAGCCAACACACCTTCAACTTGATGGAATTCAGCTAAATGTGTAGCATCAACAGCTTCATTTCTGAAAACTCTATCAATGGAAAACAATCTAGATGGTTTTGGATCTTTTGCTAATTCATGTAGAATTCTTGATGAAATGGCGGTAGTATGTGTTCTTAAAACTAGTTTTAAACTTTCTTCTTCATTCCATGGATATCTGTAACCAATGGAGCCGAATGCGTTACCTTCATGGACGTCTTTGATGTTTTTCATATATGTTTTATCTTCTGGGGCACCTGCAACTAACGGATCTTTAATATAGAAAGTATCTTGTAAATCACGAGCAGGGTGTTGTTGAGGAACGAATAATGTATCAAAATTCCAGAAACCGGTTTCAACATATTGATTTGAAGGCATTTCACTGAAACCTAAAGAGAAGAAAATTTGTCTAAATTCTTCACGAACTTTCATTAATGGATGTAAAGCACCTGAGTCTGGGTAAACACCTTCAGAGTTGAAATTATAAGGTTTGAATTTAGCATTTTCCCAGTTACCACTTATAACCATATCACTAGTGATATCGGTTTCCAACTTTTCAATTTCCAAACTGAATTCTGGACCTTTTTCAACTTTGAATGATAAGATTTTAGAAACAGTGACTAATTTACGTTTTTTCAATTCTGATAATTTCTTAGCATCTTTCAATGTACCAGTTTCTTGAACTTCCTTTAATTCAGTTGAAGTTTCATCTGATGGAAGTTGAGATTTATCTAATTTATCACTGACAACCAATTCATCGCCGTTTTTACTGATCCATCCATTTTTGAAAGCTCTAGCTTGACCAGTCTTACCTGCTGGACCCAAGACATTACCAACTTCTGATATTTTCAAATGTTCCAACTTAAGAATGGTTTCTAGTAATCTATATTCATGAGAACCATTTTGAACAATTTCTTCAGCTTCTTTTGTTAAATTCCATTTTTCTTTTTCAATTGATTTATATGTGATCTTTGAACGGGCCAATAAAGAATTCAAAGCAGCTTGAACTTCTTGAGAATCCAATTTTGGGAAGGTGTTCAATGTGTTTTCAATAGACCCTTCCTTGTCTAAGGTTTGCAAAATGGTTAATTGTAACTCTGACATTTTGATGAGTCAACAAATTGTCCGTAACGCTCTTGGTTGATTTATTCTTCATTAACTTCATTTTTTCTTTCAATTTTTTTGGCAGGCTCAAATTAAGCACATTTCCGCGAACTTTACCCGGAGTTGAAATATCTTGAATTCAGCTTAATTCAATAAAGATTGAACGTGGAACATAGAGATCTCTCTTTTATAGAAACAGATGATTATTGTGAGAGGCTGTGGTTTCTGCGAAGGCTTTTCTCGTTAACTAGTTTTTGAGATGCTAAAAAGTATCTTCTAGAGTCAAAAAGTTCACCACAGAATCGCGATTTGGCGGGTAAAAAGTGTCGCGAATTATCAATAAATGTAGTTCAAAAGCTGAAGCTCTTGGAGAACATCAACAACATTTTTGATCCTGTGAATTCATATAAAACTAGTCGTCGAGATGGATGTCAGTGCAATAACAAATCACGATACTGCTAATACTGAGCCAGGGGCTGCAAAGGAAACCGAACTCAAACAATCCCAAGACCATGCCTTTTCCATTAGCTCAATGATGAACAATGACGAAGAAAGAACAGTTTCACCAGATCCAATACAGACCGAGGAAAGGGAACAAGAAAACGGGAAAGAAGAAAATGGTATACACCATTCAGATTCTCAAAATGACCTAGTGCCAAAAGATGTTGACGCGGGTAGTGAAAGTACGCTGTCTGATGTTGAGTCAACAAAAGCACAATCAGAGGATGAATTCACTGATCTGGAGTTGTCAGATGATAATGCAGAAGAGATTGAAAGTAAAAGGATTGAAGCTGATTGTCATTGGTCAGGATGCCAGGATAAGTTTCTAAATATAGATGATTTAGTGCAACACTTGAATTCAAAACATATAACAAATGTTGACTCAGTGTATCGCTGTGAATGGGACAATTGCTTTAGAAAAGGTGTTACACAACCAAGCAGATTTGCCTTGATATCTCATCTAAGGACACATACAGGCGAAAAGCCTTTTTTCTGCATAATACCAGAATGTTCAAAGCATTTTACCAGAGCTGATGCGTTATCGCAACATATTAGAACTGTGCACCAAACTTCAAATTTATCCGTGGAATATCCTTTCTGGTACAGTTATCTGAATGGTCTGAAAAATGATGAAACCTTTGCTAAAAGATTTAGATTAATGCCAGAAATGCACAGCTTGGAAAGATATTCAAAGTTAGATAGCGGGGATCAGTTTCAGAAAGAACTCGCAAATAAGAAAATTCAATTTGATAATATTCATAATATAGAGCTAACTGATTTGACTGAACCTACTTCCAAGAGACAAAAAACTAGTTTGAAAGATATAAATGCAGGGCTCAAAGCGTCATTTGAAAAAGAAGATGCTGATTTCAAACATCATATAGCAGCTGCTGCAAAGGATACATTCAAAAGCTTGGAAGGAGTTGAGTCCCTACCTACAGATGCTTCCATTGAATCAGTTCAGTCTTTGGAAGAATTACAAGCTTTACATGAATCATTGAGACGTAAATATGTATGGGGTCTTGAAGTTGAAAAATTGATTACAAAAGAATTAAAACAGCTTAGAACAGAAAAAACCCAATTGTGGCTCAAGAAAGAAACATTACTAGATGCACATATAGAACTAGAGATTTCTGAGAATAGGGACTTGTATAGTTTGAAGTGAATAGTACTGTTAAAAATGAATGTGATGATTCTATTCATACGTTTATGTTATGTAAGTGCTTATGTAATTTTGGGCTCATCTCTAGAAAAAAAAATTTATTTGAAACCATAAAGCTACTCTTAAGAGCATCTGATCATAGAGTGTTAAACAGTTCTTCAGTGAAACCTCATATACAAAATGCAGCTTTCTCCAATTCATGAAACATCTACAACAGCTAGCCTGACTGACAATGAAGAAAATGCCTACGATAAGTTGGGATTAAATGATTTATTCGAAGAGTTGAGAAAATCAAGTAAGAATAATGTTCCAAAAACTCAAGATGAAAATGAAGATCAGTTTAGTAAAATAAAGAAATCTATTGCTAGTCTACCCAAAATACAAGAAGCTGGTGAGTCTCTAAGTGAAGAGATTGCTAAAAATCAAAACTTTAAGACAAGTGTGAAAGGTGGGAAAGATATACATGTTATAAGTGATACCATAGAAGCTGCAAAGAAGATGGGTCATCAAAAAGAGACAGCCGGTTCTGACTGGTTTGGTCTTCCAAAAGGAGAAGTCACACCTGCTGTGAAGAGAGACTTCAAAGTTATTCAACAAAGAGCTGCATTAGATCCAAAGAGACATTACAAGAAAGATAAATGGGTACAACCAGAATTTTTCCAAATTGGAACTATTGTGGAGGGAAATACCGAGTATTATTCTTCAAGACTGAAAAACAAAGAACGTAAGCAAACCATTTTGGAAAGTGTGCTACATGATCAAGATACAAAACATTACTTTAAAAGGAAATATAGTGAGATTCAAACCAAGAAAACTTCGGGTAAAAAAGCTCATTATAAAAAAGTTAAGGACGCTAGACGTAAATTCTAGCTCTATGCTTTGTAAAACATTGTTTAATTAATTGCATTTCATCGAGGGTTGGGTCTTTATTATATTCTTTGACGTAGTTATAATTCAGTTTGAGTAATAGATGTCATTAGAATCGATTTCGTTATATGGAACATACGTGAACGCGTGATTCACCACTGAGCTCTGAGCTTTACTTCTACGACCTCTTGAGCTTTAACAAGATGGCTGAACATTCCAGCCCTATGCGCAAGCTCACAACATGTTTCTTTGCCTTATAATAACCGATACTTTAGGTTAGTTCTATTTCGAATTGACCATAAGTCAGCAGATACAGCAACTGGATGATATACTTCAAGATAGTCCTTCTGATATGCTCAAATTTCACAGATACCTCTCAAACAATTAGCTTCCAGAACTACAACCAGCTTAAACATGTTCATATAAGTCCCCGGAATATACCCTTTATAGAGATTTAATAACAAAAACAATCTTTTTATTTCCGAGGGTTACCCTGCGGCTTTTGTTTTGGTGAAACCAGCTTCAATCTTATATTTTTTTCTTCAAAAGAGTATCAAAAAGTTTGTAAAGTTTTGGAATTCCAAGGCAAATTTTGTTGACAAGTATTCGATCTTTGGCGGTTGATTATCATTGTTAGTTTAGTTTCAAGACATATCTGTGCTGCTTTCATTTTTAAAGTATTAATTGACGGAGCAATAGTTGATTTCATAGCTGATCAAATCAAAAAAGATCCCATCAACTTGTGTGTCAGATCATCATTCCACCAAATTAACTTGAATTAACTATAAAAATCATCTTTTAAGGGACAAAGTAAGTACAGACAACTCAATTACATTGGTGTATACTTCTCCTAGCTGCTACTTTACTTTTTCAGTTTCAGAATTGCTAGTGTTGTCAAATATTCTTGTTTGACGATCGCCAGAGTATTTCATCAGATCTTGAGAATTGGAACAAATTTTACTAACTTTGAAAAAGAATAGAAAACTAATCATAAATAATAAGTTCAAGATGGATATCGGACAAATTCTTGAAAATGCGATCATGAACCCTGATCCAGCTAAGCGTTCTGAAGCTGAAGCTCAAATGCAAGCTATGTCTAAGGATCATTTCGTCATGTATATTGGCTTATTGACAGAAGCATTGGCTGATGAATCAAAAAGAGCTGAAGTTAGAATATTAGCTGGTATCACTTTAAAGAATGAGTTGACCTCAAAAGATGCATCTAAAAAGAGACATCAAGCGGAACGTTGGATAAATTTGGATCAAGCTTCAAAATCTCAAATCAAAGAGATCAGTTTGAAATCTTTGTTAACTCAAAATGACAGAGTTGCAAACGCTGCTGCTCAATTAGTCGCAGCTATTGCTGACATTGAATTACCAAGACAAGAATGGAATGAACTAATCAGTATAATCGTGGAGAACACTAAACCTGAAAAACCTGAACATGTCAAACGTTCATCATTATTAACAATTGGTTATATTTGTGAAACTTCTGATCCAAATGATGCTGGTGTTGTGAGTCAATCAAATGGTATTTTGATTGCTATCGTTCAAGGTGCTCAATCTTCAGAACCATCAAAAGTCGTTAGATTAACTGCTTTGAATGCATTGGTTGATTCTTTAGAATTTATCAAATTCAATTTTGAGCGTGAAGGTGAAAGAAATTATATTATGCAAGTTGTCTGTGAAGCTACTCAAGCAGATGATTCTGAATTACAAGCTGCTGCCTTTGGTGCATTAGCTCGTATAATGTCCTTATACTATTCTCATATGAGTGTTTATATGGAAAAGGCTTTGTATGGTTTGACTGTTGCTGGTATGCAATCCTCAGATGAAAGAGTTGCTTGTATGGCTGTCGAATTTTGGAGTACTGTTTGTGAAAATGAAATTGAAATCGCTTTAGAAAAAGAAGAATTCCCAGATTCACAGTTAACCTCTTATAACTTCGCCTTAGTTGCTATCCAAGATATCCTTCCAACATTATTCCAATTATTAACTAGACAAAACGAAGATGCAGATGATGATACTTGGAATGTTGCAATGGCTGCAGGTGCTTGTTTACAATTGTTCGCTCAAGATACTGGTAACTTTGTTGTTCAACCTGCTTTATCTTTTGTGGAACAAAATATCAGTAGTCCAGAATGGAGAAATCGTGAAGCTGCAGTTATGGCATTTGGTTCCATTTTAGATGGCCCTGATAGAGATCAATTGAAAGTTCTTATCGCTCAAGCTCTTGGTCCAATTTTACAATTGATCAAGGATGAAAACTTACAAGTCAAAGATACTGTTGCTTGGTGTATTGGTAGAATTGCTGATCTGATTATTGATGCTATTGACGTTCAACAGCACTTACCAAATGTTATTCAAGCCATTATTGAAGGTTTGAAAGATCATGGAAAGGTTTCAACCAACTCTTGTTGGACATTGATCAATATTGTTGAGCAATTGAATCAAACTGCTCAACAAGATGAAACATCTCCTCTATCACAATATTATCCAGCTTTAGTTCCAATTTTGATTCAAGTTTCTGGAAGAAGTGATAACGAATATAGTGCTAGAGCCTCTGCTTATGAAGCTTTATCAACTCTAGTTCTTTTCAGTGCTAAGGATGTTATGCCAATCATTAACAATATTGCTTCAGAAGTTTTAAGCAGAATTGATCAAACTCTTCAATTGCAATCCCAAATTGTCACTGCGGATGATAAATATAACTTGGAAGAATTACAATCAAACATTTTAAGTTTGTTAACTAATGTTATAAGAAGAGTTGGTAAAGATGTTGGTTCTGTTGCTGACAGTTTGATGCAACTATTTTTGAAATTATTACAAGCTCAACAACAACAAAATTCAATCATTGAAGAAGATGTTTTCATCGCTATCAGCGCCTTGGCTGGTGCAGTTGAACAAGATTTCAACAAATACATGACCGCCTTCTTACCATTCTTGACAAATGCTTTGAATCAAACTGATTCACCAATTTCCAACACTGCTGTTGGTTTAGTTGCTGATATTTCCCATTCATTGGGTGAAAACTTCAATCAATATTCTGAAGGTTTGATGAATATCTTGGGTTCCATCTTGTCTAACGCTAATGTCAGAAAAGAATTGAGACCAGCTGTTTTATCAAGTTTCGGTGATATTGCTTCTGCTATCGGGCCAGCTTTCCAGCCATACTTATCAGTTGTTTTCAACATTTGTCGTGAGGCTCAAATTGCTCAACCTGAAGGATCTTCAATTGAAGCATTAGATTACATATTGAACCTTCGTGAATCTGTCTTAGATTGTTATGTTGGTATTGTTGGTGGTTTACATGGTCAAGCTGACTCAATTTACCCATTTGCTGCTCAAATTTTCGAACTATTACAATCTATAAGCGAAGAAGCAAGCTTCTCATTATCTGAAAGTGTCAGCAGATCAGCTGTTGGATTATTAGGTGATCTAGCTCAAATGTTCCCAGATGGAAGAATAAAATCAGCTTATGCTCAAGACTGGATTACTCAATTCATCAAAAAGACAAGAACTAACCCAGCTTTCCAACAGAATACCAAAGATACTGCAAGATGGGCAAGAGAGCAACAAAAGCAACAACTAAACTTATAATGATCTTAACTTAATTAACTGTTGTTGGTGGCACCTACTTTTTTAACAAATTTTAGCATTTTTACTTTTTACTTTTAACTTTTCCTCAGTTTTTTTGAATTTTCCCCTTTTACATACCCTCCTATCCCTTTTATCACCAATGCATTCTTTAACTTCCTTTTTAACCTGATACAACCGTATATATACCTGGTAAATGAAGGTAACTCCTTAATATTGATAGCTGTTGTAGAGACTTTTTGAACTTTCCACGCTCATCGCCCGTTGCAAAAAAAAATCAAGATCAACAAACCTGCTAAAATCGAAACAAACACATTGATAACAACGTAGTCATCATGTCCAGCACTCAACTAAACTACAACCCAATTCCCTTTGATGATACATATGTGCTTTATGATCCAAATGATATTGTTTCATTTGTTTCTGTTTACTTTTCATTGTTACCAATTGGGATCCTAATCTTTTATCTTTCATGGTTCATAATCACACGTGAAATAGAACCAGTTATAATAGCTGGAGGTCAAGTTGTCAATGATGTTGTCAATAATATTGTCAAAAATATCCTCAAAGAGCAAAGACCTTTCCTAATTGAAGGTTTCCAACAAAATGGGTTAAGATCAGGTTATGGTATGCCTAGCGCTCATTCTCAATTCATGGGTTTTTTTGCAACTTATTTCATGCTGAGAGTTTGGTTACAATGGAAAGATCTAACTACTAGTAGAAAAATAATCAGTACATGTGCATTGTATGGGGTTGCAGGGTGTGTCGTGTTCTCTAGAGTTTATCTTTACTATCATAGTTTAGGTCAGGTCTTGGTTGGTGTTTCTTTGGGAAGTTTCATTGGAGCAAGTTATTTTGTTGTGATCGGTATTGCCAGATCTATCGGATTCATTGATTTCATTTTGGGCTGGCCTATTGTGAAATTGTTTTGGGTTAAAGATTCAGTATATCATGCACCAATGAGTTTAAAAGAGGAATATGAGTTCTGGATTACAAGAAAGGAAAAAGAGAATAAGAAGGATTAGAATCAATACATGATTGAACGATTTTGCATTTTGATATTTGGATTATATTGTAATTACTTGAGAATTCCATGTTCATGGATCAACACCTTCCATTTGAATTCTTGTTGCCTTATTTTCATATGGTGTATAAGATATCTCAACGATTTCATTTCTTGGGAACTCTAAGGATGGAATATCATAACAAGAGCATGCCATCAAATAACCATACAACACAGCCAAGACAGATTCATGTGCAATAATTAAAATGTCACCACTCATTCTCTCCATTTCCAATAATAGAGGTTCCATTCTAACAGCCAAGTCATGATAAGATTCAGCTCTTGGATATCTATGATGATATGGATCTTTTTGATCTTGTTTGTAATCATCAGGGAATCTTTGCTTTATTTCATCAAGACTCAAATCAGCAATTTCACCAGGGTTCAATTGATTCAATTGATACCGTTCTCTTACTGTGATACCTCTCTTTCTGAAAGGGTTAGCAGTAGCTGATGTTCTCTTTCTTGTAGCAGTCCAAACAACAAATGAATCATCACTACTACCGTCGGCTCTTGGAGGTTGTCTCACTTCATGTTTCCCTAGATTGTTTAAAGCTTCACTGCTTGAATTCAAAGAAGAACCGGTTGATTCCAAAGTTATAGTGTTCACATATGAAGGCTTCTTTTCCAGTTTTTTTCTTCTTGAAATATAATTCAATAGTCTTGAACTCAACTTTTCTGAAAACTCCAAACCAGACTTATTCAATTGTTCATCATCTATATATTTATCCAAATCTGACTTACCACATCTAGCAAAATAAACACAACCACTTTTGATTTTGGAATTCATCAAAAAGAAAACGATTCTATTAATCAAATAACCATATTGACTATTGTTCATGACAAGTTTCTCACCAAAGTTCACAAATTTGACATAACTCAAATGAGTTTCATCTTCTTTACCTTCATTCATCTTTATGTAAATAGGGGCATTAGCTTTGATTCTTTCAAGATAATCTTTCTTGGCTAGTTTAGGATCCCATCCTTTATAATCTGGTGAAGAAGCAGCATTAGCGACATTCTTTGCAATAAGGTCCTCATCATCCACAATTGATTCAATAAACAAGACCTTGATGTTCTTTTTAGAAAACATCTCTTGTAATTCAAGTCTATCTTTTGGTAAAGCATTTAATGCATCATAGATTGCCACTTGACCTTTTTCATCCTCTAAGAATCTTGTAACATCACTTAAACAATCATCTAAGATCTTTTGACGAAGTTCAACACCTCTCTCAGTATTCGGTACCGCTTTGAAGTAATCTTGTGGGATATCATCTTCAAAATTAGCATAAGTTTTACGTCTGTAATCACCAACATGGAACGCATGAGTCTTAACACCCAACCATCTCAAGTAACGAGTAATACTAACAGCTAAATGAGTTTTACCTCTAGCAGGTAGCCCAACCAAAGCGATCAAAACTTTACCAGCATGGAACAAACGACCGGATTCTGTAGAGTATAACTGAGCAGGGAAGATATGATTTGGGGAGAGGTGAGCATGAACACCATCAATTGTTGTTGAACCAAAACTGTTTCTTGAAGATGTTGAAGACCAGCGTTTCTGAGTTCTTGCAGAGTAATTCCCAGGGATCTTTGGAGGTTGTATTTCACAGCCAGTCATTGTTGTTGTGATGTCGTCTTCATCAGATTCCACAATAGCACTCATCTTGAAAAGCAACTGTTCCTTGTCTGTGTTTTTCTATTCTAATAATCCTTTCCCGAAGCACCCTCCAATGGTCCAAATTCTTTTAGTATCAGCAAATATCAGCCTAATTTAGCTTTGTTTATGGTTGCTCAATGGGACAAAGTTAACGATTCCTTTGTCGCCTTCTTTTGTGAATTTGGTGATTTCGCTGGCTTTTCCCTTAAAATTGGTCCGGGGTAACACAGATCAAATTCGCGAAGTACTTAACTATGGTATTATGGGCAATGTAAAGATAAAGATCTAAAGAGATATTCAGCTTCTACGATTCGATTCGGTTCTCTGTTTTCTTTTGCGTAAAATACATTTATTTTCTGAACCAAAAATTAAGCCTAAAACCAAATTATTTAAAAAACCTTATAATTAATTGACGTTTATTTAAATTTATTCAGCTTTACCACCTTTTCTGGTAATTAAAGCTTTACGGTCTTTGTCCAAGTGTAATTTAGTGATGACAACTTTTGATGGGTGGATGTTGATTGGGATGGTAGCACCGTTTGATTTTTCTTTGGTTAATTTGTCAACTTGAACGGCAAATTTTAATCTGTAAACTGATGAGATTTTACCTTCTTGACCTTTTTTAGAACCACGAACAACTAAAACTTGATCTTCTTTTCTGATTGGTAAAGCTTTGATACCATATTGTTCACGTAATTCTTTTGATAATGGAGCTGACAAAAGAGAACGACGAACAGATGATGGGGCTGTGAAATAAGCTTTTCTAGCTTTGCTTCTTGAGCTTGAAACGTCTATAGAAATGTTAGTATTCATTATCTCAATATTGATGGTAGGAATAGAGATGTGGAGCCTCATCAAATATATCTGGGTGTTTCCATTGGCACAAACATAGATTAATGGTCTATCTTCATAGCATATTGGTCTACGGCTATTCATGTTGACTGATTTCTCTGGTATTCTTTCACTTCTAGTGTATCTTTCCTTCCTTTAATGTTGATTATTGAATTATAACTTTTCATTGATTGACAAATATAAATTTTGCTTTACGAAAGCATTCCTCATGATCACGATAATATAACTTTGAAACTGCTTGCCTTTACTCTATTCCCTTATTCCTCTGTTCGTTTTCCCACATACCTAATGATTGTTTAGCCATCTTTGTCTATGTGTTTCGGTTGAAGGTGAGCTCTTCTTTAGGTATAGTTGAAGTTGAAATAAAATTCACTTTTTTGTTGTACCAAAGCACGATTGAGAGTCTCATACAAAAAAAGTGTTGCACGAAACGCAATTTACTATGGTGCTTATGTCATCGAAATTGGTTTCTGAGGGTAACTTTCTTGTTGGGGCTCGAAAAAAATGAGTCGGTTTGATGTTTTTTGTTTGTGCGCTAAATGGTGTTGGGATGTTGGTAAGGAAAATATGGCAGTAGGGCACATTTCACTGATCACATGACTAGGAATAGGGGTTACATGATTAAGAATAATTTGAATTTATTAACCAAATAGAAACTTTCAGCACTTTAACAAAGCAGTGACTGATCGAAGGCATCTATCTGGGACTAATACAAAAATGAAATTCCTTCAATTAGATAAATCAATGCCCATTTAACAATTGACAATTCTTCCAGTGCATCGAGTAAATAATCTGATCTAGACACGCCTTAATTCTTCATGCTCAGTCCTGACTCCTGACCTTCACAACACACAACAAAAACAACCACACCAGCAATAAAAGAACCTGAAAACCAGCACAGGAGCAACTAGCAAAAATTAGGATTCCAATGAACCAAAAAAAACAAAACAAATCGCACGCTTTACAGTAAAAAATGGTAGAAAATTGAGTTGAAAATGTGTCAGCCCCTCCCGAGGATCGAACTCGGATCAGATTCTCCGGAAAAAACTATGCTAACCATTGCACTAGAGGGGCAACGTCCAACTGGCCACAGAAGGGCTCTGATCTAGAATATTTACCCGGGTCCTCTATGTCGTTTTCTCGACCCTCGGCACACGTGACCATTTTGTGTTTCGGACTACCGTTTTAGGAAATTTAATTGGCATTGTTTTGACATTTTGACGCGTAAAATCACGAAATTTTCAATCGAGATTTATAAAGTTCATTTGTCCAAAACAATAACACTACAAGAAAGGTATTAGTTGAAGTAAAAGCAAGAGGTCAAGAATATGTCATCTCCAGCAGTATCGTTGCCTCCATCCTCCATCGCTGGTGGCCATGGAAGCAATCCAAATTCCAATATCTTTAGTGATTTAACTGCTAATATGGAAGCTGAAGAATTTCAAAATCAACAAAGAGATCAAGAAGCTCAAGAAGATGAAAATGTTCCAGTTGAAAGATTAAGAAGAAGAAATTTGAATGCTATTAGAAAAATCGTTGATCTTACTGGTGAAAAAGTTCGTGAAGCCTTTGAACAATTTTTAGAAGAGTTCACTGTTGATTTTTCAAATGAAAATGCTACGCAAGATGAACTAGAAGTTAATGAAAGATTTCAAGGGAAAGTTTACATAGCACAGCTAAATCTTATGAAGGCTAATGATTCAAGTACAATTTACATTGATTATGAACATTTAGTCACAAGAGAAAATGGTGTTCTAGCAGCAGCTATTAGAGATCAATTTTATAGATTCTTGCCTTTTCTTCAAAAAGGTTTAAGAAGAGTCATCAAGAAACATACACCAAAATTATTAGAAGTTTCTGCGAATGGTCTTGTCGGCGGTGGTCAAACTGATTTGGAAACTGGGTCAACTCAATCATCAAGTATTAATAGTATTGAAAGAGTTATTCAAATAAGTTTTTACAATATGCCAGATCTTTTAAAAATTAGAGAGTTGAAAGGTGAACAAATTGGTGCACTATCATCTATTTCAGGTACTGTTACAAGAACTTCAGAAGTTCGTCCAGAATTATTCAAAGGTTCATTCACTTGTGATAACTGTAGAGCAGTTGTTGATGGTGTTGAACAAGTTTTCAGATATACAGAACCAACACATTGTCCAAATCCAGATTGTGGGAATCAAGCTTATTGGACTTTAGATATATCAAAATCTCAATTTGTTGATTGGCAAAGAGTCAGAGTTCAGGAAAATTCACATGAAATTCCAACAGGTTCAATGCCTAGAACTTTGGATATTATTCTTAGAGGAGAATTAGTGGAAAGAGCAAAACCTGGTGATAAATGTAAGTTTGTCGGTACCGAGATTGTTGTTCCAGATTTATCACAATTGGGTATACCTGGTGTTAAACCATCTGCTATTAGAGATAGTGGATCGGGTCAAAGAAGTGATGGGTTAAACTCAGGTGTTACTGGGCTGGCTGCATTAGGTGTTAGAGATTTAACTTATAAAACTGCATTTTTAGCCTGTCATGTTTCTTCAATGGTCTCTGGAGAAGATAGAGCTTTCAAATTAGATGACGAATCTGATGAACATTCTGATCATGATCAAGCTAAATTCTTGGGCAGTTTAACAAGACAAGAAATTGAAGAGTTAAAAGAAATGGTTAAAGATGAACACATTTATTCCAAACTAGTTTCTTCTATTGCACCAGCTGTCTATGGGCATGATATTGTTAAAAAGGGTATATTATTACAAATGCTTGGGGGTGTTCATAAGAAAACTGTTGATGGTATCAATCTAAGAGGTGATATCAATATTTGTGTTGTTGGTGACCCTTCAACCTCTAAATCCCAATTTTTGAAATATGTTGTTGGGTTTGCTCCAAGATCAATTTATACATCTGGTAAGGCATCCTCTGCTGCGGGTTTAACAGCTGCTGTTGTACGTGATGAAGAATCTGGAGAATTCACAATTGAAGCAGGTGCATTGATGCTTGCTGATAATGGTATTTGTTGTATTGATGAATTTGACAAAATGAATGTTACAGATCAAGTTGCCATTCATGAAGCCATGGAACAACAAACAATTTCCATTGCTAAAGCTGGTATTCATGCTACCTTAAATGCAAGAACATCTATATTAGCAGCTGCTAATCCTATTGGTGGTAGATATAACAGAAAATTGGGGCTTAGGGCAAACCTGAACATGACTGCACCAATTATGTCAAGATTTGATTTATTTTTTGTTGTTTTGGATGATACAAATGAAAGAACTGATACTTTACTAGCTAGTCATATTGTTGATTTACATATGAAGAGAGATAATGCAATCAATCCTCCATTCACGGCTACACAATTACAGCGTTATATCAAATATGCCAGAACCTTCAAGCCAAAAATGACAAAAGAGGCTAGAGATTTCTTAGTTGAAAGATATAAAGAGTTAAGATCTGATGATGCTCAAGGTTTTGGTAGAAGTTCATATAGAATCACTGTGCGTCAATTGGAATCTTTGATCAGATTATCAGAAGCCATTGCAAGAGCTAATTGTGTTGATGAAATCACTCCAACATTTGTCGCTGAAGCTTACGAACTATTGAGACAATCGATCATTAGAGTTGAACATGATGATGTTGAAATACCAGAAGATGATGACGGTGATAATGATGGTGAAGCTGAAGAAAAAGAGGCTGAAGAAAATGCTGACAGAGCTGAACAAGAAGAACAAGGGCAACGTGAAGGTACACCAGAAGATCGTGATGGTGATCAAAATATGGATCAAGAAGAACAAGAAAAAGAAGCACAGAAAAAGAAGAAGAAGAAACTTGTCATTTCATATGAAAAATTCACAAAGATTGTTCATATCATTGTGCCAAAAATTGGTGAATTGGATCGTGATAATGAAGAAGCCATGACAATTGAACAAATTGCTGATTACTATTTGCATCAAATTGAATCAGAGTTGGATACTGAAGCTAAATATTGGAATGAAAGAGAAATTGCATTTAAAGTTGTCAAGAGATTAGTCAAAGAAAGAACATTGATGAAGATCAGGGATGAAATGAGCCAAGAAGAATTAGCTGAAAGGGATGGAGAAAGTGAGGAGGATCGAGAAGTAAGATTAGAAGCAGTTAGAAAGAATTTGAAGATGCGTTATGTGCTACATCCAAACACTGCCATTATGGAAAACTTTGCCGGTGAAGAAGAGGATGAGGCTCCACTTCCGGAGCAAAGAGATGAAGAGTAAGGATTTTCCGGTGTTGTTAAATGGGTCTTTTAAGTTTTTAGTTTTTAGTTTTTAGTATTTAATAGTTTTTGAACCACACTTGGGCTTTTTACGTATTGTTGTTAGGTTACTCGCTAGCGTAAAACCAATTCGCGAAGCTCGCGACTTTGAAGGAAAAAAAAATTCAACAAACTCCATAAAACATCATCGACGTCAATTATTTGGAGAAGAGACCGCTCAATTGTTATTTCAAGAGTGCAATCATGTTCCAAATACTCACCAGATCAGTTAATCAGAGTGCTCAGAGATCTCTCTTAGTTTCTTCAAGGCTACAGTCCAATCTTCTAGCAAAATCCATTGCTAACCAAGCTCAATTATACAGAATTCGTAACTATTCAAGCACAACTTCATCATCTTCCAATGGCTCATCATCTTCCTCTTCAAACCCAAAGTCAAATGATAAAAACCCAAAGATCCCATTGTGGGCTAGAGTCAAAACTGCCTCAACATTCGCCGTTGCTACCACTGTTGTGTTGGGTGCTGCTGGTTTAGCTGGGTTAGTCATATACTTGGTCGTTTCAGAAATTGTTTTACCTTCAGGTGATACACAAGTATTTAATAAAGCCGTTAGCATGATTGAAAAAGATGAAAAGTGTCAAGAACTCCTACAACTGGAGAAAGGTAAGAGGTTAAAAGCGTATGGTGAAAGTAGTGACAATAAATGGACAAGAAATAGACCAATTGCTTCAACTAGACGTGTGGATAAGACTGGTAAAGAACACTTGTTCATGAGATTCCATGTTGAAAGTGGATCAAGACATGGGGCAGTTCAACTTGAAACTGTTCAAGCTGATGTGTTACATCCGGAATATTCATACATCTATTTAGATGTCCCAGGTGAAAAAAGATACTATGTGATTGCTCCTCCTCAACCAAAACTTTTGGGATCAAGAGATCAGAATACTGGGTTTTTAGGTGTCAAATGGGGCCCAAAAACTGACTGAATTTTGACTTTGCAATGATGAAACGAATTAACAACATAAAACTTATATAAAATACCATACTTCTCCTTTATTCATGACCTAACTACGATTGTGCAAATAATCAACAGTTAATGCATTTATCCATATCATATGTAATGGTGCAAAACAAATATTTAAAGCCCTCACTAATTATAATATATCGATATTCTTTTCATATATATGTAGCAGATCAAATGTTCAAGAAAGGTAAAATAATGACAAAAACAAAAGACAGAAGAACAATTGAACTCAAGTTTTGGTAAAATTTGATTTGTGATCCCGAGTTCTCGTGACCTGTTCCATTACCATGACCATTACGAGAATTAGTTGAATTGCCTGATGCTGTTGAATTCTTTTTGGAGAATGATTTTAGTTCCAACTTTTTGGCTTCATTTGCTTTAATTATGGAAAGACATGAATCTCCTGTCAATGTGACAATATCACTCAATTCTTGTTCAGTTGAAACTTTCGAGTTCAAACTTGCTAATCCATCGAAATCACATTTGTCTTTTTTCCCTCCCAAGTTTAAAAAAACTTCATTGATAACATATGAAGCCTTTTGTCTAGCATTACAGTCTGAAAAAAATCCATATGAGCCTGTAGAACCATCACCTTTTATAGCTTCACAATCAACAATGTTACAAGCATAATCAAAAATGTGGGTCAAGTTATTGCTCTTGACGTACGAAGACAATCCACATTGTAATGAGTTCTCCATACATTCACATTTCGTTGAGTCTGGTGTATGTGGTAAATCAGCAGACGCTTGCCAAAACTTTGAGCTAGATGGACAACTTGGGGCTTTAGCTGCTTTGAAGGTTACTTTATACTCATCCAATGTGGCACCTTTTGGATCGACATCTGCAAACTGTTTCTGAAGATATTTAAAGTCTTCTAATTCTTCAACATCACCACCATTAACTTGAACAACACCATATTGGTTTGGCTCTTCAAAGTACATATATGCGATACCACCGGACCATACATCAGTCATCAAACGACTATAAAGAGCTTCAACTTCTGTGAATGGGCGAGGTCTCTTGACGTTACACCCAAACTCTGAGAAAAAGATAGGGACTGGATAATTTCTAAACTCCTCAGTTCTTTCTTTATAACCACTTGCCCAATAAGTTGAGTATCCACACCATTCATACATATTGATACCATAAAAGTCAGCAGCCACATCACCACAAGTGAAAAAGTCGGCAACATTAGCCCTGGTTTCAGCATCATCATTAGTGGAGTAACCAACAGGAATTTTCCTGTACCCTTTCGATTCAATGTAACTTTTGATGTCTCTAATTGACGATTTGACAAATGGTGAAGCAAATGTATTACTTTTGTCATTTGTAACCTCATTACCAGCAAAGAACCCCAAGACATTTGGATATTTATGTAACGAGTCAACAACCTTGGTATATCTGTTATAAATAGTTGTATCCCATGTTGGAGAGTCTCTGACAACGGAAACATCAGGTTCACTTAAATCAGCAATAACATAAATACCGGCTTTTGCAAATGCTTCAAAACAAACATCATGATCTCTATCAGTATCTATGGAATAAACACGAACTGTATTGACTCCCAATTTTTGCAAATAAGGAAGATCTCTGAGGCAAATTTCTGGTTCAGCTAAAGGATCAATAAATTTCACATTGTCAGCGTTTAATGCAATAACATCACCAGCGGCTCTACTTGGTTGATAAGCTATACCCTTAATGAAAAATTGTTTGCCATCTTCAGAGTTGAAAAACTTGTTTCCGTAAGCTTCGATAGGAGCTAAATTGCTGTATGATTTGGAATCCGAAGAGCTGTTGGAGCTGGATATTTGGGCAATGGATGAAGTAGAAGCTGAGTAATTTCCAGTCAGTTGGTCAATTGGATTCGCGAACAGCGAGCAGGTATAAATGGCAGCGAACTGAAGGCATAAATTGAAAGCATTGGCACAACTGATCATCATCATCATGATAGTTCTAGTTGCTTCTGTCTAGGCTGTTCTTGGGACTTATTATATGATATATGAAACTGGGTTCAATCGTGGAATACATTTAGACACGTCCAATTGATGCCGAAAACCTTACACAAAAACCACAAAAACTAGTACTAGTCCAAAAATAATATATTGTATCATACACAAAAGAAATATAAAATGATAAAAAAAATAGCACAATCACAAAACGTAATTGACAGAAAGAAAAGATAAGTCAAATGGTAAACATAAAAAACAAAGCCAAATTTCAAAAAACAATAATCAACCTTTCTCTATCAGAAAACCTCCCCAGGTATATGAAAGGAAAACCACGACTTGGATATATATGTAAAACCCATTCCCTTATTCAAAGACACTACTATACATAATTGTTTTTAAATTTGATAAATTGTATGCAGAATCAAACTCAAGCCTTGGTGGACCAAGTTGATAATGATGGAGTTGATGTGAAGTAGTAACCTGTTAATGATGTAGCATTTGGACCAGTATCATTGTTCCATTGGTGTCTTGGTTGAACCAAGTTGGCGAAAACACCGGTCAAACTGCTACCGATGTTTGATGGAACATGACTAGCAGCAACAGCTGGACCAACAATACAAGCAGCAAATATGATCAAAACCAACAAGTATAATGCAAGATATTTTCTGACCATACGTTTACGTAAACGTGATTGTTTTAATGAGTAGATTGGTGGACGAATTTGTCTGGATGGTTTCAACCAGAACAACATAACTGAATGCCATCTATCCATTAATGGAACCAAAACCAATGGGAATTGAACAAACAAGATGATATGACCCAAGACGAAATCGGCAGCAAATTCAGACAATTCAATAACTTTAGCACATAATTCTCTTGCTGGTTGAGACAAAGCAGCCCAACCCATACCTTTACCGTACCATTTACCAGTCCAGAAAGCAGTATTAGCATTATCACTCTTTAGTTCACGAGTCAACATCAAAGCAGTCATCAATTTGAAAATTAATCTTTGACAGTAAATACATGTAATAACACCCATCAACATTCTAGTGAAGTTGAAACCTTCAAGAACCCACATAACAATGAAAAAGATAATGTGAACAATGACTGCAACACCATGAGCGAAACCAGCCATAACTGAACCAGTCTTTTTGCAACACATACCAAACAATGGACCAGAACAACATGACAAACCCATACACAAGAACAAAACACCTAAATCAATAACGATTGGAGCCAAGGTACAGATGATAACACGCAACACTGAGTTGACTGGGTCAACATGTTTGACACCATTTTGAGCATTAATGAAAGTGAAAGCAACAAAACAACCAGCAGCATAGATGACAGTTGGGAAAATTTCAGCAAAGAAAATGTTGGTACGATGAGCTCTTGATGCATCACCGGCAGCTTTTTCAGATTCAAGACCCAAGACCTTACGTTTGAAACCAGTAATACGGGATCTTGACATACGAACGTATCCAATCCATGAGTTTCTGTGCCATTTGTTGTTACCTCTTGATAACCATCTGATGAAATCTCTGTAATCAATGAAGAAATCTTCCCAAGCAAATTGATGTGGGTTGAAAATGAATGGAGAAAACATTAATGATGATAAGGAAGCCCAGAACCATAATAAAGCTGGTTGCCAGTGAGAAACTGTACCGAATAAGATCATGATCATACATCTAGTACCCATGTAAATAGCTGAACCAGCAAATCTTGAGTATAAGACTGAGAATGGAATACGAGCAGTAGCAAAACCACGACCAGTTGAGATATAACGAGCACCACCGACTGATAAATCATTCAACAATGATGAAGAATAAATTTGACCGACGAAAACTTCAAACATTGGTGATAATGATAACAAATGACGGAAGAATCTTTGAGTAGCTTTCCAAACACCACGTTCAATCAATTCTTGAACAACAATTGGAATGAAGGCAATAAAGAACACAATGAAAATAGACAAAGTATAACGTCTAACCCAATCAATAGCTGGAGCCAAGTTGTAACAACCAAGTGGATACAAGATATCAGTAACTGGTTTATTTCTGTCATAAGAACACATAATAGATTCATGTGCCAAAGAATTCAAGTTAACCAAAGTTAAGATGAACATTTGTAAAGATAATTGAATGAACAGATTGTTGATATGGAAACCAGCATGAGCATAGTAGAATGATAAGAATCTATCCAATGGTAATTGAGTACCCAAGTAGTAATATTCACGAGATAACATTTGTTCACCCATACCAGCACCAATTTTGGTTGTGAAATTCAAAATTGAACCAAAACCTAAATCTCTACCTTTACCACATTGGAAGTATTCAGAATGTTTGATACGACCACCACGACATAAAGCAGTCATACCAGCATAAATATCTTCATTAAGATGTAAACCTTTTTGAGCTTTAGAAACACCACCTCTAGTAGTCATGAAAGTAGCGTTAATGAAATCAGGATGACCATAATGTAATTTACCACCAATTTGAGCCAAAGTTCTAGCAAACAAGGTACCGAATGTTTGTTCTTTACCTGCAGCAACATCACCTAAAACACCAGAGTTTTCAGAGAAAATATATTCTCTTGCACCAACAATGGCAACTGGATGGTTCTTGTTTTGTTCTTCAAATTTCAAACCTGGAGCATAAGGATTAGTTTGTTCAACATTCATTTCTTCAAACTCAGCTAAAACAGATCTAATCTTCAAACATTCTTCCAAATAGTTATCTTGATTAGCATCAATCAATTGGATATATTCACCACGGTAGAAGATCAAAGCATGATTTTGGTTATCAGATTTACCATCACCCAAAATTGGATTACCAGACAATTGAACTCTGAATTTTGGACGACGACGACCATTTTCAAGAATTTCACAGTGACCATCAATTAAAGCAGAGTAGATTCTTGGTTCTTCACCTTCGTTTAATGGAGGTTCTTCATCCAAATAAGCAATTTGTAAATCTGGATAAGCTCTTAACAAGAATTCAGCATTTTCCAATTCTTCAGGTTTGAATTTAGTCAATCTTTGCATAGAAACAATGAATTTGAATTTTCTTCTAGCCATTTTTTCCAATTCTCTCTCTAAACCTTCTGCGTTACCACCAAACATTTGAACAATTTCTGGGTTTTCAACTCTGTACAACAATTTGATAGCTCTAGCATAATTCATGAAACCAGAAACAGTACGGTATAAAGTTTGTGATCTTAATGAAGCCCAGATACGGGTACGCAAGGTATATTCAGGAGCAGCAGATTTGAAACCAATACAGTAGAATGGTAAATCATCAATTTTAGATTTCAATCCATTTTCATCCTTTTCTTCATCACCATTTTCATATGCAGCAGTTTCTTCAGCCAAGATTTTAGTATCTTTAACAAAACAATCCCATTCAACAGGATGTAATTGTTTCAAGTATTCCAATAAGGTAACACGAGAGAATTGATCATCTTCTCTAATGATTTCTCTTAATGATAATAAAATCTTTTCAGAATAATGAGGAGTCATAACGGTGAAAGTTGGCATGTTGTCAACTGGTAATGGTTCTGGAATTGGAGTAGCTAATGATTGAGCAAAAAATGAGATACGACGTTCAGCTTCAGAGTTTCTTGGGAAGAATTCAGTATCAAAATTGTTATCATCTTGAGAGACAAAGAAAGTTGGAGCTCTTAAAGTTCTTTTACCTTCAACTTCTGATGGAACTTGATGGTATAATAATTTTTGAACATGATCAATAGCCAATAAATGTTCTCTGTACATTGAAATAACAATAGCATTCCAAACTTGAGAAATTAAAACTTTTGGTTTGTATTTAATCTCCATATCAGTTGTAGCTAAAATCTTGGAGTAAATTCTCTTTGGTAATCTTGTGAAAATGTTTCTCCATGGGGTTAAAATTGAAATACCCAAGTAGAATGAACGACCAACTGAGAAAACACAGTTACAAACAATGTACCACATATAAGTATCCAAGAAGAACAAAATCAAATCAGTCATGTACATCAAACCCAAAGTGATACGGGCTTGTTGTTTACACAACACTGAACCCCACCAATATTCACCAACACATCTAGTCATTTCCATAGTGGATAAGATACGAATAGGATCTCTTAATGAAAGAATCAAGAACCAATAAGATTCAATGTATTTGGCAAAGAAAATAATAGTCCACAACAAGTAAGACATCCACATATCCAAACCATGTAATTTGGCAAATGAAGCAGTAAAAGTTTGGGAAGCAACATATTTTCTTGTGGAACCTTTCATATAAGATGTGAATAAACCACCTAATGGCATGACTGAAAAGAAAACAATAGTGGCAATGGCAACAAAGAACATAATGATGGAAACTGTTAATGCAGCTTTTGAATAAACAGTTAATGGATCATAAGCAAAGACAAAGACAATTGGACCTAAATTGACAGCAAAGATCAAAATCAAGAACCAGAAACGACGAGACAAATGTTGAGCACCAGCCCAATTTCTTGGAACAAAGAACCATTCACAAATAGTGGCAACAATTTGAATAAAAGAAGCCAAAGTACCAGCTAAAGCAGCTGAAGCCCATCTATAAGCTGCAACAGGTTGATTGTTAACCAATTGTTGATAGTTTTTGGTATATAAGGTTGGGGAGTTATAAGCCATATACATCCAGAAAACTGAACCATGAATAATCCAAATACGATTGAAATTTGTAACCAAATGGAACCAGGTTCTAATTTCTTTATAAGTTTTGAAGAAAACCATGTCCCAAGAGACTTCACCCAATCTAACATAACGTTCTTCAGGGGCTAAATCAACCAATCTTGAACCATCTTCAAAGACAATTTTGGCAATACCTTCTGGGTACCAAAACAATTGATTAACATCATCATAACCAATAACCTTGTTGTGGTCTCTTTCACGTTTAACATAACGACCATCAACAACTTCATAAACTTGAGATCTCAAGAAACGATAAATTGGAGTAATGACTCTGTTTAAATAATCACCTTCTGGGACTGGTTCAACTCTTTGTTGACATGCTGGAGAATCCAAGTAATCCAAGGCACACTTGTAAATGAAACATAAACATTCTGAAGTAAATCTAACTTGATTAGCTTCACCCCAACATAACAAATATAAAGCAACGTGACGAACACGTTCAATTGGAGTTAAATTGTTCATTTTAGCTTTCCATCTGTAGTCAGCAGCTTCTAAAGAATTATCACCTTCCAAGGCATTCAAAGTTTCTTCAGTGTTTTCAGGGCCATGTTCTTCAACAGCTTTTCTAGCCTTCTTGGATTTCTTTTTGGCTTTTCTAGCTTTTCTTGATAATTTACCCAAGTTCATGTTTCTGAAACCAACTTCATCATCAAGATCTAATTGAGCAGCAAAATACCATTTTTTATAATTTGCAGTATCACCACCAACATAGTCAGCATGTAAAGATAATAAAGCTTGAGCAGGTGACATTCTTGAAGATCTTGAATCTAATAAAGTCATGAAATGATCAAACATATTTCTCATTGAATCTCTTTGGAAACCAAATCTGTTAGTCAAATCAATGAAAACATCTTCAATTTGTTCAATGGCAATTGGAGCTTGTTGATCAGCAGTCCATGCTGGGTATGGCTCATTTGGTAAAGCGACAGCAATTGAAGAAGGATCAAAAGCACCATTTGAACCATAAATTGGAGTTGATGCACCTGAAGATCTTGGGCCACCATAACTCATTTGAGATGGAGTGTATTGAGTACCATAAGAGTCATATCCTGGAGTACCTGGAGCATTTGGAGCACCATAACTAAAGTCAGAAAAGGCTTCGTGATCATTAGCACCACCCCTTGGTTGATCATAATAAGCTTCTTGGTTGTAACCTTGATCATAAGCAGCACCAGTAGCAGGATCATAACCTTGTGAATAGTATGAAGCATCATTTTGAGGATCATAGTATTCACCATTGTTCAAACCTTCTTGAGACGCGTGGTAGCCATCATTGTAGTATGGTTGTTGGCCATTTGGATCCTCATATTGTTGGTTGTATTGATCAGCATATTGGTCATATTGAGCATCTTGTTGAGGGTTATATTGACCTTGCTGATCATAATAGTGTTGGTTTTGATCGTTGTTGTACGACATGATCTAGATCAACAAGGTTAGCATACACTTCTCCTTAACGTGGTTGTTTGATGAAAGAAATTTTTCTGATCTTTGATCTCAAAATTCATCCATCAAAGAAAATTCCCAAAGAAGCGCGTCAAGGCAAAATTTTCTTTTTTGTCCAAAAGCTCGGAAGTAACGATATGGGAAAAAACTGAAAATCCGAAAATTGGCTGTGGGCCATCAAAATCAAAATCAACAACAACAGCAGCAAATAACTGAAAAAGGTACCGCTGTGTGTAGAATTCTCTCTAGCTCTTGTACGCGTTCTTTGCTGGAATTGTTAGTGTTAAAAAAGTACTCACTGTTCAACGATCAAAAATCAACTGTTTAAGGTAAAAAAAGACTGTTCCTGAGAAGTAAAAAAGAATAAAACTCTTTGATTTGGAAATTAACAATTATCAATAAATGAAAAGAACCAGCTAGAAAAAAACTGAAGATGTAGCAGTAAATGAATATAAAGCTTTTCTTGTTCTCTTGTTCTTCTTCAAAATCTTGATTGTTGTTCTTTTTTTGATATGTCTTCCTGTCAGATCAAAGAATCCAGGAACCAAAAAAAAATCAAAAAGTGAATGGAATGAAAATTCAAAAAGCGACAGCAATGATTTTATTCAAATCAGCTTGTTGATAATAGAGCGAATGTAATGTAATTCACCTTTCAATGTGCTGTTGTGTTCTTGATGTTTGTCTTTCACAATGAATTCTATTTATAATCTTCTCTCCTTGTAAGGATGTCGGTATAATAAATAAATCCAGATCAAAGAAAACTAAAAAAAATTGAAGGCAACTAAAATTATTGACAATAATCTAGTGAAGGACTTCTCTTTTTTTTATAGGAACGCAAAGAACTAGTAACCAAAAAAATGAATTAACAAACTAATGTAAATAAATTTGATTGAAAATATGTTCTCAGGAATACTGATGTTGATAAAGTTCTTTTCAAGTTTTTTTGTAGAAGAGAAATTTGATTTGAATTTGAAACAAGCGAATTTTATTTTTTTTTTTTTGGGCTGAAATTTTGATCTCAGCAACAAAAAAATTGAAACCGACCGTGTCTTTTTCCTTTTGGGGATTACGTAACGCGCGAACAATTTTGCAAGAAGGACCGTGTTTTGTTTACAGATTACTGTAGTAACCAATCAGGAAGGGGCTACTATTTTTAGCACAAGGCTGCACGCGCCACAGCTTAACTACGGTAACGAGCCCTTTGGTGGCTAGTGCGCCCTGGTTCACCCACTAACTTCCCATCCTTACACGCTCAACGTTCAACTTCCGGTCTGCCTCGCATCTATTTTTACCTGTGCAACTTCCTGATCTGGTGCAAATATCGCAAGTGGCGCTCAACCCCTTTCAAAGTGTACCGTAAATGCCATACAATTTGATGAAGCGAGAACGAATGCCAAAGGAAGCCGAAAGGATGCCAGAGAAGTTGAGAAGACGACCGTTAATTTCAAACAAAGAACTCTTGGATTTGACGTTCTTATGTTGAATAAATGAAACTTGACACTTGAAAGTTGACACAGTGTAAACCACGTTTATATTTGAAAATTTAGATGTAAATCAAAGCTCTCACGACTCTGTTCAAGTATAAAAGACAAAAAAGCCCATAAGTGTGCTTCCAGTTCTGGATTTATGAGTTTCCTGTTTCAAACAACTACAGATAACCCACCAAAAGCTTAATTTTATAGTTTGAGTCGGTTTTGACGAATTTAGAGGCTGTTCAGATCTGTCACTTTTCAAGGTTTTTGTTGGACAAGATAGAGAAGCTTCAAAGACGTTCAAGCTAGGTGTAATTAGGTGCTCCTAGTGTAGAGTAGGCTACATGATTTGACCTGACATCTAAGAAATATAATAGAAGTCACTTGGCTGCGTATGTATCTGCTAGTGAAGTTGAGCTGGACTAAATTAGGTCTACGGTAGGGAACTTTGTTAAATTAGTAGCTTTCTTTGGCAGGCAGACTCAACGTTAACGATGATTTTGGCAGATGTATGTCATACTATTTAGGACTTAACACTGGTAATTGCAGCTAGCGTTGACCGAAATAACAACCAATGATGAAGAAAAAACCAACGTCTTTTATGTGTCTTCAATCCTCTGCCAGTCCGACATTGATTGGGATAGTCGATTAATTAGTAGACAGGAAAGCTGTTTGTCTAGTGTTGGAGTATGGTATTTGTTGACATGACTATAGTCGGTTGCAACATCAATCATACTGAACTGTCTAGATATTAATATTCTTCTTTGATGTAGCAAAATCATCATTACCGACTTGATCACTGAATCTTGATAAGTTTCTTGTGGTTTCAACCCTAACATGAAAGTTGAGATTCACCTAATTGATGAACAAAATTATCTGATGCCGGTTAATTGAAATTTTGCAAAATAGAAACAATACACCTAGATCGGAGCTCCTGAGTCCTGAATAACTTCGTCACTTAGTTCATTGTTGGTGAATGGACAATTGAAGTTTAATTACACTGACTGGGATCATAATGGAGAGCTTCAGCGCTGAACAGCAGCTTTTAATTAATAGTAACTTTTTAATAGTTAAACAGTCTGCTTTCTTGGATCTGGCTCTGACCTTCCCTCTACTCTTCTTGAGTCCCCTGGGCCTCTTCTTTCCACGTTTAGTACGCATCTCTATAGAAAAGAATCGTTAATAACAAGCTCATTCCTGATATACTTTGGGTGTTTATCAATTCATATGATGACCAGTGGTTTCACAGTATCAACAAGAGTTCTTAAACTCAGTTACATTGAAATAGTCTTCAACTGTCAATTCCAATTATCCTTAGAGCTCAAAAGTCTGCAATCAGTTATGTTTCGAATAATACAACCTGAAGTTCAGTGATCTGGGTCATAATCTTCACCTGCTCTAAGGAAGAATATCTGAAACATTTCAGTCTTTCTCTCTATGAACCTCTGATTCATCTCCTTATGAATCACGTTTGAATTTCCAACCACCCTCCGGCTCTATTCAATCCTCTGAAATGGATCAATTTTCTATCCAAAGTCCTCAAATTTTATTGCCCTGTTGTTTTTATGTCAAAAAGCTTCAAATCGCGATCAACAATCCGCGATGAGGTTTTGTTCCACATCCCGACACCACTTCCACGAAACCTCGTTGAAGCAAAAAAAAATGGACGTTGAAGTTCGATTCAAGAATCTTAATGGCAAAGTAAACAATTCAACTGAACTTTGGATTCATTCGAACTAACTTCCTTGAAAGGAGAATACGAAACATTAGCCACAGCTTGTCAAAAGGTCTAGTACGCTGATTATTTTCCATTATCATTGTTTGAACAAAGATCAAGTCTTTTACATTTCAAAAGTTCAGAGAACCAGTTGAAAGCTCACATCAAAGATCTAAAATTATTTAGACAGCAGTGATTACATTCAAAAATCTGCATATCCCTTTTCAGTTCCTCTCAATAGACCATATTATTTTCTAGTTTCATACATTCCACCTTCATAAACAAAAACACACAATGTCTGCATTAACACAATTCTTTTATAGAGCTCCAAAAGCTGTTGGTCTTATACAAGGTGCACCATCTTATGAAGATATAACAATCCAACAACCAACAAGTGAAGATATCCGTGTCTCTCAATACTCTTCAAATGGTAAATATTTCGCATTCACCCAACCATCTTTTGTCACAATCGTAAATCCAGATGATGGTTCAGTTGTGAATAAACTTGAATTAAAAGATGTTTTTGATTTACAATTTTCTCCAAATGGTTCATATTTGTGTACTTGGGAAAAACCAGTGAAACAAGAAGATGGTAATTATCATAATAATGTTAAGATCTTCACTTCTGTTGACGGGAAATTATTTGGTGAATATAGTGCTAAAGATCAAAGCGGTTGGAAGCCAGATTTCACTGCAAATGAAGAATTAATTGCAAGACAATCTAAAAATGAAATCAAATTTTATGAAGTTAACGCTGAATTGAATTTTAATAAACCAGCTTGGTCATCTTTAAAAGTTGAAAATTTACAAAATTTCAAATTATCACCTGGTAAAAATCCAAAAATTGCAATTTTCGTCCCAGAAAAATCTGGTAAGCCTGCTTGTGTTAGTGTCTTCAACATAACAACTTCAATGACCCAACCAGTTTCAACCAAAAGTTTCTTCAAAGCTGAAAGATGTTCTTTAAAATGGAATAGTTTAGGTACTGCATTATTAGCATTAGCCTCTACAGATGTTGATGCTTCAAACAAATCTTATTATGGTGAAACCACTCTATATTTATTAGGTATTGCAGGCTCTTATGATTCAAGAATTACCTTGGATAAAGATGGTCCAATTCATGATATTACTTGGTCTCCTTCCGCTAGAGAATTTGGTGTCGTGTATGGTTATATGCCTGCAAAGACTACGATTTTTGATGCAAGAGGTAATACTATTCATTCATTGCCTCCAGCCCCAAAAAACACTATCTTGTTCTCTCCTCATGCCAGATATATTTTGGTTGCGGGTTTTGGTAATTTACAAGGTACAGTTGATGTTTATGATCGTCAACAAAAATTCACAAAAATCTCATCTTTTGAAGCTTCAAACACTTCTGTTTGTCAATGGTCTCCAGATGGACGTTACATCTTGACAGCTACAACTTCACCAAGATTAAGAGTTGATAATGGTGTTAAAGTTTGGTATGCCACTGGTAAATTAATTTTCAACAAAGATTTCAAAGAAGTTTATTCAGTTGATTGGAGACCTCGTGAATTAGAATTATTCCCACCTTTAAAAAAATTAGATGATGATCCTCAACCAACTCAAAGTGCATTGGATTATCAAGAAAAGCATTCAAAAGCTACACCAGGTGAAACCACAAAACCAAAAGGTGCTTATAGACCTCCACATCAAAGAAACGGTAACGCTAACTCATCTGCTCCACAATCTTTATATCAAAGAGAATTGGGTGCTAATTTATCTCAAGGTTCTTTCCAACCAAGAACAAGAGAAAGAACAGTCCCAGGTGCTCCAAAACCGGTTGAAAAAGAAAGTAAATCAGCTGCAAAGAACCGTAAGAAGAGAGAAAATAAGAAAGTTTCAGAAAATAGCACACCAGAACCTTCACCTGCTCCAGTAGAACCAAAATCTGAACCATTAATAGCTGGTGGTGTTCAAAGTCTTGAAGAGAAAAAAATCAGAGGTTTGTTGAAGAAATTAAGAGCTATTGAAGCACTAAAGATGAAGCAAGCAAATGGTGAGACTTTAGAAGATACACAAGTGCTTAAAATACAAACAGAAGATAAAATTAGAGCTGATTTAAGTTCATTAGGTTGGAATGAATGAAGGAATTTATATTAGCGTGTATACATTCTTGAAATAACAAAAAGCTTATAAATATTTATATTCACCTCGATACTTGTTCATGTAATTTATTATTTTCTTAAATCAACAATATCAAATGGGAGACCATCCTTGACAACAACATGTCCACCATATTTGCTTTCACAATGTCTATAAATTTCTTTCTCTTCATGAGGATGGAAACCAGGTTTTTGACATCTTGTTATTATCCCAACTCCTGGAGGATCAGTCAATCTAAACTGTCCCATAACTCCATGTTTCACAGCACATACAATGGCAAGAGCTTCTGGTAACATAATTTGATAAGAATTTTGCGTATGTAAATCCACTGAAGAGAGGAAACAAGATTGAGTAGGATGGGTATGGATCCAGCCAAGAACAAATAAATTATGAGAATCAACATACTCAAAAATATCCTCCTCTTTCAGAGTTTGACATGTGTTTGAAGTTGACTCTTGTGAAGGGATTAATAATGTTGTTATGAAGAATGCATTTAATGATAACGATCCGCATAAAATACCACAGGTTTCTAGGTTTTTTTGGGAATTAGATGATGCGATGCCTAGGAAGTCTAGTGGTAGTTTAGAAGGTAGGAAAACTGTCTTTAATGGTTTTTTAGATTCAGTTGATGCAATTGATTTATGCTGTGGTTGCTCCAATGTAGTTTTTGGTGGTAATGATGGTGGTTCGGATTGAATTGATATTTTTGGAGGAAGTGAAGGTGGTATGAAATTATGTTGTGTTTCCAAAGATGCCCTTGGGTTTATTGGTGTAGCTGAATGTTCTAATTTTGGATATGAAGGTGTAGGTGATGAATCTCTCTGAAGAGATTGAAATTGTTTTAATCTACTCGCAAATTTGGCTTCATCAAAATCATCCTTTTCTGACATTATATCTTCCGACTCCACTACCACAGGCTTCTCTATAACTTTTGGTTTTTGATGCTGTTGCTGTTCCTGTCTTAGACGAATATATTTCTCATATGCTTTAATCTCTTGATCCAATTGCTTCTTTATCTTTTCAGCATTTTGGAAAGCTGAAGGTGCTTTATTTGATAATAGATCAAGATAAGTTTTATATTGGTCAGTTCCCTTCTTCAACTGTGGATTCTTTGATATTTTATTAGTCAAAAGACTACATAATGGTTAGTTTGTTTCTTCACGAAGCAATAACTTGGGTACTCACTCTAAAAACCGAAGATATAGTATATATGCATCACTATTTGAGTTTTGTGCCTTATACAGATCAGCCTAATGCACAGTTAGTTTTCCAAGCCTATGGATGATTGAACAACCACATACATGTCTGCTTAATATCTCAGCAGTTCGTAGATATATCTTCAATGGCACACTAGTGGAGTATTCATAGTTATGAGCCTCAGCTACCAGCTCTTTGATCGTCCTTGGATGATGATCCATTTCAAGCTAGTCAAAAGTGGTAAAATCAGTGGGTTTCTCAAGTGATACCATCTCAAAGAAGTGTATAAATTTATTTGAAGATGAGGTATGAGATACGAGGGCTTCTTTTTGGTCACGTTTTTTACCCTCGTATCTGATAAGGGAAGATCTTTGAACGCGATGAGATTGGAAAATCTAATCTGGTTGATGGCAAAAAAAGGTTGATAACATTTAGCTCGATTGGCATACATTCTAAGAAATAATGAGACTTAAAGTTGTTACAAAGAAGGATCAAGCAGTGCTGAGTGTAGACGATGAATCCACAGTAGAACAGTTATTGGACAAGTTGGTCCAGGAGGGAATTGTTCAAAATGAAGATGAATTCAATATTAAGGCTGGGTTCCCTCCAAAGAATTTAGATTTGATTGGTGGTAATAAATTATTGGATTTGGGTGTACGAGCTGGTGATAAATTAATAATTGAAGAAGTTAAAAAGAGTGGTGATGATCTTGTTGAAGAGTCCGCACCTGCAAAGAAACAAAAGATTGAATTGACACCAAAATCTATAGAGAAAGGAGCAAAGTCCGTTCCTTTTGGTGATGGTTCAGTTGACCTTTATACAATTCCAGATAATAATTCATGCCTATTTGAATCATTGAAATATTTAACAAAGACATCAGTGGATCTTCGTGAAATTGTCGCTCAATATATAATGGCTGATCCAATCAACTATAATGATGCAATCTTGGGGAAGCCTGTTGAACAATATGTTCAGTGGATCACAAAGAAAACCAGTTGGGGTGGTGCAATTGAATTACAAATTTTAAGTTCATTTTTGAATGTGACTGTGAACTCCATTGATGTTGAAACTGGTCGTGTGGATTCTTTTAACCCAGATGCCTCTAAATATATTGTTGTGCTCTATACAGGTATCCATTATGATGCTGTTGTGTTTAAAGAGCATGGTAAAGAAACCACGATTTTTGAAAAAACCTCGAAACTAGGCTCAGATTTCATTGGTGGTGCTAAATCGTTGGCGAATGGTTTAAACCATAAAGGTTACGTTACAAATACCAACACGTTTAAAGTTAAATGTAAAACTTGTGGATCAGTTTTAGACGGTGAAAAGGGTGTTACCGAACATGCTTCAAAAGCTGGACATTTTGACTTTGGTGAAGTATGATAATACGAATGAATATAAATAATGAAAATCAAATTTAATGATAATAATATACACGCCAAAAAAACCAATAACAAAACCCACTAATGTACAAATAAATGCTTGAAACCCACTAAAAAAATACACGTAATCTATTTTTCTTCCATGACAACTTCATTTTCATCAGCAAGACCAATCAATTTTGGATGATCAGTCTTTACTAATTTTTCAATTTCATCTTTATGTTGTTCCTCCATAGCCATTCTTGCTTTATGTTTTTCAACACTTTGTAAAAAACTTTGTAAATTTGTACCAGAAGCAGCTTCACTTTCCAAATTTGTATAAGGTCTTGCCTTTAGTTCTTTCACACGGCGCTTGTGAATTTTAGATTTATAATGAGCTTGGATAGCTTGATCATTTTCATAATATTTAGCACAATGGATACAGTAAAATTGACCCATACCAGGTTTTGTTTCATCTAATGGAGCATCTTTTAATTTAAGAATTGATTCTGGAGTAGCAAGATCGTTATAGATCAAATCCAAATCTCTTGTTCTTCTCTTTGTTTTATATCTTTTAACTGAATATCTACCCATTGTTCAATGATCTTTTTGATTTGATTCAATAGTTAACAAAGTAGTTTACATCTAAATAAATTTTTTTTTCTTAAGAGATGAGATAAAAGAAACATCTAGACTTCCCAAACTGGAAATATCTATCTACCATGGCCACCATACGAAATCTCGAGCCATTTTGGGACAGTCTGAAGACGGTCATGTGCCACGGTCCCCATCCCAACACCACTCTGCGTTTCTGCCTCCAGAAAATCACAGTCACTTTTTCCCATTTGTCATCGGACCCCCGGTATTCCCAGCCAAAGCAGCACCTCGGAATGCTTTTCAGCACTCTTTTTTTTCGCTCCGAAGAATTCGCGCTTTTTTGCCACAGATTACCCGCAAAACGTATTTCTAATCAAGCCAGTTTCCATATATACCAAACAATTTTTTCACCTTTAATTCAACAACCACCACTTGAATACATCAACATCAGGTAAAGAATAAAATTATATCAAAATGGCTCGTCGTCCAGCTAGATGTTACAGATACCAAAAGAACAAACCTTTCCCAAAATCTAGATACAACAGAGCTGTCCCAGACTCTAAAATTCGTATCTACGATTTAGGTAGAAAGAAGGCTACTGTTGATGAATTCCCATTATGTATCCATTTAGTTTCAAACGAATTGGAACAATTATCATCAGAAGCTTTAGAAGCTGCTCGTATTTGTGCTAACAAATATATTACCAAAATCTCTGGTCGTGATTCTTTCCATTTAAGAGTTCGTGTCCATCCATTCCATGTTTTAAGAATCAACAAGATGTTGTCATGTGCTGGTGCGGATAGATTGCAACAAGGTATGAGAGGTGCTTGGGGTAAACCACATGGTTTAGCTGCTCGTGTTGATATTGGTCAAATTATCTTCTCTGTTAGAACTAGAGATTCAAACAAAGAAGTTGCCATTGAAGGTTTAAGAAGAGCTAGATATAAATTCCCAGGTCAACAAAAAATCATTTTATCCAAGAAATGGGGTTTCACCAACTTGAACAGAGATGAATACGTTGAAAAGAGAAATGCTGGTGAAGTTAAAGATGATGGTGCTTTCGTTAAATTCTTGTCAAGAAAAGGTCCATTAGAACAAAACTTGAGACAATTCCCAAACTACCAATACCAAGCTTAAATTTATTGAATTGAGGAAAAAGGAACAGTGCATTTATATTGAAGACTCTTTTTTTTGAAATCTAATTGGTATAATATCTTTTAACGTTATGTGATTTTGGTAAAAGTTGTCAAGTGTAGTTTATTGTAGAGTTGATTTCTAATCAACAATGAAAAGTGGCAAAACATGTGAATCCATGTGAATGGTCATTACATAACAAATTACAGCTATAATACTCCTCATTAAATAAAGCTTCATGATGGTGTGATTTATGAATATCATTTGTCATGATCTTGCTCGCCATTTGATTCTCAAGTTGAGGAGCTGACTAATGATCGCGATACTGAACAAGTTTTAAAAAGTATTCATTCTTCACACTATTTTTTGCGTTTATGGTGAAGATTTGGTCGCGTTGATGATTCTTATAGAGAAGCGTCTTCAACATGCTACACCATTACTAAGTTCAAATCCATATCAACTAACCAATATACAACAAGAACACGGGCTCTATAAGTCAGAACAAATGGTTTTCTTTCCAAATCCGTTAATTGCTGCTACACAATCGTATCAAATACAATCAATCTCCATCATATCTCAAAAAGCCTTCGGTATTGTTCATTCTTCACCTCTGGCGTTTTTCCAGCCAAAAGATTTTCCGGTGTCAATCAGGCACCAAAACAATCAAAAGAATTTGAATTCGATCACCACGAGAAGAATGAGATGTCAAAGTAATACTCTCATACTGTTTTAACACCTTGTACCTTAGCCTGAATGTCCATCTATTAGCTATTTCTACTTCTCATGTGAACTGATCCTGCTATTAATAACAAGGTTTCGAGATCTGTTTATGGGTCAATTTTAGACACGGTGATTATGTCAAAAATAAATTCTCAGGAGCCACGCAGACACATCTAAACAGCTTATGAACGTATAGGTGAAATGGTACACTTTTGTACCTAAAAACACACTATTAGATGTCCATTACGACCAGAACACCTTTTAATTAACTAATCGATATCACTTCTTCACGTTGGAATTCTTAAAACTTATAACCCATTCCAAAATAAATGTACAGTCTTCGATGAAATCGACACGCGTTTCTTCGTCGAAAAGAAAATCAAAAAAAAAAAATACAAGAAAAAAAAGTATAAAAATGAATGGAAATCTCAAATTGTAAACACGTAAACCACTTTTTCGAAACTCTTTGAACGTAGTTCTTATCATTCAATATGTCATTCCAACACAAAGAAAAACCAGATACCTTAGTCTTATTCGACGTCGATGGTACTTTAACCCCAGCTAGATTAACCATCTCACCAGAATTCAAACAATTATTAGCTGACTTGAGAAAAAAAGTTGTTATCGGTTTTGTTGGTGGTTCTGATTTACAAAAACAAGTTGAACAATTAGGTGCAAATGTCTTGAATGAATTTGACTACTGTTTCTCTGAAAACGGTTTAACTGCTTATAAATTGGGTCAACAATTAGCTTCTCAATCATTTATTGGTTGGATTGGTGAAGAAAAATACAATGAATTAGCTAAATTCATCTTGGGTTATTTAGCAAACATTGACTTACCAAAAAGACGTGGTACTTTCATTGAATTCAGAAATGGTATGATTAATGTTTCACCAATTGGTAGAAATGCTTCCACTGCTGAAAGAAATGAATTTGAACAATATGATAAAGAACATAAAATTAGAGAAAAATTTGTTCAAGCTTTAAAAGACAAATTCCCAGATGTTGCTTTAACTTACTCTATTGGTGGTCAAATCTCATTTGATGTTTTCCCAACTGGTTGGGATAAAACTTATGCCTTACAACATGTTGAACAAGAAGGTTTCAAAGAAATTCATTTCTTTGGTGATAAATCTTATAAAGGTGGTAACGATTACGAAATTTACGAAGATCCAAGAACTATTGGTCATGCTGTCAACAGCCCAGATGATACCGCTAGAATCTTGAAAGAATTATTCTTTTAAGTACTGTTTTTAGTTCTTTTTACATTTTGACATTTAATAAATAGAGTTTTTTCCTTTAATCATTTTTCGTTCAGGTTAATAATCTAACGTAAGCTAAAACTAAAGCGAATGTACCAGTACAAACACCAATCAACCATTGCATAACTTGAGTCTTGACACCATCAATTTGCATCTTCATATTGGCAACTTCTTGATCAATACGGGTATTGATTTCACTTATATGAGATTCATGTTGAGACCCTTCCTCTCTTATTCTACCCTTCTCCAAATTCAAATCCAATCTAACACCAGCATTACTCTTAGTAATCTCTTCCCTTATTCTAGTTCTCAATTTCTCTAAATCATTACGTAGCCTCTCATTTTCACTTTGAATTGCTGTGAATTCAGAACGATCAATAGTTTGTAATTCACCACGTAGTTTCGCAAAATCAACTTTTTGTTGATATGTCATCTTGGACAATATCTCTTTAGTGACTAATGTGGATCCAATTGAATTAACGCCATCTGCTAATGCTGATGACACTATACGTACAACTCCTTCACTTTGTTCGGGTGTAAAGCCTTCATCTTGGAGTTGTAGCACAAACTTTCTGGTATCAAAATGGACGGCTCTGAGTGGCCTAAACGTTGAGAAGTTCCGTATACCGATCCTTGGTAGCATTTGTGTGGATTTTTGATGATTAGTTTGACTCAAAAGTTCAAAACATGCCAACGGTTTTTGTCATTTTCACAGATTTTGACAAATTTTTGGAAATGGGCCACTACTTCACCAACTTTTTTTTTGCCTTGCCGCCTTCGAAAAAGATTGATGCTTACAATTTTAAGCGATTTCATAGGTTGAATCGTCAAAGATGATGCTTAGAACAATAAGGGCAAGACCCTTGATACGTAATCAAGTGTCGAGGTTTCATTCATCGGCATTACGCCTCAATGACTCGAAAAAGAAACCAGAACAAATCGATGAAGCTGAAATGTTTGCTGATAGATTGAATACCCAGCCTTATTATGCCAAACGTGATCCAAGTGAATACCCAGAAGGTGAGGCACCATTGTCACAAGAGCAAATCAAGAAACAGAACCAAAAACTTGAGGCAATGAAAGGTTTAATTCAAGGTGTATTGGTCATTGGTGCAATGTTTGGTGGGTTTGAACTATATCAAAAATGGCCAAATGTCAAAAGTTGGTGGGCAAACTTGAATAAAGAAGATGAGGGGTTCGTTCCTCCAAAGAAGAATAAACCGGTAGTAGAATTACCAGTAATCACTAATAAGAATGATAGCTCGGTTCCAGGGTTGTATATTTGGGGTGATAATTCAAATGGTATTACAGGTGATAAGAATTCAATAAGTACCAAATGGCCATTAAGACATCCTTGGTTTGATGGGAAATTGTTGAAAAAAGTAACTATTGGTGAACATTCTGCTTTGGCTATTGATCCAAAAGGTGATTTGATCCAATGGGGGAACGGTTATAAGAGAAACTCTGACCCTGAATATACTATTAAAGGAGAAGGTTTACAATTTGCAAAGATATCCAATGGTGCTATCTATGCATTGAATAAAAATAATGAAATTTTGGTCATTCCAGAAAGTTCCAAAGATCAACAGGATTTCAAAGGTTTACAAAGACGTAATTGGGCTTTCATTTCTTCAACTAAAAATTTCACGAAAGTTCCATTAGATCTTTTGCAAAAGGGTGAAACCATTAAAGATTTTGAGACAGGTGCTGAACATTTAGTCGCATTGACTGATAAAGGTCGAGCTTTTTCAGCAGCTACTGGGTTCAATCAATTACCAAAATCTCAAGGTCAATATGGTCTTCCTGAATACTCACATTTTAATAAACCTCCAGCTCCAAATACATTACATGAAATCACATTATTAAACAATTCAATCGAGAAGAATAAGAAAGGTAAAGTTGATCATATTGAACCTCGTTTCATTAAAAAAATAGCTGTGGGTAATTATCATACATTAGCACTAGATGAAAATGGTGAAGTTTTTTCATTTGGTCAAAACACATTTGGTCAATTAGGTCAACCTGTTAATTATGATACTGAATTCATTACAATTCCCAAAAAAGTTGAATTGTTAAGTAAACATGTTAAAAGAGATTTATTCCCAGACGTTATAGATATTCATGCAGGTGGTGATACAAGTTTTTGTACTATAAATCCAGTAAAGATGTTTAGGCTGATTAGAGGTAAAAATAACAAAGTTGAAGAAGATGAAGATGCTTTAATTGATGCATTTACTGTTGGTTTCGGAAATAATTTGAAAGGTCAAATAGGTAATGGACATTATGTTCATGCACAATTCGATCCTGTTAAAATTAAAGAACTGTCAAAATTTGAAGATTATAATGAAGAAACTGGGAAAATTGAAAAAATTAATATTGATTCCTGGTCTACAGGTTTTGATCACACATTTATCAAATTGGGTAATAAGGATGTTTTATTTTGGGGTGGTAATGATAATGGTCAATTAGGCAATGGTAAAAAAAATAGAATTCCAAAACCTACACCATTACCAGCAATTGTGGAACCAAGTTTCACTACAGAAACTTATAAAAATTTGACATTTGTTAATAGATTACAATTACGTGAAAATCAACAAATAGTGGCAAGTGCTAATGCTAGTGCCATTTACTACACAAAATAGTTAAGGAAAGTATTATTGTACATAGAGATTAAAAATAATTATTTTTTTAGGTTGGGAAATTTCATCTTGTGTAGTGTACATCAACGTCCAAACCATTTCAAAATATAATAAAACAAAACAAACATTACAAAAGCACCTCCATAAAAAATCCATTTATCTTGAAATGCTCTTCTTTCCACACTTCTTATAGTTTCTTGAGAAACACCTAATGTAATTAATGAACCTGTAATTTTTTCCTGAAACCTTCTCAACATTTGATTAGAGGCAACTAGCTCTTCATAAGCTTCTCTCCCCATTTCCAGAATCTCATCTAGTTGTTGATTACCCCTTGACAGTGTGTCTCTTTCTTTGTGTAGACCTTGGTTATATGTAAGTCCTGAACCACTACTTGATGATGTTTCAGTATCAAATGGATTGGCAGAAGTTTGACCATTAGTACCATGACCATGAGGACGACGATTCAACAATTCTGATCGATTGGCTTCTTCAGATGATTCGTCCTTCTTACGCTTCAATTCTTGATATTTTGAACGAGCCTCCTGTATATCAGTTCTAAAAGTTTGTAATTTTATCTTAGCCTTTTCTTGTTTTTCTGGGATTGTTTCATTTTTAGCAAGGGTTTCATATTCATCAATGGTTTTGGAAAGAGTTGTGAGGTTTGCTGCTATTGATCCTAGAATATGTTAGATCTTTGAGAAGTCAAAAGCTTTGAAGTTTATGCTTACCTAAAAGAGATAATGGAGCTGTTGATATATTTGATTCAAATTGGACTAAATCTTTACGCAACGTACTGATCTGTTTCACAGCATGATTGTGGACAGAGTTCTTTGTATGTGTTAGTAGTTGTTACTTATTATATGCCTAAGTAAAAATACACACCATTGTTTGAGTTCCAGGAGATATCTTTTCCCAATCGTAATCAACTTTGTTTTGATGTTTTTGACCTGCTTTGATTTTGTTTATACCAGCGCATCGTAAACAAATTGTTGCGCGAACCAGTTTTTGTTAGCTAATTTAGTAAATTTCAAGTTCCTAACCTTTAAGTAGTAATTTTCTGAGATCATTTAGTTATATAGTATTAAGTTCAGCCTAGTGTACCTTCTGGTATCATTTTTAGACAATTCAATTTTTTTTTGAATTTTTACTAGATTTTATAGACCTCGAATACTTTAATTATAACTCAGGTTCTATAATAATTAAAAATTATATTTTGGAAAAATTTGAGATAAGCATGAATTTATAAAATCAAAATTCAGAAAAATCATTTAATGCCTTTTTTATGCAAAAATCACCATTTTTGACCTCAATATTTAAATTTTAAGTCATCATAATTAATCGTCTGCCAAAACTTCCCGTGAAAAGTAGTGGCCTTGGCGATGAAAAAAAATATGTTTTTTTTTAAATTTTTTTATTAGTCAAAGCAAAAAGAGAGAGCGTCAATGATGTCAGTGGTTTAAAAGTTGGCATATTCATCGATTACAGAACCAAAATGGCTGATCAAGATGACGATTTGTAAGTTATGGATGTATTTATTGGGTTTGGAATTATTATTGACCTTATTTTCCGTTTTTCAGAAAGCTTTCTGCTAGTACTTTAGCTGCATTGTTAGAATTTTCTAAAGAAGAGGAACAACGTCAAGAAGAATTTGAAAGACTTCAAAAAGTTGCTCAAGACAAGTATGAAGAGACACAAATGAATAAAGTTTTGGAGGAGAAAGGTATGGAACTATTCCAAGAAGACTGGGGTCTTTCACAGTTTTGGGTAAGTCGAATAAAGGATATGCACTGAGCTGTTATACTAACAATATATAAAGTACTCTGATGATACTGCTAATTTGTTAGCTGATGAATTACTCGAGGGTGCCGATGAAGACACTGTTGTTTGTGTTGTAAGTGCTCCTTCAGTATATGCTGCTATCAAAAAGAGAGACCCATCCACACTTCCAACTAAAAACATCTACTTGTTTGAATATGATAAAAGATTCAAAGTTCTAGACCCTCAACGTTTTGGATTTTATGATTACAACAACCCACTAGATATTCTCCCAGAAATTAAAGGAAAAGTACACCGTCTGTTGATTGATCCCCCATTCTTACAAGATGATTGTCAAACTAAATCTGCACAAACTGCTCATGCTTTACTACATCCTGATAGATCATTGAAGACCAAAACAGGAGAGTTACAATACCGTTTGCTTTCATGTACAGGTGAAAGAATGAAGGATATTATCCGTAAGAATTACCCAGATGCAAGACCAACCACTTTCATCCCAGAACATGCCAATGGGTTAAGTAATGAATTCTTTTGTTATGCATCATATGAAGGTAAAAACTGGAAATTTTTACCAGAAACAAACTAATACCAGCACTTTGATTAATAGACAAGACTAGAAACAGCATTAACATCTAATATAACATTACTAATTGTATCTTTAACGTGATTTTATTTATGTAGTTTATAGTCTCGCGAATTCGGTGTTTACCCGCAAGTAAGCCAGCCATAGAAAAAATTCTGATGTTTACACTTTGAAGTACTTGAAACATAATTTGTTACAGGTAGTTTTAACCTTCAAGATCATTCAATTCCATCAAAAAGAATGAGCAATCAAAGAAGAGTGTTCAGAAACAACCTCAATAATGACCATTTAAGGTCTCCCTACGCTAGAGGTTCAGGATTACGCACTCCAAACGCATCCAGAGTTGCACCAAAGGTAAGTGATCAATCAAGGATCTCTGATGAAACTAAAAGATACTAACAGATCCTCAAGACCCCTGGAAGTATATTTAGCAAAGTTAAACAAATGTTTTCTCCAAGTGCTTGGTTGAGTGAAAATGAAAGCACTATAGGTGATGACTCTGATGCCAGTTTTGCATCTGAATTAAACTCAATCCCTCCTTCTTCAATACAGCAAACCCCAAAGAATCCAATTGATGAATTCCATAGAATGCAACATCAGAAGATTAAAGATTCACCAAACGCTAGACTAGCTGATTTTTTTGCAAAGAAAGGTACTGAGCCTTTGTCAGAAATTGAATTAGAAGGTGTCAGGGCATTATTGGAAAAATCAAACTCTGTTCAAACAAGCCCAAAAACTCCAAGAAATGAATCATTCAATTCTGAGGATCAAATAGAAATCTTGAAACCAAAAAACACCGAGTCAGCTGTTAAAAATACACCATCTTTCAAAGCTACATATAACACAACTGTTAGTGCTGAAAATTCATTTGATAATTCAGTTGCTAGCTCCAATATAACAAGTTCACGTAAGAGACGTGTATTTGATTTTTCAGGATTTCCGTCCCCTTATAGAACTTCAAGATTAAAAGAATCAAGTTTCATGCTAGAGGAAGATAAACCAGAAGTTTCAACTGAGGCTAACGTGGAACCACCAAAAGAAGAGAAGAAGTTGAGTAATACAGCATCAGCTTTATTATCATTTATTGAGAATCATGAAACTACAGAGGAATCAAATGAAAAGAAACAGGATACTCAATCAAAGAAAAAAGTGGATTATAGTAACCCATATGCTACAATCTCAACATCCCATAAAAAGACTAAAAAGCCTGCTAGCCGTAAACCAACAGCATTTGAACAACTTGAGAAATCATTATCCGCTGCACCACAACCTGAATTACCAAACATTAACAAATATAAACCTGCAAAATCTTCCTCACTACGTGAATCTATATCTTTGAATGATACCACTGATCAATCAGTTGAAGAAATTGAAGTTGATGAACCTGAACAAGAAGCTCTAAAACCTCAAGTACCATCATTCTCTTTCAAAGCTCCAGAACCACCAAAAGAACAAGATAAACCACCTATACCAACCGAAAATCCATCAGAACCAAAACCAACTTTCAATTCCAAACCATTATTTTCATTCGCACCAAAACCTACAACTGCATCATTCTCTCCAGAATCAACCATACAGACAGAAAACACACAACTACAGAAACGAGATACCCAAATATCACCAAGACCTAAACAATTTTCATTTAGTGGATCAGTTGTGAATCAAGATACCCGTCCACCAAGTTCAGATTTCACATTTAGATTTCCTAATGCTGAGCCATTAGGCTACAAATCTGCTGATATAAATGAACAAAAAGTTGCACATTTCAAGACTTATTTTACTTTTTGAATAATTTAAAAGATTTTTAATGCATTGGGACATTCATTTGTAGTTTTTTTAAAGTTCATCATCATTGTTCGATGATCAAGTTTATGACCTTCCATTGTAGGGTAAAAAAGTGAAAAATCGCGAAGAAAATAAGATCAAACGAATAAACGAGAAAATCGTATTATCAAAACAACTTTTCCAAATCAATTGCATTCATTATACTCAACCACTCATCATGTCTTTAGATTCCGTTCTTTTAATCGGTGGCTCAGGGTTTCTTGGGCTTCATTTGATACAGCAATTCTATGAATTGACACCAAGACCAGAAATTCACGTCTTTGATATACGTCCACTCCCACAAAAATTACCATCAGCATTCACATTCAAATCAGATGAAATTCATTTCCATAAAGGTGATTTAACCTCTCCCGATGATGTTAAGAAGGCCATCAAGGAAAGTAATACTTCAGTTATTGTTCATTCAGCCTCCCCAATGCATGGTTTAGATCAACAAATCTATATCAAAGTCAACATATTGGGTACTAAAAATCTTGTGGAATGTGCGAAAGAAATGGGCGTTAAAGCTCTTGTTTACACTTCTTCAGCAGGTGTTATTTTCAATGGTCAAGATATTTATAATGCAGATGAATCATGGCCAATACCTGATGTCCCAATGGATGGTTATAATGAAACAAAAGCCATCGCAGAACAATACGTTTTAGATGCAAATTCATTTAAAGATGATTTCCTAACAGTCGCCTTACGTCCAGCTGGTATCTTTGGACCAGGTGATCGTCAATTAGTTCCAGGCCTAAGAAGTGTTGCAAGACTAGGTCAATCTAAATTCCAAATTGGTGATAATAATAATTTATTTGATTGGACTTATGCTGGTAATGTTGCAGATGCTCATGTTTTGGCTGCTCAAAAATTATTGGATCCAGCTACTGCAAAGAACGTTGGTGGTGAGAAATTCTTTATTACAAATGATGCTCCAACTTATTTCTGGACTTTAGCCCGTACTGTTTGGAAAGCTGATGGTTACGTTGAAAAATACAATATCGTTCTAAACAGACCAGTCGCTATTGTTGCAGGTTATTTATCACAATTTTTCTCAAAATTATCAGGTAAAGAACCAGGTTTGACACCATTCAGAGTCAAAGTTGTTTGTGCATTCCGTTACCACAATATAACAAAAGCTAAAGAAATACTAGGGTACAAACCAAAAGTTGATCTAGAAGAAGGTATCATGAAGACTTTACAATGGATGGATGAAGAAAATTAATGAAAGAATTATATCTAAATAAATATTTTTAAGACAAAAGCAACAACCCCTATAGTTCTATAACGAAAAAAACAACACCAAACTACCACCTATGTTTTTCAACATCAAACTTTAACTTAGACTCATTATAACTCAGAATAAATGGCAAACCAAACGAGCTGTGAAAATACCAATGAGAACCAGAACCATTGATTGTAAGATTTGTGTTCTTGCACCAGAACTTTCAAGAGGTAAAGTGTTGTTTGCTGTGTGAGTTCTATCTAACAAAGTTTTGTTTGCAACTGTATGGTTACTAAATTCTTCCTCAAGATCATGTTTATGTTCCAAGAAACTGACAATAGTTGTATTAGTTGTATTTGTGTTGTTCTCAAGAACTGATTGAAGCACAAAATCTGGCTCTTTATCCTCAACTGGGATTCTTGCATTTGGTCTGAGAAATTTGGCAACATGGGTATCATGCTTTTTAAATGGAAGGTTGCAAGCATTAACATCATTCATGGTTTCACAATCATCATACAAAACAGCTAAGAAGTTACCAGAAGCAGTATTTGGACACAATCCATAACAGTCACGTTTCATACTTTGTAAAGCACAACATTCACAGGCAAGATCATCTGGTTTACATTCATCTAATTTTGCTAGAACCTCACTTGCACAAGTAGTTAAAGTATCAAGCTCTTCACCTTCCTATTATTTATTAGTATTTGACTCTTTAAAAATTCCAACAGGTTTTCACATACACAAATATTTTTTGGATTTGGATTGACATAAGCACCAAACTCATTACTTTCAGTTGATGAAATCAAATCAGCAGTTAAAACTTGACTCAGGAAAAAACCAGCCAAGATAATAATTGGTCTTAACAACATCTTTAGCTTTGATTCTAGCTTTGATTCTAGCTGGCAATAAAAGAAGATTGAGTTTTGGGAATCAATTTTTCATTTCTTCATTGTTCGGTTTATATCGTTTTTGTGTCACAAAACCTTCAACGCAAAGCCGCCGCACAAAAGCGAACCATAAAATTTCAGCTTATCTACAAAAGTGATTCATATGCATAATTCATAAATTTATTTCTCATTGTCACATATAACACATGTTAAGTTCTCTTTTACACCTAAATTTTCAAGACACCTCTTATGATAACAATGGCGACAGCTAAATGAAACTAAATCATAGACATCACCATCTTCAATAGTCTTACCACGTTGTCTGTCTTCCCACTTGCAATAAGCTTCTGCTTCGATCCCTCTACCCCAAATTGTCTTCCCACATGCATCACATTCAAAATTCAACACAGACCAACCAGCTAGATTTTTGTCAGTCAGCTTTTGCATATTCTGATAAATACCTTCATTTATTAGTTTGGAGGTAATAGTAAGAATGTTTTTCTCATAAGAAAAGGCAAGATAGATTTCATTTGTAACAGACCTTACATCTCCCAATAGCGTAACATGAACTGAAGATGATTCCAAAAATTTCGCAAATATTTTCAAAAATGAGCTCTGATGTTCGTTGACCCCTGATTCATTGACTTTAAAACTGCTGATCTGGGCCCTAGTATTTATAAGACTTGTGAATAAATCCTGAACAAGTCTTTTGATGATATCCAAAGCTTTCGATGACGTGCCATCTTTATCAAATTTTTTAAACAAATTGACTGTAAAATTTATCAATGACAACCACATCTTCTCATTAACTGAAAGCTCACTTGAAACTCTAGTTTGAGTGGTTGATCCTTCATGATTTGATATGTTGATACCCAATAGTAAATACTTCCAAAGTTTTGATTCAACAGATTGGAATTTACCTTTTTCATAATCTGCTTGCAAAGTGGACAAGTTGTTCACTAATTTTTGCATATAATCCAATACTTCACTCAAAGCATCCTCATATCGATCTTGTTGTTTGTATAGGTAAACCAAAGTATCAACGGCCTCATTCTCCTTGAGGGAGTCAACACATTTTTTGAAATCAAAGTCTGACAGACTTAATGATTTCACATAAGATTCCAACTCCTTTTTATCGAATTTGGCAAGAGTTCCGATGTATTCATCACGTTCTTCCTTAGACATTTTGAATTGACCATTTTCCTCTAAGTTTGATAATGAAGATAAATAAAGGTGTTTGAGATGAAGATCATCTAATTTCAAAACAAGTTTATGAGATTTGGGTGAATAAACATTCAAAATTTTGACAATTTTGTGGGTATTAGCTTCAATCAAATCAGCAAAATTATCATTGACAACTTTTTCAACATTGGCCCTTTCTTTTGGTTTATTCTCAGTTGATCTAAAACATCTTTCCAAAATGTCATCAGTAGTTTCTATTGAGTTTGACTTGTTACTCTTTAGCCATAAGCTCAAAACATCTGCATACTTTTGGTCATTCAAGTATAGATTCATCAAGACATCAGTAAATCCAGCATTTTGAAAAGTGCTCAAAAGTTCATCCCTATTTGAAGGTTGATAGACAGATAACAAGCTTTGTAAACTAAGCTCACAATCTTCTTTCAAGTCATCACCTTCATATGAGCACAATTTCTGAATTGAACTCTCTAAGACACTTTCTGAGAGTCTGATAAATTGTTGAAATTTTGGATAGTTTCTTGCAATGAAAATCGATAAACTTAATTGATCTTCAAAACTAAACTCATTTTGATTGTAGATTTCAATCAATATCTCTATGATGAATTGTCTGTTGACTTTTAACTTGAAATCCTCATGAATAATTTCATCATCATTCAACAATGAATCTTCAAAGCACTCGTTCAATGCCGACAAAAAGGAACTTGAATCAAATCTCAACAATAACAACAAGTAGGGAAACTTTTCATTATTTTCAGACTTTACTTCAATCAATGATCCACCTTGCTTAGGCCAAGTAATGGCCATACCGTTAAATAAAACGTAGTATAATGACAATTTTGCTTCATAGGCTCTTGAATCCTCAATCAAATTCTCCGTTGGGTATTGTCTTCCTGTAAGTGTATATGCCAAATAACTGAAAACTTTATAAGAATCCTCTTTACCTTCTTGAATGTCTTTGACAAAGTCCACAAATGGTGTGATGTAATCATTCAACAAGTTATTCCAAATAAATATAAAGCTATCTCTCAAATTGTTTTTCTGTAAAAGGCTAATGGTGAAATCTATATCCAAGCTCTTGATATCTAAAAGACAAATCAATTGTTCTAGAACCTCTGTTTTCCCTGCTGAGCTATAATAAGCAACCATATCTTTGAGTACTATTGGACTCAATGAGGTGATCAACCCACCCAATATGAATGGTTCCAGAGATTCAAAGAAATAGTCAACGTGATTGTTCACTTTGAAAGTTTCGTAAAAATCTTCATAAACAACCGAGTCAGCATGAATAGATATCAAGGCTTTAATTGAAGTGTATAAAAAATCTTTGACAACGGTATCTTCTTCATTGTTTAACCTTTCTGGGGTCAAAATATGTGTAGCTGAAGCCTTGACAATATCCACCAAATAACGAAGCACAATCTTTTGTCTATCATTGAATTCACGAGGCAATCCAACAACATCTAAATCACCCACACCAGCATAAAATTTTCTCGCTTTTTCTATGGCTTCAATGTACTGACCCCTGTTAACTTTTTCATACAAGACATCCATCCAGTTTGGAGTTGATCCAATGAAAATTTCATATTTCCCAACAAGAAACATTTTTCCCTTGTAGATTCTATATGAGCTATTGAAGTTATTTGTTAATGTGGAGTGTGTGGGCATTCTAGAGTAAATATCATTTTTATAAATATGTCTTGAAAGTAAATCTATTGATGCAGAAACTTTCATTGTTCTTTCAGTGATCAATATCAGTTGCTGAGTTGTTGTTATTAGTCCAATAACTGAATGACTAACCCATTGAACTCCCAGTATTGCTTCATCACACAACCACCTCTTTTTTGAATCAAACTGCAGATGTTCACCATAGTTTGTAACCTCCAACACAGTCAAAACATTAGACCAACAATATGCAAGTTTTGCAGGGGACTTGACACCATTCTTGTGTAAGAATGCTGGGAACCAAGAAAGGCAGCCTGTTTTACCTACAGACTGATCAATAACTTTTGGTTTGCCCACTTTGAACTGTGTCTTTATGTTGTTTGAAGTGGATATTATAACTAATGCACTCGAGCTTAGGATAGCAACGAGACCCTGAGCGTCCAAAAGCTCAACAGATGGACCCAGAGGTAGGGCTGTACATCCAAAAACCGTGGTTGGTCTTCGTAGTTGTATATCTTCATATCTTCCAAGTATCTTTCTAGTCCCAACAGTTACTCCTAGAACACCTCTATTACACTGGTGATAAAAAACCAATCCATTAACATCACTTGAGATTAAAACAGTATGTCTTTTACCGACAAATGTAAGATTATTGACTATTGAACCAGCAACATGGCCATCACTATGCATATTTGTATCATTTAATGGTTGAATATGGCAAAGTGGTTTAGAAGATGTCCTGATATTCCATAAAAACACATCACCACTTTCAAAACCACACGCAACATGTGTTGAATCCAAAGACATTGCAATTGAAGTTATGCTACCGCAGGTCATAGCCTTTGTGTTCTTACCTAAAGAATGTAACAAATTTTGATGATAATCAAATATTAGAATATAACCTTTTGAAGTACCTATAGCCACCACATCTCCTGGAACAATACATGTTGGGTCTCCGTAAAGTGTCTTAGCTTTTCCATCATGTAGACATCCATTGAGTTTTTGTAAATTGACCCACTTGATCGATGTTATATTGGCTTCTTCATGATTATCTTCATCGTCTTGATGTAGATCTAGCGTATGTGTTTCTCTTGCCTTGTCGCTAAACCGACTTGTCAAACGCTCGTCAAATCTTCGACTTCTGGATATAGATGAGTTTAAAGATGAGTTGGAAGGGAAACGAGGGCTTCCAAATGTATGTCTCTTTATTGATTTAGTTGGGGTGGCTCTGAATGTTGAACCACTTTGGAAAGATGCTGTATCTGGAATAAAGGAAACCTCTTCAATGTTCTTTCTGGGCGTTGAGTTATTGGAAACAGAGGCTGACATTGCACTCAAACGACCCACTCTATGGTTGTATTGGGCGTTTTAAAAGATTGATTGTTCAATTGTTGTCTTCTTTTAATCACAGTCAAAAAGGGCGTGTTGAGTGGCCATATCGGGTCAAATAAATTTTGTAACTGGAGGTTGAACTTGAACATTTAAAATGAGCTTGATTTTAGTTGACTGAACAGAAACCAAACCAACCACCTTGTTTTTGCTATAGATTCAAGATGGTACGGGTATTTTCAGCTAAAAGAGGTTTGCTCTCCTGTCAAAAGCTGAGCAAAAATGGCCCAAGAGCACTGTTTTCCACATCGTTTCCAAAATCAAATAATAATGAAGATTTAGAGAAAGTCAAGATATTGATAGAGCAAAAGATGGCTGAATTGAAGAGAGCCGAACAAAAGAGAATAGAGGATGAAAAAGTATGTGCTATTGTGGTTTTTTCGTAAAGGTTACCGTACTAACTTTCCCCAGAAACCAAAATTATCAGATTTCACAAGACCAATAGTGACAACATTGATCATAGGGTCCATAACCTATTTAAGTCTCCATTGGTTATGGTGGCATTTAGAGTACAAAGAACGTGAAATAGTGTTGAAAGGTATGTACATGCAACGCAAAATATCGAAGGTATCCTACTAACAACAGTAACAGAGGAGATGAAATCTAAAGAAGATGAACTAGCAGCCTTGCTTCAGGGACAAGATACGCCAAAACAAACAGCTGGAAAGAAGTCATGGTTTAGATTTTGGAGCACGAATTAATGACTTATAAATGCTTGTAAATACATAATAAAGAATTCTAGAGGGTTAACTAGTACAAAACAATATGTAGATTCTTGAAAAGCTCAAATGACCGAACCAAAAAGCCTTTCTGCGAGACTCAAGGCTAAGGAGAAATCAGCTAATACCAGCTCCCTGAACCCACCAATAAACTTATTTAAATCACTCCGCAATATTATACCATCACACTATAAAGCGTTGATTTCTGAGGGAACCAGTTTATATTTCCGACTCATCACGTGAAAATGGCCTCGGAGATGACTTTCTCAAAGCAAATCCAGTTCTCGGATAAGCTTTCTGAGGATTTCTAAACAATATCTTCAAATAAACCCATTTCTTTGATCCTAGTAAAGATAGAATCTATGAATTATCATACCTAAAGTGACAATGCTTAGAGGATTAAATAAAAACCTTGTCAAAAACCTGACAAATCAAAGAAGATATGCATCTGTTCGTTCTTCATTACCAACTGTGATTGGTATTGATCTTGGTACAACCAATTCAGCAGTTGCTGTTATGGAAGGTAAAGAGGCAAGAATCTTAGAGAATGATGAAGGCCAAAGAACCACTCCTTCAATTGTTGCATTTGATAAACATGGAGATATGTTGGTTGGTAATGCCGCTAAGAGACAAGCTGTCTTGAATACTGAAAATACCTTTTATGCAACCAAGAGATTAATTGGTAGAAGATTTGATGATGATGAAACAAAATTTGATTTAAACCATTTCCCATATAAGATCGTTGAAAATGATAATGGTGATGCCTGGGTTGAAAGCTTTGGTAAAAAATATTCTCCATCACAGATTGGTGGATTTATATTGAAGAAGATGAAAGAAACTGCGGAATCACAATTGGCACAAAATGTGAAAAATGCTGTTGTTACAGTTCCTGCCTATTTCAATGATTCTCAAAGACAAGCCACTAAAGATGCTGGACAGATTGCAGGATTGAACGTGTTGAGAGTTGTCAATGAACCAACAGCTGCTGCACTAGCTTATGGATTAGATAAGACTAATGATGGTCTAGTGGCAGTTTATGATCTCGGTGGGGGTACTTTTGATATTTCAATTTTGGATATTGAGGATGGTGTTTTTGAAGTTAGAGCAACTAATGGTGATACTCATTTAGGTGGTGAGGATTTTGACATTTTGTTGGTTCAATTTATCTTGTCAGATTTTAAACACAAAACTGGTATTGATTTATCTAGTGAACCTGATAAAGTTCAAAGAATAAGGGAAGCTGCTGAAAGAGCCAAAATTGATTTATCCCATGTCAAAGAAACTACTATCGATTTACCATTTATAAAAGATACCCATCATATTTCTATAAGCTTGACAGAAGATGAATTGGATCAAATGAGTTTCCATCTAATTTCTAAAACTATTGATCCTGTTAAAAAAGCATTGAAAGATGCAGATTTGTCGAAGAAGGAGATTGATGAAATCATTCTTGTTGGTGGTATGACTAGAATGCCAAAAATTAGAAAAACAGTTGAGGAAATCTTTGGTAAAAAGCCAAGTACAGCAGTCAATCCAGATGAAGCGGTTGCTCTTGGTGCTGCCATCCAAGGTGGTGTTTTAAGTGGTGCAATTAAAGATGTTTTGTTATTGGATGTTACACCTTTGACATTAGGTATAGAGACCTATGGGGGTGTTTACTCACCATTGATTCCAAGAAACACTACAGTTCCTGTGAAAAAGACTGAAATCTACTCTACAGGTGTTGATAATCAAACAGGTGTTGAGATTAGAGTTTTCCAAGGTGAAAGAGGGTTAGTCCAGGATAATAAGTTGATTGGTAATTTTAAATTGAGTGGGATTCCACCATTGCCTAAAGGTGTGCCACAAGTTGAGGTTTCATTTGATATTGATGCTGATGGTATAATCAATGTTTCTGCACGCGAAAAAACATCTGGTAAAGAAACAAGTATAACGGTCATTGGGAACTCTGGTTTGACAGAAGAAGAAATTCAAAAAATGATTCAAGAAGGTGAACAAAATAAGGATACAGATAAAGCTAAAAGACAAAAAGTTGAAGCAGCCACTAATGCAGAGCTTGTTGTGAATGATACTGAAATGGCAATGGGTTTAGCTTTTGGTGATGTTTTGAAAGCTGACCCTGACTATCCGGAATTGGAGAACAAAATCAAAGATGCTAAGAATGCTATTCAATCAGCAAGAAATGGGGGTGATGTAGAAGTTGCAGATATTAAAAATATATCAAAAGAACTACAGGAGCTTTCGATAAAGATTTTCCAAAGAGTTGCAAGAAAACAAAATGAAGCCAAGCAACAATGAATGTGTATAAAATCATTCAATCTGTATATATTGTATTAACGTCTCTTGTAGTCCCTAGGAACGAAATCACTTCCTATTATGGGTTCCAAGGCGATTGGCAACCATTTTGATGCATCACCTATAAATCCCCAATTCTTGTCTTTTTTAATCTGTTCCATATCTATCTCTGTATTGAAGACTGCCACTTTACCACCTCTCTTTTGCACTCTTTCAACATAACCCATAGCTGGCCACACAGTCCCACTAGTTCCTATAACTAGTACCAAGTCAATCTTGTTATTTATCAAAAATTCATCGGCAGTATCAACAGCTTTCAATGGTAAAGATTCACCAAACCATACTACACCAGGTCTCAATAAACCCTCTTTACATTCAGGACAATGTGGTAAATCTTTTTCAGGGATTGATTGAACAGGTTTAATATCTGGGGATGAACCAGTTGAGGCGATTGAAGTATGGCTTTTGGTTCTTTCTAAAGCGTCATCAGTCCTTGCTCTTTTCTTTGATTCTTCCTTATCATTTTGATCATTCAATTTTCTCTTCTTAGGGAATTCATCTTCTGAACCTTCTAACGCTGGTGTTAAAGGATGTTGTCTATTATCTTGGTCAATATGGTTGCAAAAAAAATTTGTACACTTCAAAGTGAATAAAGATCCATGTAATTCCAACAATGTATCTTTATCATGACCAGCTCTAGTTGATAATCCATCAACATTTTGAGTCAAAGTTAAAAACTTTCCATTCCTCCTTTTACTCAATTCAGCCAAAGCATAATGTCCTCTATTAGGCTTTGCTTTCAACGCATTGTAGCGTCTTGCACTATAAAACTGCCACACGAGTCCAGGATCAAAGTGGAATGCATCTGGAGTAGCCAGATCAATTGGCGAGAAGTTTCTCCAAATACCACCGGCACCTCTGAATGTAGAAAGCCCGGAGGAGGCTGATAGCCCAGCACCCACAACTGCTAAAATGTTGTTTGCTTGCAAGAGATAATCATGGAAGGATTCAAGATCGGAGGATTCAGCCTTGTTCACGCCATTGTCCATGGTGTTGTTGTAGTTCAGAAAGCGACGGTTGTGGTGGTGGTAGCAGCTGCCAAAAGAGACATTCTTCAGTCTCTGAACCCTTTTCAAGAACGAAAACACTTTTAAACTGCTGTTCTGGATCCTTTTGATGCTGTTTTTGCTGGTTCACAGGTTTTGAAATCTCTTTTTTTGCCTTCGCGAAAATGTTCAGGAAAAAAGTTGAACGAAAAAAAAAACATCAACAAAACAAAAACACCAAAAAAGTCAGATTTTCTTGATAGCGTGTGGAACAGATCAAAAGCCATCATATCAACAATCCTCAGCAATGTCCAACTTGGCAAAGAGAATCAAGCTCTCGTTCGACTACATCTACGAGATCAAAGATGATGTCACCAACGAACCAATTGCCCCTATCTTCAACACGATGCCTGACAAAAAGTTGTATCCAGATTATTACGACATCATAACAACACCAACTTCATTAAATTCCATCAAAAAAAGACTAAATGCTTACACTACACCTAACGAGTTCATCAAGGATCTTGCACAAATCGTTTGGAACGCGAAAACTTATAATGAACAAGGCTCTTTTGTTTACAGATTTGCTGAAAAATTGGATAATTTCATCTTATCCAATGTTATACCCAAATTTAAGAAATTGGGATACGATGTCGTTTACCCAAATTTAGGACCAAATGATCCAACTGCTGCTATTAGCACCACTGCAACTAGCGTTGCTACAACTCCACAACCAAGAAATGATCAACTTCATCCTCACCATGAAGAAGAATACAATAGTGAAGAGGAATCTTCAAAACCGAAAAGACCAGTTCCAACTAGTGTCAACTCCACTAAAGATCAATCATACAAAAGAGGTAGACCTCCAGTTATTGATAAACCATTTGAACAACGTATCAAAAACATTTTGAGATCCCTAAGACGTGAAAGGGATGCTTCAGGTCAATTAATGTCTGCACCTTTTGAGAAATTATTAGATATAAGAGAATATCCAGAATATTTTAATGAAATTAGAAACCCAATCTCCTTAGATGAAATCAAAAAGAAGATCAAACAAAGAAAGTATAAAGATGTTGATACATTTGTTAAAGATTGTAAATTGATGTTTGATAATTGTAAAGAATATTATAAAGGATTTAAGGAAGAATATGTTCAAAATGCTATAGCTTTAGAAAGTGCGTTCAATAGATTTGTGGAAATTGAAATTAAAAGACCAGATGCTGATTTCATCACTGCTGATTCTTTGAAAATTCCTTTGGATCAATTAGAATTACATGGTTCATTATTCAAGATTGGTGATTGGATCTTGATAAACAATCCAAATGATCCTTCGAAGCCTATTGTTTCACAACTATTTAGAATATGGCAAACACAAGATGGTCAACGCTGGATCAATGTTTGTTGGTATTTAAGACCAGAACAAACAGTTCATAGAGTTGATCGTTTATTCTATGAAAATGAAGTTTTCAAATCAGGTCAATATAGAGATCATTTAGCTGATGAAATCATTGGGAAATGTTATGTTGCATATTTCACACGTTATCAAAGAGGTGATCCAGCAATAAATTTTGAAGGTCCATTATTTATTTGTGAATTTAGATATAATGATAATGATAAAAATTTCAACAAGATTAGAACTTGGAAAGCCTGTTTACCTGATGAAGTTCGTGATCATGAAGATCCAATCACACCATTACCAAACTTACGTCGTTTCAAAAAATATGAATCCCCATTAAAACATTTATTACCACCTAATGCCACACCAAATATGCCAATCCCAGAACCTACAATCGGTGCAGCAAATGCGCCACCATTACATGGTGCAGTTTACATAAGGGATATTGATGAAACTGATGATTTGGGTCAATATTCAACAAGTCGTATTTGTCCAAAATATATCATTAGACCAAATGATCCAATTAGTGCAGATTCTCCATCAAATATCACAACACCAATTGTTAATTATACAAGAAATACAGTCCCTGCTGCTCAACCACAATCTAATCTGTACCATGCAGTGCCAACATATGTTCCAACTTCAACTGCCCCATCTTTTACCATCCCAATAAGTATTGAAAAAGATGTAAAGGGTTTATTGAAGATGGATCTTTCAAACAATAGAAGAAGATTAGCAGGGATAACCTCTGATGTTATTAGTGAAGGTCCATTGATTTGGTTTAGAGCTCCAGGTGTCAATATTGGTGAAAGATTTAAACATGAATTACCAATTGTTGGGGCGAATAGAATTTTGAAAAAACGTGGATTGGAAGATGAAGAAAGTGATAATGAAGATGAAGTACAACAAAGTCATGGTGTAACGTTGGGTCATAGTGCCAAATATTTAGCCCACAAATTACAAAAACAAAATATTGTATAAAAAATATAGATGATTTTTGGAATCTACAAATATTTGTAAAGAACGACCAAATTTTAACCTTATTGAAACCCTATATAGTATAATATACAAACTAAACTGTCCAGACAATTTTTTTCCATAAACAAACAATTCATATTTTTTTTTTCATCAAAGTGATTAATTATCACTGAAAATACCCCAGTATTGTTCAACATTATATTTACCAGGACTTTTCCATAAATCATCATAAGTAGTAAACAAAACAACTTGATCACCACAACTGTCAATGATACTTTTCAAGGCTTTTTCTTGGTTATCCTTAGAAGGAACCGCACTACCATAAGTATCACCTTTTGTTGGCCAACCGGTTTCAGTAATCAAAACAGATTTATCACCACCACATTTACTCTTGATGTTTGAAATTTGTTTTTGTAAGAAATCACCAGCACCTGAAGCATCAACGTTACCATCCCAGAATGGATGAGAGTTAACTGCAATATAATCTGAATATTGACACAATTCATCATTATTTTGCACAGCGACTAAAGTATCAACACTGACAATCTTTCCTGAATAACCAGCACTTTTCAAAGCGGATCTGGCAGTATCGATAGCGGTTTTAATATCTGATGGTTTTGATTCACCAGAATTGACCAATTCATTACCGATGGAGACGGTATGGATGTTATCCCAACCCCCATCAACGTTTTTAACAGCAGAGGATAAAGTATCAACAGCATCTTGGATTTTGTTGATGTGATAAATACCTGCAAATAATTTTTGGGAAGAACCTTTAGCAGCCAAGACGTTTTCCACACCTGAACAATCAGTGTCGTATAAACGGATTAAATCAAAATCTTTCAATTTGGCAATATCTGATTTGATAGTGGATGCATCCTTACAGGAACCTGAATTGGTGTATGGAGAATAAGTGATACCTTTGGCACCTGAACCAGCACCTGAACCACCAGAACCACCGGATGATGATGAAGATGATGAAGATTGGGAAGCTGATGAAGAGCCAGAGTTTGAGCCAGAGCTAGATGATGATGGAGCAGCAGTTGCTGATGAGGAGCCACTTAATAAGACAGTTTGGAATGAAGAACCAGATAATGAATTATCAGGTGATGATGAGACAGCACTTTGGGTTTGAGAGACAGCACGGTCAACAGGTTTACTGACAACTTGGGTTTCATAGACGGTGACAACGTTTAATTGGGCATCTCTTTTATGTTGATGATGGTCATGGATTGGGGTTGTTAAGGCGATTGAAGCCAATGAGGATAGTATAACGAGTGATAATTTCATAATCAAAAAAGGAACGACTTGGGTATAAATGAATGTGTTTTTGAAATTATTTTAACCCCCGTTGGTTTGTATGTAGTAAAAGAAATGATCATGATTGATTTTAGATTGAACTAGGATATGACTAGATATTTATATTTGAAAATGAGCCATGTTTTTTTTTCCCTTTCCAGGGGAGTGGTCTAGATGTGAGTGTGTACTCAGAGAGAGTAAGGTACGGAGTAAACATGAGAGGTTGTATGCGAAGATCTGTGATTTGAAGATACACGTTAACTTTTGAAAGAAATTTTAACAAGGACGCGTCAGAAAACAGTTTCATGCATCTCACGGAATTGGCCAAAATCTTTTTCGAAAAAGGATTGTTTCAAGATTGTAAGAGATCCTGGAATAGTACCATAATTCAAACCAGATGAAAAAAGTATTCAATCAATTAATAGCCTATATATCATCTAAGGTGGTATCTAAACTCACTGATTATCCTTTTGTTTATTTACCTGTAACTCTTTTCAGTTTTCAAGGAGTAGGCTATGAAAAAGGAGTCTCCGAAACGTACATCAAACAGACCAAATTTTTGTTTTCTGAACCGCGACAGACGCGTTGTAAATGAAAAAACACAGACATCAACAACAAAACATGATTTTTAACGAGATATAGGTTTCTTCTCCTTTGATTCGATCTAGTTTGATTGTGTGCAGGCAAGTGATACATATTATCCTTTCTTGGTAGGAACTTGATGTATCATGACAGGGGTTTGTTACAACTTGATATTAGAGTTGGACAGGGGTATGATGAAAGTTTGAAACAGAAGAGGTCTATTAATTAATGATAAATAGCAAAGACGTATCATGATCGACTATGGGTTAGTGTAAGCTAGTGACAAGTCAACTAAGCTTTAGCTTCAGTCGATAGTGGCCAGGTTTTTTGAGATTTTAACTACCTGCTTAGATGCTTAGGTCTGTCAAAATCATTGAGTTGACTAGTGTTCACCGTTTTGAATCCAGACTTCGGGGCTTTGAGCTTCTTTCTCGACAGCTATACCAATTAGAATTTAGTAACTGATGTATGTATACCTCTGGTACGCTGCTATTGCCCATAGCTTTTGAATGAGAACGTTGTAAACTTGTTGAAGTAAGTTGAAGTTGAACAAAGTATGAAATTCAACGGTACTTGATCCAACTTGACCTTTGAACTTTAAAACCCTTTGAGCGTTCACCTCTTGATTCTTGATCTAGAATCAGTAAATGGCTTAATCAGCAAATTGAAAGCCTTTTACAACTTCAGGATCATGATTATTTCCCAAAAGAGGTTTAATTATTTAATTCGTTCAACAGTACCTGACATCATACAGAAATTTTTCAACTTTTTTTTTTACGCGATTTGTCGAAAAAAAATTAATCATGCTGAGATCATGTTGTTGCGCTTGTGCACATTTTCATCCAGTTTTTTTGAAAAGCTGAACAACCTTGTTTGATTAGTAGGAAAAGTTTAAAGTGTTCTAGCCAAATTGTTTCACAGTACTTAGCTTGTCATATTCATTACTTTTCCTGATCTGGTAAAAAACCGTTATAGGCCGAAGATCATCAATGTTAACTTTATTCATGAAAGAAGTTTTATAGAAGTTATAAGAAGTATACGATACAGCCATATAACTACTTATAGTACTATTTAAAAGTTGGAAAGTACAAGATCAACATCTCAGAGTTGAAGCATTGATGAAATTGGACCAAAGAAAAGACAACCATCAATCCAGCTTCAACAACGTCTTGGTGGTTCTAGATTCACTTAGTCTAGGTTGATTCAATGGCACTGAGACAAGAACATGAATTAACTTCACTAATTTCTTCCCATCACTTCATATAAACTACCCTACACTACTCAACTAGTTCTAGATCAAGATTTGTATCGATCTAGAGTTTAGACTTTTGAAATTTCTGAGGCAGACACACGAAAAAAAAATTGAATTCGCGAATAGATCAGAAAAAGAAAAGTTGTTAGGTGATAGATTAATAAGAAGGATTGAGAATATCAAGAGAGTATTGAGAGTTATCAAGATAATAATATGAACTCTTTATCTATCTAGATGTTAAGATTGTAGACTATTTCATGTTAGAAACAATTGAACTTTACTTTGAACGGCTAGACCAACTTGAGTTCATTTCTACGCTTCTTATCGTGCTGACAGCCAAATTAGTTGAAACTGTAGATAACGAGATGACCTTTGATGGGTTGGCTACACATGAGCTTCCACTTATGAAAAGTTGATATTGATACTGATGAGATTGATAAAGATCATTAATCATATGGTTACACGTGTAGTTAATTAGAAAATTGTACTAAACTTCTTATCAGTGATCACCAGTCACACTAGTACAAAGATGATAGGGTCTTTTCAACAGAGACGAGGACGTAACGAGTTAATAATATTGAGCCAATAGGATGATGACACCCGTATATTATTCATATTCCTTTAATTACTCCCATGTGAAATCTTTCCCCCATAGTTAATTCCTCGGATGTACTGGTGATTGATGGTGATGGTGATGGTCAGGCAAGTTGTATGCAGCTAATTAATATCGGCCGAAGAGGTGGATGCTATTATCAAGATTGATTAGGTGTAATGATCTGTGATTGATTGCACTAGATTCTATTCCATTGATAGTTGTAGTTGTAGTTCTTGATCATAGCTTTCCAAAGACTCCAGTATGTGATAGGCTAATACGAATATGACTCCTTGAGGGAGTTCGGATCATTGAATCGGTGAATCGTGATGGTGCTTCTCCGAGTGTTGCGTAACGTCATGGCCGTAAGTAATAACCATCAAGTAACAACTATTAACTAATTAACAACCATCAACTAACTAACTAACTAACTAACTAACTAACTATGGTCTAACCATCCAATAAGCAACAGATCCACCACTTGCTCTCGTCTGACTAATTTCTTCCATAAAATTCTGACACCTTCTCGTGCTTTGCCACGAGCAACACTCACCACAGCAAGTCATTATTAAGCACACTACATCATCCACAAACAAAATATATAAAAGCCATCAACATTTCCATCTTTGAAATCAACTTTCTTTTCTTCTCATCATCATAAATCAACCAAATATTATTTACAATGCCTCTTGTCATCAACACTGCTCCAGTCGAATTAACAACCACTGAAGGTTACAACGAATTCATCAAATCTCCACTATGCAATGAACATTCAACCATTTTCCCAAATGAAACAAGTGATCAAGGTTATGTCTATGTAAATGATGAAGTTGTTGCCATTGTTCGTGGTGAAGCTAGAGATTCTTTATTCAACTATACTAGTTCTAATCTGGTTAGAGATGATAAAGAATCTGTCACTTTAAGAAATTGAGATTGTTAGCCGCTGTCATGGCTTTTTGATGGGATCAAGCCTTCTTGATTGATCATCTATTATTATTATGAGTTTACGTTATTATTATCATTTATACATTATATCATGGGGATTCTGGGTTTCAAGAATCAATGCATTAGTTGTTTATTTTCATTTTACAAATCAAGGATATTTATATCAGTTAGATCATCAGGTTCAATTTGACTTCAAATAGTTTCAATTGATTGATTGGATTGGTTATACCATTATTATTTCATATTCCAGATTGCTTACATAGCTGGTTGTCATCCAGCTTTGATCTAGATTGTTTCTGTCATCAGTTTTACGAAGGTGTTCATTACATTATTATTAGTTGTTTAGAGGGTTTTACATAAAACATTATCAATATTACGGGTCATTCGCTTGGTTTTTTTAGTTTAAAAGATTGTAGAAGAGAGCGTTTAACATTAGAGAAGTAGAGTATCAAAACGTCATAGTCGAGGCTGAGATACTAATACTAATACTAATTACATTCATTGATTAATTGGTTAATAAGACGTATTCTAGTTGTAATGTTCTGGATCCCAATTCAATCTGGAGTTGACAGAACCGTTTCCGCAAATCAAAATGACAAATCAACAAGAACCAGAACAATGCAAATACACAACGGATAGTCAATTCCATACTACTGACTAATGCACGTAATAAGTAATTTCACCCAGTTCATTTACCCATGTCATTGTTCCCATCACAATAACACCAGGTACATTGTGGGTAAATTAATAGTGGGAATAATAATAATTTTTTTGGGGTCTCTGGAAATACTTTTTGCCATTCCTAGAACAAGACATAATTAACAGTCATCAATATAAAACCAATCTAAAATATCCAATTCTTTTCAATCCATCATAATGATCTTAACCACCATCTCAAAATGTCATTACCATACACCCCATTAGACCAAATCCCTTCAATCGTCTCAAGTCTTCATGAATCATTCCACTCCCATGCAAAACTAGACTCAATCCAATACCGTTTAAAACAACTACGCATCCTATACCATGCAATCCATTCAAACGAGGATGCAATCTGTGAAGCCATAAAACTCGACCTCAACAGACCTATCCAAGATACAAAATTCCTTGAATTTGATGTTTTTTATTCAGAAATCTTGGACATTATTGCAAATTTAGAATCATGGTCCAAACCTACACCAGTGGATGATGTCCCCAAGATTATCTCATTTGCTTCACCAAAAATTGAAAGAATCCCACTAGGTACCGTTTTGATAATTTCTCCATTCAACGTCCCTATGCTATTGGCATTACAACCAATAGTTGGTGCCCTATGTGGTGGTAATACAATGGTTTTAAAACAATCGGAATTCGTGCCAAATACTGCTTTGATTTTGTCTAAAATCTTGACAAGGGCTTTGGATTCAGATATTTTCAAAGTTGTTAATGGGGCTATTGATGAAACTACTGTGTTGTTGGAGCAAAAATTCGACAAGATCTTGTATACAGGTTCTTCACAAGTTGGTCGTATTGTGGCAAAAGCTGCATCCAAGAACCTGACTCCATGTTTGTTGGAATTGGGTGGTAAGACTCCTGTGTATGTCGGGGCAAGTGTGGAGGATTCTTTGGAGGTTGTTACAAAGAGAATCATGTTTACTAAATTTATCAATGCTGGTCAAGTTTGTCTTGCTGCTGATTATTTATTAGTTGATGAGAAAATTTATGACAAGTTTATTAAAACATTGTTGAAAACTGTTGATGAATATTTCAAAGGTGTGGATTCTAAAAATTTCACTCATATTATTCATGAAAGAAGTTGGGAAAGATTGAATTCAATGATTAAATCAACAAAGGGTCAAATCATCTTTGGTGGTAAGAATTCTAATCGTGCTTTGAAATATATCGAGCCAACAATTATTAAAAATGTTGATTTCAATGATTCTACAATGAAGGAGGAAATCTTTGGACCAATCTTACCAATCATTAAAATTTCAAACATTTTTGAAACCATTGATGAGATTAAATCAAGACATGACACTCCATTATCAATGAATATATATTCTCATGATGCCTCAGAGGTCCACTATTTGAGAACTCATATAAGATCAGGTGCCTTGATAATCAACGATGGTATGATGCATGTTGCTATTCATTCACTACCATTTGGTGGGATTGGTGAATCTGGATATGGTGCATATCATGGGATCCACTCTTTCAAGAGTTTTACTCATGAACGTGCAATCTTGGAACATCCTTTCTGGTGTGATAAATTTTGGACTGATAAGTTTATCAAGATTGTTGATATTGAAAATACTTGGAGAGGTAGTAAACATTTACCACAATTACCAGGGAAAGATGTTGATTTTGATGCAAATGGTGAAGTTATTAAAAAGCCAATTGATGAAAAGGTTTGGAAATTAGGTGCTGTGGGCGTTGTTGTCGCAGGTGTTGTTGCTTATTGTTATGGACTTGTTTTGTAAGCTGTGTATTGTAAAAAGATATTCTTTGCAGTACTTTCTGTAGAATTCATGACAACATAAAACTAGTTATTCAATTGCCTAAGATTAATTCAACTCATACTATTCTTCACTTTAAACTTCATGACATATTGTGTACTCCAATCTCTTCACTGCTTCGCGCTTAACCGGATTTAATAGCGCAGGCAAAAAAGGTATTTTATAAAAGACATCATGGGGAACCAAATACAAACAAACAAACAACAATTAATCAAATCACAAAAGAATTGCCTTCCAAAGATGTCCAACGTCTTAGAATACACTCCAGTTGATGATATTCCATCAATTGTCACCTCATTGCACAAATCATTCCGTGCCAATCCAAACAGATCTTTAGAATATCGTTTAAACCAATTACGGAACCTATACTATGCCATAAAGGATAATGAAGAATTATTAGTGAGGGTATTGAAAAAAGATTTAAACAGACCTGAAGGTGACACTCAACTATTAGAAATAACTCCATTATACATTGAAATCTTGACCACCATCAATAATTTATCAAAATGGATGAAACCAACATCTGCCAAAAATGTTGATTTACTATATTACTTCACTTCACCAAAAATTGCAAAGATTCCCCTAGGTACCGTTCTAATCATTGGTCCATTCAACTTCCCATATTTGACAACCTTGGCTCCCTTAGTTGGCTCAATCGCAGCTGGTAATACAACAGTCTTTAAACAATCTGAACAAATCCCATACACCTCACAAACTTTAGGAACGATATTGACAGATGCCCTAGATCCAAAAATTTTTCAAATCGTTCAAGGTGGTATTGAAGAGACAACTGTGTTGTTGAATCAAAAATTTGACAAGATCATATATACAGGATCGGGGAAAGTTGGTCGTATCATTGCTTCAAAAGCCGCTGAAACTTTAACACCAACTATATTAGAATTAGGTGGGAAATCTCCAGCTTTTGTTACACCAAGTGTTCAACCTAAAGATTTGAAAACTGTTTGTAAAAGAATTGCATTCACTAGGTTCGCTAATGCGGGACAAATTTGTGTCTCCACGGATTATTGTATTGTTCATGATTCCTTATATGATGAATTTGTTGATATGATGAAATTGGTTATTAAAGAACTATACGATGTTGATGAAACAAATTCAACAAAATTGGTTAACAAGAATGCATGGGATCGTGTTATGAATATAATTAGAAACACTAAAAGTGATGTTGTCCTTGGTGGTGATGGTGATCGTGAAGCTAGATTCATTCAACCAACTTTATTAACAAATGTCTCTTTTGATGATGCTTCTATGAAGGAGGAAATTTTCGGTCCTGTCTTGCCAGTTATAAAATATTCAGATTTACAACATAGTATTGATAATGTATTGGATATTGCAGATACCCCATTAGCACTATACATATATTCCAAATCTTCAAAAGAGATTGAAACAATATCTTCACAAATTAGATCAGGTGCACTTGTTGTTAATGATGGTGTAATCCACGGTGGGCTGGCATGTGTCCCATTCGGTGGTGTTGGAGAATCTGGATATGGTTCATATCATGGGAAATGGTCATTTGATGCATTTAGTCATGAAAGAGCTGTCTTGAAAAATCCATTTTGGACTGATATCTTGTTTGAATCGAAATATCCACCAATCACCAAGATGGATTTGAAATTGAGTAAATTTTTCTTGGTCCCAAGGAAATCATTCAAGAGAACTGGGAGAGTTCGAGCAAATAAATATGAATTCTTCATTAAAGTTTTATTTGTTGGTGTTGTTGGTGTTGCTGTTGGTTATTATAACTCATGATTTTTTTCATTTCAAGCTTTCGTCTATATGATTCAATTGTTGTTTTAGTTTCTCTTCACCGGCCCATGTAGCTTTCTTATTTATATTTATTGGTAAGATTGTGATGCCATTTGAATCTGCTTTACCAATTCTATCATCCAAGTGTTTGATCTCTTTCTTCAAATGAATTGATGAGAATTCTAAATCCGTGTAGAAGTTCTTGATATCATCTTGGAACTCCTTTTTGATTTTGGTTAATTCATCTCTATTTGATGCGTTTTTCTTTAAATTTGTCAAGTTTGTTAATGCTGATGATGAATGATTTAATACTGATACAAGTTTCTATGAGTGTTAGCACTTGAAAAGGAAAGTAAAAAGATCAATTGCACCTACCGTATCAATTTCATGTAAAGCTTCTAACCTTTCTTGAACGAATTGGTGCTGTTCTTCAGACATGTTGTAGTTTGTTCCTTGAACTATCTTGTACAATACCATTTGTTTACATTCACGATTTAACCCCATGAGGTACTCCCCCTCTGCCATCTTCAACGTGCCAGCATAGATTTGTGATGTCTGGATGTTTTCTCACAGTCACTTTCGTGATCTGGTAACAACACACCCGGTCTGATAGTTACTGTGATGCCATACAAACTGCTGTGTAAAACTTGTACCTAACAATGAAATCTGGATTGAATCGGTAAGAGACACACTTTTTACAACCGATTGTTCGCGCTTTGTTTTTCGAGCCCAGTGCGCTTGGTATCAGAGAGAGGATGAAAAATTTATTTCAACATCAACATTCTATCAAGAGATACTAGTTCTAATACATCAACAGTCAATTATACAATGTCTACCAAAGAAGTTCTTGTCTTAAGAGGTACCTTAGAAGGTCACAACGGTTGGGTTACTGCCTTAGCCACCACCCCAGCTCAACCAGATTTATTATTATCAGCTTCTCGTGATAAAACTTTAATCACCTGGCAATTAACCCGTGATGATCAACAGTATGGTGTCCCAAAGAAATCATTAAAAGGTCATTCACACATTGTCCAAGATGCTGTCATCTCCCCAGATGGTTTATTCGCTTTATCCGCTTCATGGGATAAAACTTTAAGATTATGGAACTTACAAACTGGTGTCTGTTCTCAAAGATTTGTTGGTCACAATGGTGATGTCTTATCTGTTTCAATTGCTAAAAACTCTAGACAAATTGTTTCAGCTTCCCGTGATAAAACCGTTAAAGTCTGGAACACCATTGGTAAATGTATGTCCACTTTAGTTGGTCACCAAGACTGGGTTTCCTCAGTTAGATTCTCCCCAGGTGATGCTCCAACTGTTATCTCTGCTGGTTGGGATAAATTAGTTAAAGTAAGTTTTATTAACAATTCAGGAATATGGGAATGGATTTTTTTTTAAACTAGATGATGTTAATTTATATTTGCTACTTCGGACGAGGCCTATCTAGCTTCGAATGAGACATATTTTAATCACCAAGATCTCTGATACTCTGTTCAAAAAAAGAAAACTTTCTCATATTCCACAATCATATTTTTGAATTTGGTTTACTAACAAGTTTTTTCTAGTCTTGGGACTTATCAAACTACCAATTAACTGCTGATTACATTGGTCACACTGGTTACGTTTCAACCATCACTATCTCCCCAGATGGAACTTTAGTTGCTTCAGCTGGTAAAGATGGTCAAATCATCTTATGGGATTTAAACACCCAAAAAACTTTATACACCTTAGCTGCTGGTGATGAAGTCCACGCTTTAGCTTTCTCTCCAAACAGATACTGGTTAACTGCTGCTACTGCTTCATCAATCAAAGTCTTCAACTTAGAAGAAAGAACTATTGTTGATGAATTAAAACCAGAATTCGCTACCTCTGGTAAAGCCCGTGATCCAGAAGCTATCTCATTAGCTTGGTCCGCTGATGGTCAAAACTTATTCGCTGGTTACACTGATTCAGTTATCCGTGTCTGGCAAGTCATGACCAGTAGTTAGATTCCCCTTTGACTACTAGTCGTTACTGTATAAAAAAATTATAATTTGTTCTTCATGGTTAAAAATGTTGTAGTTTATTTTTATATGCTAAATATTCTGTATTGTATAAATTATAGTTCAGTCTCACCAATTAATTCAATTGCCTTTGAATCACCAGCACTAATCTCTGGCATATCTAAAGCATCAGCAACACAGAGCCATGGACTTTTAGATCCACCCCATTTTAAAACTTCATTCTTGAACTTGTCACCTTTAGCTCTATCTAATGGATTCTCTGCAAATAAATGTAACCAAACTTTAGATGCAATAGCTCTATCTAATAAATATGAATAATATGATGCCCCATACCCAAATAAGTGACCAAATTTACCTTGCCAGTTAGATTCAGTATCTGCTAGAATTTCATGAATCTCTTCCAAAGTATGGTAAACAGCTGTAGAATCAAAATCTGGTGTTAATACACCACTTGAATGTAATGATTGATCTAATAATGCCATTTTAATTTGTGAATAAGATTCAGTATTTTTCAAAAAATTGTTTTCTTTTTGGAAAGTTTCCAATAATTGCAATGGGATAGGTTCATCTGTTAAATAATGTCTTGCAAAAGTTTGTAAAACTCTTGGATCCTTAGCAAAATGCTCCATCAAAACACTTGGTAATTCAACAAAATCAGTAGCACATCTGGTACCACTAATATTGTGTAATGAAGTTCTTCCCAACATTGAATGCATAGCATGACCCATTTCATGGAATAGAGTTTCAACATCATTCAATGATAATAAACATTTACCAATTGCTGAGTTTTTATCAAAGTTACAAACTAATGAAATGACAGGTAGTTGAAATTCTTCGCCAGATTTGGCAGATTTCCCAGTTTGAACAACTTTTAATTCTTCAGCATCTTCATCTGGATAAATCTTTCTTGAACAACAAACTGTGAAATGTGCAGGATTTGGAGTTTTGCCCTTTCTTTGAAATAAATCACAGTAGACAACACCAATCAAACCTTCTTCTTCACTAATAACATCTAATCTACGAACATCATCCGACCACGTTTCACCTGTTTGAACACGGCTTGGAATCAATTGAATACCATAAATGGAGTTGAACAAATTAGATAAACCTTGTAAAACAATACCCAATGAAAAATATGAGCTAATCTGTTCAGTAGTGGATGAGCGTTGACTTGTAGTGTATTGTTGAGAATAATAGTCTCTATCCCATGGCTTGAAATATTCTGCAACTTGATGGTCACTTAACCGTCTAGTGTCACCATTTTCCTTTTGTTTCAAACTTGCCAATAATCTTAATTCTTGAATTGCATGTGGTTTAGTCTCTGCAGCTAACTTTTCCAAAAAATTCATAACATGTTCAGGACTTTTAGCCATTTTTTCATCTAATTGATAAGCTGCGAAATTTGGCTTTTTCATAATATGTGCTAAAACACCTCTATATTTCAACATAGTTTCCAATAAATCAACTTGTCTTTGGGATGTGCTATGTAATTCAACCCAGATCTTCTTTCGAACATCTTCATCTTTACAGTATCTAAGCACTGCATGTGGTAAATAACCCCAGGTTGGTACTTTATAGTTAGCTCTTCTAATATCTGTACTCAAATGACTCAAGATGGTGTTATCCAAATATTGTAATTTTTCCACTGGAACTTCGATATAGTCATTATTGGCCTCACCAAGGCCATTTGTGAAATGTTGTCCGAAAACTGCAATCTGTTGAGAATATTCAATGAAATCATTTCTTGTAGCTGGATCCATATTTATACCTGACTTCTCAAAATCTGCCAGCAAGATTTTACCAACAGTGACTTCTTCGTGAGAAAGACTCTTCACAATTTTTTCATTCTCTAAAACCTTCTTCAAAATAAGGTACAAGTCAACATTTGTATTCAAAATGTTCATGAATTCAAACATCTCTTCATGACAATCTTGAGCAGCATTAACAAATGCCTTCTTTGGATGAGCAACTCTTACAAACTCTGCAAGATCAATCACACGACACAACACATCACTTAACCTATCCAAATTTGTAATATATGCCTTCAAACCTTGGTCTGATTGATCATTCACCATTTGTTCAACAAGTGATTTGGCCTTTTGTAAAGAAGCCTTGCTAAATTCTCTTAATCCTGAAGGTGTAGTCAAATATGAATTTTTGAATAAACCAGTCTTTTTGTTAAAGTTCAAAAATGAAAGAGTTTTCTGGTCATCTTGTCTATTGAAATTCTTCCAAAATATATCATCATCGAAGACCTTCCTTATCAGTTCATTATTATTGTTGACAGGGGAGTCTGGATCGTTTTCATAATGTAGTGCTGTGTTTGAAGATGAATGATTCGGTATTATGGACTTGGAGATTGGGGGATTATTGGCCACTTGGTTTAAATGCCTGGATGCTGTGCTGAAACACCGCAGTCTTGGGAAAGAAGACTTCAGCATCGTACTCGCGCAAAGAGCCCTTGAAGAATACATGGTGTGTTGGTTTGTGATGTCTTTAGATCTGGGGTACAAATGAGATTTCGATGAATTTTGATGATTTTCCCATGTCGATTTTTTCCTCTGTACAACTTCGCGAATTTTAGTTTATATGGTTATCAAGGCAGCCAATACGATCAAGGGCAAATATAATATGGCATATTTTGTTTATTTACATGCTTTATTTATGCTTACTCAGTTGGATATCGAGCTCAATGTCTGGTTGGTCGTTTCCTTTGCTCAAAAGATTCTTGATTCTTTGTTCTTCAGATTCCTTTTTCGCACCTTCTTTTTCAAGTCTCTCAACCTCTTTTGATAATTTTTCCAACTCTCTTTCAGCTTCGTTGACAAGATCACTGAATCCACTACCTTTGGCTCTAAGTCTTGATTCACGAAGCAGGTTCTTTGCCGCTTCCAATTCACCAAGATGTAATTTTACAACACCTAAACCATAAGTTGACAGAGCAATTGACTCTTCAACATTCTCTTCACGACGTAACTGTGCTGGTAGTTCTTTGGAAAACGCCAAAACTGATTCATAACATCTTAGGGCCAAACTGATACAACTTTGTTTGTTGAATCTTTCAGCTTCAATCATTGCATCTGGTAATTTTTGCTTAATGGCACGGGATTCTTTACTTTCAAATTCTTCAGCTTGTAAATACATCAGGGAGCCTAGATTAGTTTGAGACATCAAGATTTCACCTGGATCACAATCAGCATTCAGCATCCACTCAGTTGTTGCGATTTTAGTACGAACAGCTGATTGTAAGTCACCAGTAGCTAGACAGATGGCAACGTACAAATCTCTTGCATTGAACAATTCATCACGGAAAGGTTCCCAAGCTTCTCTGTTTCTTTCCAAAATGATAACTTTCTCATCCTTACCAACTTCCATGGAATCTTCCTTAATAGGGTTTGTATACTGAACTTCACCCACATTTGCAACATCGGCTAATACCCGTTCTTTTTCCTCTTTAATCATATTGGAAACAACTTTGCTTCTTTTGGCAACTTCTTCTTGAGCAATCATGAAATGGGTCATCAGTAACATTTTAGAGTTATATGGATTGGATTTATTCAATTCAACGATTTTGACAACAACCCTCAAGTCTTTTTGAATAATATGTGGTCTATCACCAATTTTGATTTTATTTGGAGTAATTAACCCATCCAAATAGGCAGATGCAATCTCTGAATACACCATCAAAGCATGTTCATTCATATTCAATCTTTCATACATTTCACCGACTTTCAATTGGATTCCAGTATATTCATCACTTAATGGATCTAATTCTAATTTATCAGCCTCTTCCAATGCTTCCAAATAATGTTTCAGAGCAGTTGAATAATCTTTTTCACCTTTTTCAGATTCTGCCCATAAAGCCTTTCTCAAGATCTTTGCCACAGATTTGGGGAAAGTATGATGAGGCCAGTAGACCCACCAAGCACTGAACCCAATTAATGAAATACCACCAAGAGTTGTCAGTATGATTTTGCTCCAATTTCTTCTTCCTTGATTAGCTGTATATTGTCTTGCATAGTGTGATGAGTATCTCAAGCTTGGATTAACATTTGGGGGAGGTCCGATGGGTATTCTTATCCTTGGAAATGACCTTTTGACATGAGAATTAAGCCTGATCATCGTTTTGCGTATAGATTTGATCTTGCTATTGTTGTGTAAAACCAGTGTCAAATCACAAGCTGAGCTCAAAAACATTTGAAAGTATAGTTATAGACACGTGCGAAGTTGGCAGTCATGTGACTAAACAAAGAATTGCCAAATACTTGCAAGAGCACTGTTTGATCACAGACTACGGTGCTCTCGTGTTTTTGAAAGACTTAGCTAACCGAGATATCTGTTGTATTTAGGAGGATCTCTCATGCTGTATCGTTGTTAGGCTACAACATAGTACTGGTGTAGAGCTTTGGTGCACGATAGATCTTGGCAGAGCAAACAATAATTACCTGACACCTTTTCCTTTGTTTGAACAACCTCAACTAACAAACCCAATCACAGTATAGCGAGAAGCGATATCAGCTGTTTCAAAATGTGTGGAAGATATGCTATGTCCATTGTAAGTATGGGTATCTGAAATGGGGGTTCATTAAAAGTACTAACCATCAACAGGATGCTGGCAATATAGCCAATGCAATTGAAGAATTCAATTTAAAAGTGACAGATGTGGTGGATAAGGATAAGCAAAACCCATCATATAATGTCTGTCCTACCAGATTCGCTCCAACATATAGAACAAATAAAGACAATCAAGCTATTGTCCAATACATGAGCTGGGGATTAATTCCATTTTGGACTAAAAAGAAGGCTGATGCAAAGTATGTTATTCAAAACCAGTTCCCTTTCAGATAAATACTAACAAAGTAATAGCCAATACAAAACTTTTAATGCCAGAAAAGAGTCAGTCATCAATGGTCAAAGACTTTGGACTCCAGTTCGTAAACATCATCGTTGTGCAGTTCCAATTGAAGGGTATTACGAATGGCAACATAAAAAGGTTGGGCAAACTAAAAAAGTTGACAAAATTCCATACTTTTTGAAAAGAAAAGACGGTAAATTAATGTTTTTAGCTGGATTATATGACACTGTTGACTTTGAAGATACTGAAGGTTCCTTTGATAGTTTCACAATCATTACTGGCCCTGCTCCTAAGCAAACCAAATGGTTACACGAAAGAATGCCTATCGTCTTGACACCAGGTACAAAAGAATGGGATGCATGGCTTGATAATGAAACAGAGTGGAACGATACACTGGCTGATAGTCTTGCTGAGTATGCTAAGGATGATCTTGAATGGTATGAAGTTACAAAAGATGTTGGGAAAGTCACGAATGAAGGAGAATACTTAATCAAGCCTTTGAAAAAGGGTGGAATTGGTGATTTCTTCGGTAAAGGTAAAAAGGAACAACTCAAAGGTGAATCCAAAGATTTCAAAGAAGAGAAGGATCTCAAGGAGGGAAAGAAGGAAGAGCCAGATGTTACTGATTTGCTGAAGACTGAGGGCGAAACTGACGAGGTGAAGAAAGAGGATGATTCCGTGAAAAATGAGGAATCAGAGAAGAAGAATGCTAAAAAGGAAGATGAAAAAGAAACAAACCATCAAGAACATAAAGAGTCTCACGGAGATGAAAACACTAGCTCAAAACGTTCTGCAGAAGATGAGTCTACGATAAGCAGTCGTTTAAGACATGATCACAAAAAGCCAAAAGTTGAAAGTTAACGATGCTTTATTTATTATGAATTCTATGACAGTTATGTGTTATCATTATGTAGCCTCAATACTTCACTCACCAGGTACAGACTTCCACAAACGACTGTATGTTCTCCTTGCTCAACAAGACCAAACGTCTTTCTAACTTCTGGCTCAATTACCACATTTTGAGTATACTTCAATATTTCTTGTTTTAGATCTTGAGGCTCATTTGCTTTGATCCAAGGCATGTTTTCAACACTACCAAACTTAGTAACTATGATCTTATCTTTTGGTGATATTAGTGTGCTGACTAATGGTGTTAGATCTTTTCCTTTTGTGACTGCAATGATGAACGTTATTGGCTCTTCATTATACTTTTGTTTTAGGTATTTATGAAGTTCAAGGGCAGCTTGTCCATTATGTGCACCATCAAGAAGAACTTCAAGACTAGGTTTCGAAGAGTCATATTTAAGATGCAAGCTTTGTAATCTGCCAGGCCATTCCACATCTTGAACACCTTTGATAACATTCTGGTTCGAGAATTTGACCTTTTCTGGGTATGAATTCTTCAAGAACGGGAATATGAGATCAATTATCTTCAAAGAAACTGATAGATTTTGCAATTGATAACAACCTCTTAGCGGTGATTCATTTCTATTGACAATGCCAAAACTTGTCACAATATCATTTGAAGCTGGTGTCACAACAAAGTTTTCACTTCCTAGTTCTGCCGCTTTATTTTTAACAACTTGTAAAACTGCAGCGTCGTTTGTACCATCAATAACATTGGGTATTTTCTGTTTTATAATACCAGCTTTTTCACCAGCAATTTGTTTCAAAGTCGATCCTAGTAAATTTTCATGATCCATACCAATTTTCGTTATACCAGTGGCCAAAACACCTTTTTTGATAATTTTATTTTGCGAATTGATAATGGCCCCTTCAATAATATTAGTTGAGTCCAATCTACCACCAAGGCCAACTTCAATCACTGCCAAATCAACATTCTCTAAATGAAATATTTGAAAAGCAGTAGCTGTTAAAATTTCAAATTCAGTAGCACCAATATCAAATCTCAAGTTCAATTCTTCAATTTCTTTTTCAACCTTTGTAAAGATGTTCAATGAGATAGGAACGTTATTCAAAGTGACAGAGTCATTGCGATAAAGTAAATGTGGTGATGTGAATTTACCAACTTTGAAATCTTGAGTATTTGATAAGAGTAGTGAGGTCAAATAGGCACAAACTGAACCTTTCCCATTCGTTCCTGAGACGTGTATAAAGTTTGCTTTCAAGTGTGGGTTTCCTAACTTAGAAAGAAGTAGTGCTATTCTGGATAGCCCAAGATCGATAGGCATCCTAAGGCTTGTGGACTTTGGTTAGTTCAAAGTGATGGATCCAGAACTTCTTGATTGTCAATTTTTCACATAGATAATAGTGACCCGATGTTGTCTGGCAGTTTTGATGATGTTTTTTTTTGGAACGAAAAAAGGTTGATTTGGAATCTTGAGTATCGATTTCAAAACATTGAAGGCGAAGTCTTATACTAGACACAACGAATCAATCATCAAGTGATTTTTCTGGTGTCAATTGAATAGCTGGTCTTGTTATATTCAAGAAACAAGAATAAAATCACTAGATTGTTTCGTTGTCATTGAGGTTCATATCTGTGTTTTTTGGCGTTTTATCCACCTGTCATCAACGAACATCAGGAATATCAATTATTTCAGCCCATAACATCTAATTAACCATGTCTTTGGAGAAGAAGATCAAAAAAATGTTTCAGGCTCCTCGTAAAGGTAAGTGACTCCTAACTTAGACGTCCTGGAAGAAGTACTAACAGTTTATTAGGGGAGACCTATGAGTTAAGAGCAGGTCTTGTATCACAATATGCTTCCGAAAGAAAGGATTCCATCAAACAAGTGATAGCAGCAATGACCGTTGGTAAAGACGTTAGTGCCTTGTTTCCAGATGTCTTGAAAAACATTGCAACCCACGATTTAAAACAGAAAAAACTAGTTTATTTATATTTGATGAACTATGCTAAAACACATCCAGAATTATGTATTTTAGCTGTGAATACCTTTGTTCAAGATACTGAAGATCCAAATCCATTAGTTAGGGCATTGGCCATTAGAACAATGGGGTGTATCAGAGTTGATAAGATGGTTGATTATATGGAGATTCCATTGAACAGAACATTGACTGATGAAAATCCATATGTTCGTAAAACTGCTGCCATTTGTGTTGCCAAATTATTCGATTTGAACAGAGAAATTTGCATAGAGAATGGATTCTTGGATAAATTGCAAAAACTAGCAGAAGATTCAAATCCAATGGTTGTCGCCAATGCCATTAGTGCATTGGCTGAAATTCATGAATCAGACCCAAGTCTAAAGGTTTTAGAAATAACATCAGACGTTTTGAAAAGATTCTTGATGGCTTTGAACGAATGTACAGAATGGGGGAGAATCACGATATTAACTGCCTTATCTGATTATGAAACTGCCGATAAAGAAGAAGCTAGTCATATTATCGAAAGAGTCATTCCACAATTGCAACATTCCAACCCATCAGTTGTTTTAGCTGCCATCAAAGTCATCATAAACAATGTTGAAAAATTGAAAAGTAATGCAGATGAATATGAACAAATTTTGAAAAAACTAGCTGCTCCTCTAGTTTCACTAGTTTCCACACCACCAGAAGTTCAATTTGTTACACTAAGAAACATTAGAATCATTATAGAAAAATATCCAGCCATATTGACAAATTATTTCAAAGTTTTCTTCGTTAGATATAACGACCCATTATATTTGAAACTTGAGAAGATTGAAATTATTGTTAGATTAGCAAATGAAAACAACTCAGGATTAATATTAAATGAATTGAAAGAGTATGGATATGAATTTGATACGGAGTTTGTTAAAAGAGCAGTCAAGGCAATTGGTCAAGTTGGTATTAAATTACCAAAATATGCAGCAAAAGCAACTGAATATTTGATTGGATTGATCAATGAAAGAGAATTATATGATGAAGTTACTATAGTGTTGAGAGATGTTTTGAGAGCATTCCCAAAGAATTTAGGCTCCACTATTGTTCCAACTTTAGTGCAAATTCAAGATAATTTGGTTGATTCAGAAGCAATCGCTAGTTTTGTATGGGTGTTGGGTGAATTTGATGTTGTTGATTTTGAGAACAAGTTAAGTGAATATGTTGATGGGTTTATTGAATTGGATCTACAGATTCAAAGTGCCTTGGTCTATTCATTAGTCAAGATCAATGTTAAAACTGGTCAATTGAAAGAGTTGTTGGCCAAGATTTTCAATAATGTTGATGCCATTGAAAATATTGAGATACGGGATCAGATCTATTTATATTGGAGAATACTATCGTTAGATGATTCAAGTGAATTGAAGAAATTGATCTTGTTTAAATTGGAAAAAATTAACAACACCATTCCAACTTTCCAACCAGAGTTGTTGGCTTTCTTATTAAAAGAATTATCAACTTTGAACTCTGTCTACTTCACCACTGGTGTATCAAAAGGTACAAAGACCACTCAAATCAAAAAGATCAAAGATATACAATTGACAGTTCATAACGAAGAGAATTTGCTTGATTTTGATGATGATGGATCTAGCAATACTGCTAATGGAGAAGCTCAAGGCGAATCAATCAATATTCTTGATGAATTGAATGATTTGTTCAGCTCTAGTACTATTCAACCACAACAACAACAGCAGCAACAGCAACAAGGTAACAATAATAACACCAATAATGGTATATCAAAAGATCTTTTGGATCTCTTTTAAATACACTATCAAAAATAAAACATGGGATTGAAATTGATTGGCAGATGTAGCACCTGTATCAGATATACGATAACGGTTGAGCATCAACACAATGCAACAGTAATTACAATTACCACAACAGATGCCTTTTAAACATCCTGTATCTCGATTCTTTGATTAAAATTGAACCTTCTCAGTTTTCTCAAGTTATTCCCCAAGGATTTCTACGGAGCTATCAGTGTCGCGAGCTGGAGAGGCTCTTGGCACGGCATTTCAGAATATTTTGTGAGACGTCGCGAAAGCATTAGATGACAGGCCTCCACGTTTAAAAGTTTGGAGTGAATTAAGTGTGTACGTGCTCCTCTGGAGAATGATCAAGAGATATAGATCTGTGCAACCAGTGTGGTCATGTTGTGGGTTCATATTCAAGGACTTTTCAAAGGGTCCTGCCACTATTAAGGACCCTTTAAAAATAGAGTGAAACTGATGAACCCAGCAATTCTTTTATCAGCAAAACCATGAATTGATAAGGCTTACAACTAAAAGAAACTTCACTTACGAGCTATCAAAGAAAGACAGCTGAATGATACGCCATAGTGAGAAAACAAAGTGTACAGTTCCACGATTTCACTAGCTGAAGCCTGATACTGAGATGCTGAAGGTGCTATTATTGCTCTTTTTCACAAGACTCTTGGGCTTAATACCCCATTATCATTGGGCCGTACTATCAATTCAGAGTTGTACTCTCTAGTATGATAATTATCAGTTCCAAGAGAAATGCAAAGGGAAAAACAGGACTCCACTCATTAGCATGATATACGGTATTCCATGGCATAAGGCTCCAAAAACGTCTTCACAGAATCTCTCCTTCTTATCACACTGAAAATTCCTCAAGGTATATAAACGACCCCAGATCCCATCACAAAAGAAACCCATGGGTATCAACTGTGTTTTCCCATCAACACTTCACTCATTTTACAATGTCGTACGAAAAGGACAACATTGATGTGGAAAAGTTTGCTTCACCATCAGAAGTTGGTCAAGTTTTATCAACAGAATCAATCCCTGATGAATCAAACATCATTGCAGTGCAAGAAGGGTACAGGCTTCAACAACACTTGAAGGCCCGTCATGTTAGTATGATTGCCATTGGTGGTGCCTTGGGTACCGGTTTGCTAATTGGTTCAGGGTCTGCGTTAAGTTCTTCAGGTCCTGCTCCTTTGTTCATTGGTTATACTTTTATTGGGTTCATTATCTACATTGTTATGTGCTGTCTAGGTGAAATGGCTACTTACATTCCATTACCTGATGGGTTCTCTGGTTATGCTTCAAGGTATTGTGATCCTGCTTTAGGTTTTGCTGTTGGTTATTCATACTTGTTTAAATATTTGATTGTCACTCCAAATCAAATCACGGCAGGTGCCTTGGTGTTGCAGTATTGGGTTAGTAGAGATAAAGTGAATCCTGGTGTCTGGATTACTATATTTATCATTGTCATATTGCTGATTAATATCTTTGGTGTCAAGATCTTTGGTGAATTTGAATTCTGGTTGTCTTGTTTAAAGGTTCTTATTGTCTTGGGTTTGATCATCTTGTTATTCATCATCATGTTAGGAGGTGGTCCAAATCATGATAGATTAGGATTCAGATATTGGAAAGACCCAGGTGCTTTCAAACCTTACAAAGGTATTGAAAGCGTCTCCAAAGGTAAATTTGTTTCTTTTGTGAATGTTTTGGTCACTGCAGTTTTTGCTTATTCTGGTACTGAATTGGTTGGTATTACAGTTGCTGAAGCTGAAAACCCAAGAAAGAGTATTCCAAAAGCCATCAAGTTAACATTTTACCGTATTGTCGTCTTTTACATTTGCTCTGTTTTGTTATTAGGAATGTGTGTTCCATACAATGATCCATTATTAATCAGTGCTACCAAAGCCAAAACTTCAGCCAATGCTTCACCATTTGTTGTTGCTATCAAGAATGCACACATCAAAGGGTTAGATCATTTGATTAATGCTTGTATTTTGATCTTTATTTTCAGTGCTTCAAACTCAGATTTATACATTGGTTCAAGAACATTATATGGTTTAGCTTGTAACGGTGCTGCACCAAAGATTTTCGCTAAGACCAACAAGTACGGTATTCCATACTATGCTCTAGCTGTGTGTACTGCGTTCTGTGCTTTGGCATATATGTCAGTTTCATCATCATCTCAAGAAGTTTTTGGTCATTTCGTTAATGTCGTTAGTATCTTTGGGTTGTTAACCTGGATTACCATCTTGATTACCTACATTTATTTCTCAAGGGCATTCAAGGCTCAAGGTATCTCAAAGAGTACATTTGCCTACACTGCTCCAATGCAATCATGGGCACCATATTTGGCTTTGGCTTTATGTATCATTGTTGCATTCATCAAGAATTTCACTGTTTTCATCAATGGATTCAACTATAAGACTTTTATCACTGGTTATATCGGTTTACCTGTCTATGTGATTGCCTACTTTGGTTACAAAATCATTAAAAAATCAAAGATTCGTAGACCAGAAGATGTTGATTTATACACATTGAAACATTATATTGATGAAGAAGAAGAATTAGGAAAGATCAAAGATGCTGAAAGAAAAGAACAAATGAAGAATGGTAGAAAAGATGCTACCTGGTTTTACGAAAAACTACTTGGTTGGTTGTTCTGAGGAAATGCGTTTTAGATATTGTGCTTTGTTGTTTATTGATTAATTATTAATTTTGTTATACTCGCTTTTTAGAAACTTTGTAGATGCGCCTATCAGACCAGATTTCTCACACGACTGACAATTGACATCATGCAAGGGGATTCATGTACCCTTCTTTTCAATTCGGTTATTGTACAATGTTCACACTAGTGTACATGATGGCTGCCATTTTTCACGGGTAAAAATATTTCGCGACTAATATTTCTGAGCTTATGTGTGGACGAAATTGAGTTGTAGTTTTATATCCTATTGCAAATTGCTGGAAACTCTCAAAAGAGACTAGCATTACCAATAGTTATAGAATGTCATCATGCTTGACCCTACTAGTGTCCGTGTGGTAATTTTCAAAGACAAACCACATAGAGCACATTTTCAACTGATCTTTTCATCTTTGTTTAAAAGATCTTCAATATATTTGAAGCTGCTAAGAACCACTGTTCACTTCACAGATCACCAGACTATACAATATTTGAAAAGCGTTTTCTTAATGACCTGCTGATCCTTATATGCTGTCCAGACTCCATATATAAGGAGACATGAATACCCATCACAACTCTGGTACAATTAAGCTTACTCTCAATAAAACTTTTCAACATGAGCAGCCAGTTACCACAAAAAAAGTCTCATGAAATCCATACTATAAATGAACCAATAGATATAGAGATTGGAAACGTTTCATCTTTTGATGAAGATGTCAAAGTACTCGCAGTCAAGGATGGTTATAGGTTGAAGAAGAACTTAAAAGCTCGTCATATCAGTATGATTGCAATCGGTGGTGCATTAGGCACTGGTCTACTAATTGGTTCTGGAGCTGCATTAAACACGTCAGGTCCTGCTGCTTTATTTATTGGTTATGGTTTCATTGGCTTCATAGTGTACATTGTCATGTGTTGTATTGGAGAAATGGCAACATATATTCCACAACCGGAAGGGTTTTCTGGGTATGCGTCTAGATATTGTGATCCAGCTCTAGGATTTGCAGTTGGTTATTGCTACTTGTTCAAGTACCTTGTTGCTACTCCTAACCAAATCACAGCTGGTGCTATGGTGTTGCAATATTGGGTTAGTAGGGATAAAGTGAACCCAGGTGTTTGGATCACGATCTTCATAATTGTCATTTTGTTAATCAATATATTTGGAGTGAAGGTTTTCGGTGAGTTTGAGTTCTGGTTGTCTTGTGTAAAAGTTTTGATCATTTTAGGATTAATGTTTTTGTTGTTTATCATAATGCTCGGTGGGGGTCCAAATCATGATCGGTTAGGGTTTAGATATTGGAAAAATCCCGGTGCTTTTAAACCATATGAGGGAATAGCCAGTATTCCAAAGGGTAAATTTGTTTCGTTTATAAACGTTTTAATAACTGCTGTCTTTGCTTATGACGGGACAGAGCTTGTTGGTATTACAGTTGCAGAAGCAGAAAACCCAAGGAGAAATGTACCTAAAGCAATCAAGCTAACGGTGTATCGTATTGTTTTGTTTTATGTTTGTTCAGTACTGCTGCTAGGGATGTGTGTTCCTTATAACGACCCATTGTTGATAAATGCTACCAAGGCCAAGACCTCAGCCAGTGCTTCACCATTTGTTGTTGCTATTAAGAATGCTCATATCAGTGGATTAGATCATTTGATAAATGCTTGTGTGCTGGTGTTCATTATAAGTTCCTCCAACTCAGACTTATACATTGGTTCAAGAACGTTCTATGGGATAGCTTGTAATAATTCAGCACCAAAGATATTTGCTCAAACAAATAAGTATGGCATTCCAACTTATTCACTTGCCCTTTGTTCTGCTTTTTGTTGTTTGGCCTACATGTCAGTTTCATCATCGTCTCAACAAGTATTTACATATTTGGTGAATGTCTCTACACTATTTGGCCTACTTACTTGGATATCTGTGTTGATTACTTATATCTATTTTTCAAGAGCTTTTGAGGCACAAGGAATATCAAAAGATTCATTGGCTTATAATGCACCATTCCAAAATTGGGCTCCACATCTTGCCCTAGCCATGTGTATCTTGGTATCATTGATTAAAAATTTCACGGTCTTCATCAACGGGTTCGACTATAAAACTTTTATCACTGGCTACATTGCATTTCCGGTCTTTTTCATATCATATTTTGGGTATAAGCTTATAAATAAAACCACAATACACAGACCAGAGGATGTGGATCTATATACATTGAAGGATATCATTGATGCAGAAGAAGAACAGGAGAAAGCTAATGAAGCTTTGAGAAAAGAGGAAATGGAACAAGGCAGAAAAGATGGGAGCTGGTATTATGATAAGTTTGCCAGCTGGTTGTTCTGAGTAATGGTCAAACTAATGCGATTGTATAGGAGCTACTGCCCAAATAGTATTTAATTCCTGGAAAACTCTCGAGTCTTATCAGTTACGTATAAGCCAAATTCGCGAATGCTTATAGAAAAAAAAATAAGCGCTATGTTTCAAAACAACAACAACGTTCTCTAAAGCATTTCAATTATGGCATTGAAAAGAGCTTCAGTCCAATCCTTAGAACCTTTCTGCTTTCGCTCTCCAATGAGTTTGATGTCTCTGGTGCACAAGTTGGTAACGTGTCTACGCCTATTGGATAGGGGTGGCTAATTTCGTGAATCGTGTCAGGTTGAAAGATCTCCCATGAACTCAGATAAGGGATCCTATTGTGTTGCTTAAGTGGATGTACATTTGCCTTAACCATTTGTCTAAGAAAAGATAATACAGAAGTTCAACACTAGGCTCAATACGCTGATATCAATGTTTTTGCTTGTCTTGGTATCGGAGAGTTTACCATATTCGTTTCCAAAAGGGTCTAACTTAGTGAATGGTACGTTATCTAAACGATATGATAGCTCGTATTCAAATGGTTTACATTTGTGTCAGTATAGGAATTTGATATAGCTCCCCCATTCATTTCTTATCATATGATTTCCTGGTCCCTGAAGCTTCCTCGAGAGGTATAAATACTGGACCCTCTCTCGAGATCTATTATTCATCTTCATTCTCAACAACCATCAACTACACACCAAAATCATGTCTAGTATATCTGAGAAGAAAACAGATCTATACAAAGATCAACCAATAGATGTTGAAGTTGGTCAAATTGACACATCAAGCACACACGATGATACCAATATCCTGGCAATAAAAGAAGGATATCGTTTAAAGAAACATCTAAGAGCACGTCATGTCAGTATGATTGCCATAGGGGGTGCCCTAGGTACTGGTCTACTTATTGGATCGGGAGCCGCATTAAGTACTTCAGGTCCTGCTCCATTATTTATTGGATACTCTTTCATTGGGTTTGTTGTTTATATTGTTATGTGTTGTTTAGGTGAGATGGCCGCGTATATCCCACAACCGGATGGGTTTGCAGGGTATGCGAATAGGTACTGTGATCCTGCTTTAGGTTTTGCTGTTGGATATAGTTATTTGTTCAAGTATTTGATTGCGACACCTAATCAAATTACAGCTGGTGCCATGGTGTTACAATATTGGGTTAGTAGAGATAAAGTGAATCCAGGTGTTTGGATCACGATATTCATTATAGCTATCTTGTTGATTAATATTTTTGGAGTTAAAATATTTGGTGAATTTGAATTTTGGTTATCTTGTGTTAAAGTTTTGATTGTTTTGGGATTAATTATTCTATTATTCATCATCATACTTGGAGGTGGTCCAACTCATGATCGTTTGGGGTTCAGATATTGGAGTGATCCAGGTGCTTTTAAGCCATATACTGGTATTGCTAGTATTCCAAAGGGGAAATTTGTTTCATTCGTTAATGTTTTGGTCACTGCAGTTTTTGCCTATGGTGGGACTGAATTAGTTGGTGTTACTGTTGCTGAAGCTGAAAATCCAAGAAGAAATGTTCCAAAGGCAATTAGATTAACATTTTATCGTATTCTTGTTTTCTACATTTGTTCTGTTTTGTTATTAGGAATGTGTGTCCCTTATAATGATCCTTTATTGATTAGTGCTACCAAGGCTAAAACTTCAGCTAATGCTTCACCATTCGTGGTTGCAATCAAAAATGCCCACATTAAAGGATTAGACCATTTGATTAATGTTTGCGTTTTGGTTTTCATCTTTAGTGCATCAAATTCAGATCTATACATTGGTTCAAGAACTCTATATGGATTAGCATGTAATGGTATTGCACCAAAATGTTTTGCAAAGACTAATAGATTTGGTATTCCTTATTATTCACTTGCCCTTTGTGTTTCATTTTGTGGATTGGCTTACATGTCAGTTTCAGCATCATCACAAGAAGTTTTCAGTTATTTAGTCAATGTTTCCACTTTGTTTGGATTATTAACTTGGGCAACCATCATAATTACATATCTTTATTTTTCCAGAGCTTTCAAAGCTCAGGGAATTTCCAAAGATACATTAGTTTATCAAGCACCATTTCAATCATGGGCGCCACATTTAGCATTGGCCATTTGTATCCTTGTTTCATTTATCAAGAATTTCACAGTTTTCATCAATGGGTTTAATTACAAGACGTTCATTACTGGATATATTGCTTTACCTGTTTACGTCTTCTGTTATCTTGGTTATAAGATTATCAAGAAATCCAAGATTCATAGACCTGAAGATGTTGATTTGTACACATTGAAAGATTTGATTGATGCAGAAGAAGAGGAAGGTAAAATTGCAGATGCATTAAGAAAGGAAGAGATGAAGTACGGTAAGAAAGATAAGATGTGGTATTATGATAAATTCATTGGTTGGTTGTTTTAAGCTGATTGTATAGTGTAATTTTGGTTTTCTTTGACACATAAGTTTGTGACGTCGTAGATATGATCTCCCCAAGTAGTGCTTGAGCTAATTGAGAAAGTACTGTACTACTCAAAGAAATATTATTATTTGGCAACTGTCGATGATTGCTTAGCTGTAATAAGAAGCTGAGATATATCATCAATATTTGTCACTCACAGAGACTCAACAAACATCTTCAAAAACTCATACGACAAACCAGTCAACGCGATGTCAAACGAAGATGGAGGCTTTAGCATGACCAAATTACTCCAGAAAGACCATTTCAAAGATGCTGAAAAGGTTATAATTCAAAATACAGATCTGGATCCCGATAAAGTTTAAACTTCTGGTGTAATTGCTTCCAAGAGTTCTTTCCAGAAGTTGAGATTGACACTATTTTCCTTCCCAGGAACCAGTCCTAACCAATTGTAGATTCCAAAAGTAAGCAATCTTGTGACTGCTACTATTCCATCAACAACTACAGTGTACAACCTATAAACCTCACAGTTAAAAAGGTATCAAGAACTTGTAGCCTCTCTCCAGAGTCCAAAGAAGTCAAACACAGAGTCCAAGCACAGAGTCAAGTCGTCACCGTTATACTTTTAATGCCGTTCGTGGTCAAGGCCCCCTGCCCAGTCAAAACTGATGCTTCCCTAGGCGGGCCCGTTGGAAATGGATCTCCCGCCTAAAACTTTAAATCCCAGGGAGGGACCAAGAAAGGGTCTTCCTGCCTGTGCCCGTACCAGGACCCTCTAAAAAATGCCTTTCAAAGCTTCCACTCGTTGTAAAGAGAAAAGAACGTACAACATATACGGCACTAGAAAGTGGGTCCAACAATAGCTGATACGCTTGATATTTGAGGAGTCATTATTTGACTATGCACAAGAGCTTTGATAAGGGAGCGTTATGTGGTTGGCTCAGGAAAAAAAGCTTTTCTACCCAGAAAGAGACGACGAGATGGTCATTTTTTCAAAGGCCATCACCAAACAAATTTCAAATCGCTTATGCTTTAATAACTGATTGAGAGATGGGCTTTCAGCTGATGATACCCTCGTATGATACTCACTGGTTAATTGTATCTCGTTCTCTGTTTATCTGTGTGTAAATCTCTTTACAATTGATCAATCGATGAGAAGAAATTCCCAAAATCAACAATGCATACGAACGGTGAAATGTACTAAAAAAAAGAATTGGGTACAGCTTTCCCACTTTGATGCCCTTGAGATCACTTCTCCAAAAAATGCTATACATCGATCCCATATAAATTCACCAAATCCCACATCATTGCTCCATCTCATCTTCATCATGACTTTCCACTCTCATCAAACATTATGTCTCATTCATTAGATAAAAAGACATCAATTCCAACATCCCAAGACTACGATGTTGAAAAATCCACAGGTGGTAATGGCCTCACATACATGGACACCATCCCTGATGAATCCCAAATCCTTGCCATCCAAGAAGGTTACCGTTTGAAGAAACATTTAAAAGCTCGTCATGTCAGTATGATTGCCATTGGTGGTGCCCTGGGTACTGGGTTGTTAATTGGTTCAGGTTCTGCATTGAGTGCTTCGGGTCCTGCTCCGTTGTTTATTGGGTATAGTTTTATTGGGTTTTTGGTTTATATCGTGATGTGCTGTCTTGGTGAATTGGCTACTTATATCCCACTACCTGATGGGTTCTCGGGTTATGCTTCAAGATACTGTGATCCTGCTTTGGGGTTTGCCGTTGGGTATTGTTATTTGTTTAAGTATTTGATTGTTACTCCAAACCAAATCACTGCTGGTGCGATGGTGTTGCAGTATTGGATCAGTAGAGATCGGGTTAATCCTGGTGTTTGGATCACGATCTTCATTATAATTATCGTTTTGATTAATATCTTTGGTGTGAAGATTTTCGGTGAGTTTGAATTTTGGCTGTCTTCATTAAAAGTTATCATTGTTGTTGCATTAATCATTTTGTTGTTTATCATCATGCTTGGTGGTGGTCCAACTCATGATCGTTTAGGTTTTAGATTTTGGAACGAACCAGGTGCTTTCAAACCGTTTGCTGGGATTGCTAATGAATCCAAGGGTAAATTTGTTTCTTTTGTTAATGTTATCGTTGTCTCAGTGTTTGCATTCTCAGGTACCGAATTGGTTGGTATAACTGTTGCTGAAGCTGAAAATCCAAGAAGAAATGTTCCAAAGGCTATCAAGTTGACATTTTATCGTATTGTTTTGTTTTATATTTGTTCAGTCTTGTTGTTGGGAATGTGTGTCCCATATAATGATCCATTATTAATCAGTGCTTCAAAGGCTAAAACTTCAGCTAATGCATCACCATTCGTTGTTGCCATTAAAAATGCCAAAATTGGTGGGTTAGACCATGTTATCAATGCTTGTATTTTGATTTTCATTTTCAGTGCCGCTAATTCAGATTTATACATTGGTTCAAGAACATTATATGGGTTGGCATGTAATGGTAAAGCTCCAAAGATTTTCGCCAAAACCAACAAGTATGGTATCCCATTCTATGCATTAGGGTTATGTACAGCATTTTGTGGATTGGCTTATATGTCAGTTTCATCATCATCTCAAGAAGTGTTTGGTCATTTTGTCAATGTTGTTAGTATCTTTGGGTTATTGACTTGGATTTCAATCTTGATTACTTATATTGGGTTCACTAGAGCATTGAAAGCTCAGGGTGTTTCAAAGAGTACTTTAGCTTATACTGCACCAATGCAATCTTGGGCACCATATTTGGCTTTGGCTTTATGTATTATTGTTGCTTTCATTAAGAACTTCACTGCATTCTTGAATGGGTTCCATTATAAGTCATTTATTACTGGATATATTGGCCTACCAGTTTATGCTATTGCTTATATTGGTTACAAGATTATCAAGAAATCTAAAATGCATAGACCTGAAGATGTTGATTTGTATTCATTAAAACATTTTGTTGATGAAGAAGAAGAGCAAGGTAAGATTGAAGATGCTGAAAGAAAAGAAAGATTGAAATATGGTAAGAAGGATGCTACTTGGTTTTATGAAAAGTTTGTTGGTTGGTTATTCTAGAGGAGAGATTATCTCTATATTGTACATTTTATTTGCATTCTAGTTCATTTTATGATTAATTAAAAGTTGGGGTATACACTTGTTTCAGTTTATAGGTTTGGTTTTATCTTTTTTTTTGTATATTTGAATTTGATATTTAGTTCATTTACAAAAATTGATGTAGTGATTCTCATTGGTTCGCTAGTATACAATGGTTCCTGCGTTTGACGGGCAACGTCACTAGTAGATAACCCTCTCAAGCCAACTAGCTGATGAATATCCTAACCCTTCTATTTGACTTCCAAAGTATTTGCTCATCTGACCACTCTCTGCAACGTGTTCAAACTTTATGCTAAAAGCTCAGAAGCCTAGATTTTTACAGCTTCATCAGATCATCAACAAAGTATTTTTTTCGTTGACGCGTGGAATTGAAAGAAAAATAAAAAAAGAACAAGACATAATCATTATCAACCTCACCAACAACTTCACCAACAACTACTCTAAGTCAGTACAATGAGACACTCGTTCAGAGTGGTATCCATCGTCATAGCACTCTGCTTCTTCTTTTCCATATTCAAGCTCAAACAGTTTAGAGAACAGGAAGTTTCAGATAGAAACGAGCTAATCAATAGAATAACTACAAAGGAACATGAATTGGAACTAGCAACACAAGAACTCACCAATATAAGGTCTGACCTCACAATGAAAGCAAAACAAGCTGAAGATTCAGTAAGGGACACCAAGATCGAATATGAAACCAAAGTCGAACAATTGAATGAATTAGTTGATAAGAGATTCTCACCAATTAATAAAGTATACAGAAAATGGTCATTTATTAAAGATCAACCTCGTTATAAGAAAGTCACATATGTTCAAAAGGGTATTGACACTTCATTGAATGACTTGATCGTGTTGAGTGTTATTGGACATTCTGAATCATATGGACCAAAGAGAACATTTCAAGATTTTTTGGAATTGTTGGCATCATTAGAGTATGATTGGAACACTGCAACGTTAGGTTTATTAGTTGGACAACAAGAAGAATATGACAATATTATCTCTTATTTGGATAAATATGAATCAGAATCCTCATTTTCCAAGATTGTTGTTATCAATTCAATTTATATTGAAAAATCAAATACTATTGATAGAGGTTCAAGACATAATGATAACATTCAAAAGGAACGTCGTCGAAACATTTCAAAATCAAGAAACTTCCTAGTGACTAATGCCATTAGTGATGAATCTTTTACATTCTTCCTCGATAGTGATATGGTGAAGATTCCAAAAGATATGGTTAAAGTGTTTTTAGGCACAAAGAAGGATGTTATAGTACCACGTATTGCCAAAGGTGCAGCCATTGAAAATTATGATTTCAATTCATGGAGAGGCCGTCGTATTAAACCTACAGCTGAGGAAGACAAGAAGATGGATACTGATCCTAATTATTATTTTGTTCCAAGACCTGATGGGGCTCACCATCTACATGAGATCATGCACATGAAGGATAAATACAAACACAATGGAGAACAGTCGTTCCTTGTTGAGTTGGATGCGGTAGGAGGTGCCATCTTATGGGTCAAGAGTGAGATATTCAAGCAAGGTGTGATGTTTCCTCCATATTATATCATAGGTACCAAGTGGGAAAGAGAGGGATACGATGGGATAGAGACTGAAGGGTTGTGCTACCAGGCCAAGATGATTGGGTACAGCTGCTGGGGGATGCCCAACTATGTTGCACACCATGTCGACGAGTTTGTGACTTGAATGTACAGTTTAGGGTAATATTATTTTGTAGATTATACTATGTTCCAATCACGTGATTGCCATTTTCCAGCTATTTTTACACGTGCTGCCCTCTACCGCAGATCCTCAGACAAAGCCAAAATAAGCTTCGATAAGTTGTGCAGAAGCATCTGGCAGCAATACGAATCACAAGTGTAGAACCAGAGCTTGAGCTGGCTGGAGCATGGCCCTCTCTAAGTTCTTTAGCTGGTGCTCTGCCTAGCAGCCTCTGCCTGGTCTGTCTGCCTCTGCTGATTGGCTCCAGGGCAGTGGACCGTGGATCTCTCCGTGTGGACGTTACTTTATTTTCCAGATTGTCACGGCTGTAGTAGAGCATATTTTATTTTTCATAGATTCAAAATACTTTTATCTTCCAATTCTACTCTCTTTTGTACCTGGATCCATAAACACAACCTATACAGACTATCACAAGACCAAGTATCCACGATGGCCAGGTTCAATAGACCAGCAATCTTGGTGCTAGTGCTCACGCTACTGGCTTTTACTACTTATTATGTCTTTGAACAACAAAAATATAGCTTATCTGACTTGTCCTCATTTCTAGAAACTATGGATATCGGTTCTGTTGGTGGTCAAGGTGCTCCAGCTACTCAACCAAAGGGTAAGATCACTAATAACAATGACCCTGATATACTACAGAAACACAAGATTGAAATTCAAGTTAATGAGTTGTTGCAAAAGAAGTTGGAAAATGAATTGAAATATGAAAGGGAATCAATGGATAAGAAGAATAAACAACTTCAAGAACAGAATGAAGCCTTGAGAAAAGAAAAAACAAAATTTGAACAAGAGAATAAAAGTTTATCGTTAAAAGTTCAAGAAGCTGAAAAGGGGAAACCTGTTACTGTTTATAAAAGGGAACGTTATTCTGAAGAACCATCATTCATTAGGAAAACATTCACTTTCAAGACAAATCCTGAATTCTCACCAGATGTTGTCATTGATGGTGATAAGAATGAAGTTGTCATCTTGGCTTCAATTATTGAAAAATTCGATCAACAAGGTCAGCCATTCCAAAGATTTTTGAAATTGTTACAATCAATCGAATATCCACATTATAAAACTTCAATCTCTTTATTAATCAGTGATAATGATGAATTTAAAAAATTTGATGAATTTGTTACAGATATTTTCAACAAGATCGAAGAAGTTAAAGACACTTCACTTTTAAAAGATTCCTTCTCCAAAATCACCCTAATCAATGCTGATTTCATAGAGAGTCAATTCAAAGTGGATAAAGGATTAAGACATGATCCAAGAGTGCAAAAGAAACGTCGGAAATTACTAGCCCAGATTAGAAACTTTCTAGTCTTCAACGGTATAGGTTCTGAAATTTATTCATTGGCTCTAGACTCAGATGTCATTGAACTTCCAAAAAACATGTTGGAAACATTCATCGAATCGAAAAAGGATATCGCCACAATCAGAATCGATATCAAGAACCACGAGGGGAAAGTGGTTCATCAAGATTATGATTTAAACTCATGGGCTGGTGATAGAAGAGTGCCAAATGCTGAACAAGATGCGAAATTGGATACAGATCCTGATTTTTTTTATGAACCAGGGCCAGGTCCAAATAATATCCAATTTAGTCATATTGATAAAAACCTTGAAAAATTCGGTATCAATAAAGATGATCCAAAAGCTGCGATTGAATTGAATTCCGTGGGTGGTGCTGTGTTGTTTGTCAAGACTGAGGTCTTTAAGCAGGGGATCATGTTCCCACCTTTCTATTTAATTGGTACGAAATGGAATAGAAATGATGGGTTTGATGGTATTGAAACTGAAGGTTTATGTTATCAGGCAAAGACCATTGGTTATAAATGTTGGGGGTTCCCTAATTTAGTTGGGTTCCATGCTGTTGGTTGAAGTGGATGTTGTTATTTATTTTTTTTTCTTTGCTATAAGTTGTTGTTGGTTGTGTGTTTTTTTATTAGGTTAATCATAGAGAAGAAGTCAAAAGAAATTGCTTTCTATTTCATTTCATTGTGTGTTTATATTATACAATATTCATTCTTCATCATCATCGTAATCATCTAGTAACGATGCTTTCTTTTCTTCACCTCTTGCTGCGAACTTCTTACCAAATAACAAAATCAACACCTTATCAAACGTTTTGTACAAATATTTGGCAACTATTATAAGTCCACCATATATAGTGGCCAATCTAACCAAGAAACTTACAAATGGAATTCTTTTATCCTCCACTATTAATGAAATTGGTTCAAAATCATATTTGAAAAAAATTCCAGGAACACCTTTCTTCTCTAAAGTGTATTGTTTTTTCAATAATGAAGTACTATATTGATTTGTATCAATTTCCACACCCAATTTTTTATACTGAGTAGGAACAACATTCAAATAATATTGATAACTTTGTAAATGCTCCTCAGTCAACTTCACTGTAGCATCTAAAGGATTATGAATATATGGATAAAATTCACCAAATGAAAACTCACTAATAACATGACTAAAATTCAAACTTTCAATACCCACATGTGAACGATCTCTATACCCATACCCCTTAGCAGTAATATGGAAATCACCTTGAACTTTATTCACAGGGATAGAACCATAAATATGACAAGCTGGAGCACCTGAATCTTTAGCATCACCACGATCTCTAAACTCTGCCACGATACCCTCAGCCATAACCTTATCTAAATCAGGAGTACTAACATCATAATCATCATCACGTCTATATCCCTCCGGAACGAAAAATGAAAACCCTTCATAATGCAACAATTCACCAGCAAGGAATCTATCCTCTGTTAAATCTTTAACATTTGTATGTATGAAATTACACGGCATCGCAACAACGATATCCATATTTATCCGTAGGTCTTTCTGTACCGTGTTATCCACTTTGAACTGATGATCTATCTCACCGCCAAAGAATTGCCCTAGTTCCACATATGTCAAGAATAGGACAAATAACCCAAGCATGATCGTGGAGTATGAACCTTTAGTGGAACGCACCTGGTGCGTGGATGCAACCTTTGCTGTTGGTTCGTTAGTGTGAGGAGGGCAGTATTAGTGGTGGTGATACTTACGAAAGGCATCGAAAGAACGTAGGTTGGCCATGTGAAGATGTGAATTCTTTGACGAGATCAAGTACGTAAATGCCTATTTTGATATCGCTGTTCATATTTTTTTTTTTGATTCCTCGAGATGAATTCGCGAAATTGATCATGTGCAACAATTTCCAAATTTTTTTGCATTTTAAACATTTTCCACTATTTTTGAATGGATGTGGTTTATTCTTTGATTAGTTGAATGGGGAAAGTGCAAAATGATATAACAATGACTGAGGAAACTGAACTTCCCGATGATCTGGAAGTTTTGAGATCGATATACCCGGAAATCCAACTAAAGAATGGTGGCCGTGAACTAGCATTAGAAATCAAACTGAAACCAGAATCTAAAATTAATGTGATTTTACAATCAAGTGTTGGGAAAGAACTTGGGAGATTCCAAACCAAGTATTTTGAGCCTTTGAGGTTCCATGCCGTGCTGCCCATGCGTGTTGGCGTTGCAGAAATAGAATCAAGCTGGATATCATTGGATTTATTGGATGAGATGAAGGCGAAAATTAACAATTTGGTTCAAGATGCCGTTGAGACAGATATGATGGATTCATTATTATACACTGTGATTGATTATCTCACGGTAGATCTGATCCAAGATTTTCATGGAAAGTTGTTCAACAACGATATCAAGACCGAATCTGAATCCTATTACGAAGAGCTTCAACAGACAAGTCATGAGCAAAGATTGTTAAATTTTGCTACAGATCGTTTCACATGCTCCATTTGTCTTGATTCGTATGATGGTGTGGATGGATTATTACTTGACTGTGATCATGCTTTTTGCAAACCATGCTTCAAAGAATATGCAATCCAGATCATTAACAATTCAGATGATGCATCCAAACTACAATGTCCAAATTGTCCAATACCCAACCCTAAAAACCTACATTTGAAAACAACTTCAGAACTTCGGACAATCTTATTCACATCGAAAATCACAAAATCTACATTATTACAAGTTGTTGAACCTGAATTAGTGGAGAAGTATGAATCATTAAGACATAATTTCCTTTTTGAAAAATTTCAACAATATTATCCATTCTCATGTTCAAAATGTCCAAGATGTTCCCATTGGGTGTTTCGAGATGATGTTGATGATAAACTGGTTATTTGCGATCATTGTAAATTGGCATATTGTTTTGAATGTAATCATAGTTGGCATGGGACTACAAATTATTGTGGATCGAAATTGAACTCAATCCCATATGAAATCATTGAAGAAATGCTTCAGGATGATACTTTAGAATCTAGAAAGGAAAAATTATCACAGATGTATGGAAGAAGAACTTTGAAATTGGCGATTGATGCATTCATCTCTGAAAAATTGTTTAGAGAAGCTGTGGAGAATGAAGAGGATTTAATGAGTTGTCCAAAATGTTCAACCGTTGTGACGAAATCTGATGGTTGTAACAAGATGAAGTACTCGGTTTGCTCATTCCATTTCTGTTATCTATGTGGTGAATTATTGGATACGGCAAATCCATATACGCATTTCACTGACTTGAAATCAGAGTGTTATGGGAAATTATTTGAAGGCATGCCAGGTACAGAGGATTTATAATACAACATAAATAAATAATAGACATAATTCATAAACATCATTATAGGGCATGGATAGGTTTTCTTGCAGGTCTCGAATATCTAATAACGTTTCTAAATAATCTTCTCCTCTTAAACTCATCATCAATATAAAACTCATTATGCATATCGATATAATTATCACGGTTAAGACGTAATCCACGATTTTGACACCATTCTTTGCATTCATAATCGATATTCCATGGATCATCATCTTCGAATCTCCATCCTTTAGGTGGATTAACTTGATCTATTGTGGCCACACCAGGTGGAGGCTTTTGGGCCCTTCTGTATTGATCCGTCATATCAAAAATACTCTTTGAGAATAAATAAAATTCCCATTGTGAAGATGAAACACTCTTCTTGAATATTTCAAAGATTTCAACTTCTCTTATTTCAGGTGGTTCATCAAGTATGATATCTTTTCTCTCCGAATCTTTCACAATCTTGTCAATTTCCTTCTTTTGAGGTTTTATCAAGTTATTGAATTCTTGAATCTTGGGGAAAACTTTTGGATGTACCAATAGCAACAAATTCCATCCCATTGTAATCAACAACAGTCTCCAAGGAATGTATGGTCCAATTAAAATGAAAAAACATACAGTGAGGAAAATTGTGAAGAACAATGAAGTTGAAACTCTTTCATCTTTGAAACCAGCAGTTCCATACCAAAATCTCTCAACATTAGAAACCATTTTTAATAAGTTTGACAAAGAGTTTTGTAAGTCTCTCATATTCACCAAAAACTCCATGTTTTTCTTCAACAGCCGCACATTAGTATCGATCTTTTCATTTAATTCTGGAACTCTTCTTTCAATCTCTTCTTCTTCAAAAGCTTTTTCTTCTTCAAGCAATTTTGCCATTTTTTTATTGTTCTCAATTTTGGAAAATTTCTCCAATAATGATTCACCTCTTTGTTTAACCTTCAATAATTTGGGTTTATGGATTGGGTGTCTATAGATATATCCAGGAACCATTATCCCGTATAGCAAGAAAATCAACGGCAGTATGAATAACAAGGTTGGATGAAGAACAATAAATGTATAGATCATCAATGCAGATATAGTGAGTGATGGTCGAGTCCAATGGAATATTCTCAGTATAAAGTATTGAGCTTGAAACATCCCACCTAGCTTAGCGGTCATTTTCCTCAAGTTTTTAGTAAATTTTGGGATCGATAAACTTTCGGTCTCTTTTCTTATTGGGTCATTTAATCTTGTTTCAAGGTCCTGCTTATCAGGAATCACGGCGTGTACCAATAATTTCTCCAACAAGATGTCTATGAAGTGATTTTGCTGTTTAGCCATACTTTTCTCTCTCTTGATATCTGTTGAGGTACGTTCCTCACCAACTTCAGTACCTTCATCTTCAAAGTCCGAGTCTCTCCAGTATCCATCCGTATCATCATCCGTGGTATTATCAGAAGCAGCGACGTAATTACCATCACCATTGTTATCCTTTCGATCTTTCAACTTGTCAAAGCTTGCGCCTAGTACCGAAGCAGCAGTAGCGGCGGCCAATCTCTTTCTTGAGGAGGTGTCATCCGTGTGTCTCTCACTGTAGCTTGATGTGATCCCATAGAGCTGTCCCAATCCCTGGATGGCAGCCTCTTGCAATCTCTGTGACATTGGTGGCCATTGACTTGAATTAATTGATTATGGCTCTTTGTAATTTGAATTTGACTTTTGTATTGTTTCGCGAAAGTGGTAGACCCACGCAAATTACGATGATGGATTTCTCCGATAAGATCAAGAATTTGAAAAGTTTCAAAGATGTTTATTCCAATACACTTCAATTAATGGTTCGTTTGGTTATTCGCAGGTCTAAAATGGTCACTACTTCTACTTTCCTCATCATCAATCCAAACTCATCCAAGTCAGTCACTGATAATCTCGAAGAGATCTTGCCAGTTCCTCCAAACACAACTCTCAAGTTTTACACAGGTCCTCCAAATGCTCCTCCTGAAATAGATGGTCCTGAAACTTCAAGACAGTCTACTGAAGCATGCTTCCCAGATTTGCATGATCACTATATGGATCATGACGGATTCTTGGTGTGTTGTTATTCTGACCATCCATTGATTTACAAACTACGTGAAATTACGAAAAAACCTGTATTGGGTATTTTCCAAGCTAGTGTTACTTATGCTGTCACTACATCCCCTTCAAAATTTGGTATTTTGACATCCACAAGCTCTTGGGAACCAATTTTAGATCAAGCTGTTAAAGATTTCTTTGGTGGTGTTGATGTGCCATTGTTTACAGGTACTGTTGCTTCCAATATTAATGTTTTGAAGTTGGGAGATCCAAAATATTTCAAGAAATTGGTTGAAAGAGCAAAGATCTGTGTTGATGCAGGCGCAAAGACAATTTTATTAGGATGTGCTGGTTTAAGTGGATTGGAGAAGAAATTAGAAGCTGAGTTTGAAGATGTCAAGTTCATTGATAGTGTTAAATTCGGTTCTGAATTACTCAATACACTAGTGAGATTTGATAAAAACTGAAAAAAACATAACGATTCATTAATTTTCTAATATACAATGTAATGCAAAATAAAAGTTGTAACATTAAACAACATTTTTCTTCTCTAATTTGTACGATTTCTCATTCTCATCATAAATGCAAGTAATTTATTCTCCATTTCATAAACTTCCTTATCATCCATCTTACTGATTTGTTCATCTGTGAAGCCATCAAACATCTTGGAAACTTGTTCAACTGGGGTTGGAACAGGTGGGAAATCGGGTGGTGTCAAAATATCAAGAGCTGAATTATCTTCAAGGCGTAGTTTCTTGTTAGGCTGATGGGTTTGTTCTTCTTCATGATCAATGTTTGCAGATTCAGGTCTCTTTCTTGGAGAGGATGAATCCCTAATACTTTGTGTGAATTCTCGATCATCAATCTCAACAATATCATCTTCATCATCTTCTTCGTCAGATGAAATATCTTCTGGATGATCATGATCTTGAGAATTATCTGGTAAAGTTGGTGGCTCAATACCATCTTCAATTTCATCATCTTGATCCTTTTGAGTCTTTTCTTCAATCTCATCATTTGATACATCTGCTTGATCATTTTGAACCTCACCTTCAGCTTCATTTTCTTTATCAAATTGAGCTTCATCATTGATTTTATTTAGTTCCACATCCTTCTGAGTACTCTCAATATGTTCTCTTTCTGATACGTTTTCAGCTTCTAGTGATTCATCAACATGTTGATCATCAGTAATCTCCTTGGACACACCAACATTTTCAGTATATGAACTATCATCTTGTTCAATCTCAACAGTATCTTGGACATTTGTTTGATCAGCTTGCTTAATAGGCGATGAATCCAATTCATTCACCCTTTCATTGAATGCATTCATTTTTCTCTTCACATTCTTCAAAGGACTTGAATACAAAACCAATGAATCACTTGGAATTTCATTCTCTTTATCTTCCACCAAAAGTTGATTAAAATCATCAGATTTATCATTTGATTCTTCCTCTTCTTGATTTGGTAAGATTATTTCATTAGAATCTGGAATTTCTTGAGTTTCGACAACTTGATTAATAGATTCAACCAATTCTTTAGAGCCCAACATTGAAATGTCTTCATGGCTATCATAAAATGCATCATCACTGGTTGATAATTCTGAGGTTTCTTCAACTCTTTCTTTAACTGGTGATAGCTCAACATGTGCACGAGCATCAAAGAATTCATGATCACTCGAATTAGCATCATTCCAATCAGATGTAAGTTCAATGGATGAGCTTCTTTGAACTCCAGCTTTTGTAGCTGTATCTTGAGTTTCAATAACCTGGGTTGGTGCATCTTCAACAGGTACATCATAGCTTTTCATAGCAGTAGCTTGATTTGATACACTGTCTTCATTTTGTTGAGTAGCTTCGATATCATCACTTGGGTTTTTCGCACTAGAAGTTGGAGTTTCAATAGCATCTTGAGTCATTTCAACATCTTGCTTATTACTTTCAATCACCACTGTATCCTTTTCATCTTCCCTATCAGAACTATTTGAATCAATGGACATTCCAACATCTCTGGCATCATGTTGTTTCTGTTGTTCCATAGATAAATCAGAAGAGCTAACCTCCTTATAAGCAGCTTTATCAATCTGAGTATTCTCAACACTAGATTTCTCAAGGAATTGTTTACATTTGGATAAACTGACACCACCAACTTGAACCACAGATTGAGTCAATGCATCTTGTACTTTGAAAACAACTTCAGAAGCTTGTCCATCTCTTTGCATTGCTTTACAAATCTCTAACCCTTGAAGAACAAAATCATCCAGCTTGTCCAAATGTGATTCCTTAAGCAATTTCATATATCTTTGTAAAAATAAATACCCTTCAATGTGAATCTTTTTAGAATATTGATTATTTGGATCCATTACATGGAAGTAAATATGTTCAGTGAATGGTAAAAGTAATTCCAATTGATCTTTTTGTCTCCAATGATTAAATAATTTTAACGCAGTTTCAGTTGGGATAACTCTCAAAGTCATCACCATATCCTGGATCAATGGTGTTTTCAAGATATCAATTCCATCATTAATCATATCTGATAAAGAAATCAAATCAACCACTTGCCAAATTTTCAGATTCATAAATTGAACGCCATTTGTAATGTTATTCTTGATTATATATGACAGGTAATTTATCAACAGCTGTCTAGATTTAGGTAAATGAGCAATAACATTACCAATCGATTGAACTTCTTGACTAGCTAAAGATTTTTCAAAAATTTTGGATTCCAAATTATTTGACAAATATTGTATAATGGATTGATCTTTGATTGAGATCACCAAACTTTCATAAAATCTATATTGGAAAGTTTTGATAAGACTAGTCATGAATTTCAAGACATCTGTAGGTTTAACATTCCCCAAAGTAACAACCTGTTTCAGAATTTTCACAAAAATGTTATCATTATTGAAAACAACTTCATCATTTCCAGCACATTTATAGAAAATTCTATAACCGAATGTTGTTTTCAAAACGAAAACAAGTTTATTAATATAGTCCAGCTTATCAGCACTTGAAAGTTGCACCAATTCTTCAAAATAACACTGAGCAAATTGTGAATAATTATCAATAACTTGGAAAATCTTCTTTGTAACAATCAAATCAGTATCTTTTTGTGCAATAGGTTTGAAAGAATTTAACAAATTTGACAAGCAATTAACCTTGACTTTTAAAGTTTCATTTGGATTATCCCAAACAAGGCTTTTAAAGATATTATAAATAACATCATGTCTATCCAAAACAATTTCAGAGCTCAATCTATTAATATCATTCAATTCAAATTTATCTGTGCCCAAACATTTGATCAAATAAAACCCATTATCAGCACTTGACTTACGTTGGGTTTGAGAAGATGGTGTACCAACAAGATGAGAAAATATCCTCACACAGATTTTTTCCAAATATTTTGATCTCTTTTGTAAATTATCCAAAACTTTCATGATAAACTTCCAAATAAACTGATCCAATCCAACATTCTGTGGATTATTCAACAATACATAAAACATTTGTAATGATAAATTAACCAAATCATCCAAATCTGTATAATCATCACCAATTTTTTCAAAAACTGAAAACATTAACCCCAATTTTCTTTCAATACCCACACTATCCAATTTCCCATTCTCTGTGAAAAGTTTCAAATTCTTAGAAACAACATAAACTAGCCCTCTAAATGCCCTAACACCAGCCTTCTTGACAACTTGCTCCTGGTGTATTAAACATTTCTCTAAGACTCCATACCAAGGTGAACCTTCAATAGGATTCTCTTGTAAATAATTAGAATCATTGAACACCAAAATCGTCAACCCCAACCAAAGATCCATCGCAACCTTGACTTGATCCTGTAATAAATCCTCAATACGACAAGTTATATAAGTGAATGTACTTTGCTGTAAATCCAAGGGAGTCGAATTCAATGAAATTTGTGAATCCGGAGCAATTTGTAAAGTCTTGTGGATTGGTGAATTCAACAACATTTTAATTTCAAAATTGATAGTTTTCGAAGTTATAAACACTTTAGAAGATTCCAGTAAAGTTTGGATAGCAACTTGTTGTTGTTTTTGATATTGGGAATTAAAATCACAAAGACAGTTGAAAAGGAAAGGTAGCCAAGTTTTAGCATTTTTTTCCATCATTATTGTGTGGTTAATGATTAATGATTTTAAAGTGTATAGTCTTTCGACTAATAAGGACGATGAGTTGAAGTATTTCATGTTTAGAAGGGCATATAGGATGTATTCTTGATTACTCATGGAGATTTGTTGATGAACTTTATGATCTTTCAAGAGTTGTAGATTAGCAGTGAGTAAACTTTTGGAAACTGTTGGTTTTAGTATTATTGATGATGAATGGATGATGCACCATCTAACGTATTCAAAGTTTGATTTAGATTTTTTCCAAAATGAATTTATGATCTTGGTATTTGATATTAATTGTGTCAATATTTTAGTAATTTGAATATCAGTTCTCACCAAGAATGGATCTTTTGATGGGGTATCTGTTGATATTATTTGATTCTCAATAATGGTCATATCTCTTTTCAATAACCTTATTAGGTCAGGTAAATAATCAAGTAATGTAATGATCTTCCTATCATTCAAATCTTTCAACAATAGATTAATCGTAGCATAAATTTCAAAATGCTTATCACAATTTGATGATTCCAAAACATTAATACCACCATGCACAACATTTTTGAAAAAAATCAACTCCTGATTTGATGAAGTTGGGTTTGTTAATCTTGGTATATTTCCTGGAGTCCAGAATTCTATTTGTGATGGATTCACTAGACTCCCCTGTAGACTTGTTTGAGGTAATAATGGGTTCATTAATGGAGGTCTTGTAGTTGGTTTCAAGATTGATTTCTTTGGAGTTTGATTATTGGGTATTATAGGAGATGATTTATCAAAATTTATCAGATTCCCATCATTAAACATGACTTTTTTTAATTTGATTGGAGAAGATTTTGAAGTGTGGTGAACATCTGGTGAAGGTGAAGGTAATGAATTTGTTCTTGTTTGCCTTATAGGTGAAGATTGAGCCATTGGAGCCCTTTCTTGAACTATTTGCTTTGCATTTAATGGCGAAGAGTTTGAATGGTCATTTGGTGTAGTGATATTCTTTTTAGATCTTCTGCTTGATCTTGAAGGTGTTATTGAAGATGGAGGAGGTAATATAGGTGAATCTATAGAGGATAGTTTATTATTATTATTAGTTGAAGATGAATTTGGTTTTGGAGAAGGAGATTTCTTGAGACGTTTCCTCTTTGCGACATTTGTAGCTGTGGCCTTGGGCATTGCTGGACCTTTTCCTTTAGCTTTCGATCCAGTAGCCATTGGGAACGTATAAGGGGGTCTGGTTTGTAATTTGAAGAGTTGATTATAAGGTTTTGAAGGTTATAAATTTTTTGGTTATACGCGATTCACAAAATTTCGCGTTGTTCCTGAAAAGGAAATTCTGGAAACATGAATTCTTTCATCCCGACACAGTATATTGCGTTTTAGGCAATGGTTAATAGCCTCTGCTTATCAAATTTGTACTGTAAATAAACGTTTCTTTTTTTTCTTCCGGATCACCAAAAATTGATAAGACACAAATTTTATTACGCTCGTTATCTTTTTATAATTTGTTGTGAGTTTGTGTATAAAGACTCCCTATTCACTCGTTTAAGCATTGCCAACTCCCATCACACAGCATGTGCATGGCCAAACCAAGGCACATTTACAATAAAGAATACAGGGCTACTATTGACATTTTGATGCTACCACACGACGTTATGGTTGATAATTTAAAGATTGGTGATATTCAACAGATGGTTTTCGATAAAGAAGAACTAGAGAAGGCTAAATATAACAATATAAGTTGTCCAACTGCAAGCTATAACCCATACAGTGATTATAGTGATTCAGATTCAGAATCAGAGTTGGAACTTGAGCCATCATATGGTACGGCTGGTTTCCAAAAGAACGAAAAATCAGATTTACTCCCATTACCAGTGACTATGAAGAAACCAACCAAGGAAAAGATGACTATGGTCTCAAAGATACTATTAGTACTTATTGGGCTCATGCTTATGAGTTTGATAATCCATTTCACAAGTGATTATACGATGTTGAAGATGAATGAAATGGAAGTAAACGAATCATCAGTTGAGGAAGTGGAATACAAATACACAGAGAAGTTGGATCAGCTATACAAAGACTTCCACATATAAACCATCGACAAGAATAATACCCATCGTTTGTACAATAGCACATATATATATAATAACTAATAGAAATTTTAATGATTGATGTTACTATTGATGAATATTATGTAATCATGTAGTGTGTGCTTATGTCAGACTCGCGACACGCGATCTCGCTGAAAAGAAATTTTGAAGGAGTGAAGAAATTTGCAGCTCAAAAACGACACACGACGTTACTGGAAAAACGGTGGATAAAGAGGTTAGAGATATTGATTTATCTAGATACAAGCTATATTCAACCCAAATCAACACGTCTTTTCATCAGCCTTTTAACTTGTCCTCGTTGAATAAAAGTCCAACTGAAAAAGTCTAGAAGCTGCCAAAGCCCTTTTTTAGCCCAAAAAAAACTGAAAAGGTCGAGAATCGAAAGAAGGAAAAAAAAACGCTTTGAATTAATTTGAACAATAAATTTTTATGATCAAAAGAGAAATCGAATAAAAGAAAAAGCGTTTCATTTTGATTCTTTTAGTTTTAACAAAGTTATTACAACAACCTGGATTAACTTTTAGTTGTCACATTCATTCATTCCAAACACATTCATTCGTTATTTCTCCTTGTTCCAAGAATATAATTAGAACTTATCCTCATTCCGTTCCTTTCAAATATATGGGCAAAAAAAAATCTATATTTGATACACAAGGATTGCAAAAGACACCAAAATCAATATTATAAGAGCTACATACAATAGAGATATCAAAATGGTTCAACTCCAACTTCTAATACTAGCCTTACTGCCTATATCCTCTTTGGGAATGTCACAAGTAGGGTGTTATTCAAGTTTACCATCGTCATATTCGGATAAGTCCACATATCAATACCAATCATCATCTCATTGTTCAGATGAATGTTCAGGTTATTCATATTTCGCATTACAAGGTGGTAACACTTGTATCTGTGGTAATGATGCTCCTTCAGGCTCCAAGAGTTCAGATTGTAATACCCCATGTTTTGGATATGGTGAAGAAATGTGTGGTGGTTCAAATGCTTATATGATTTTTTCAACTGGTAATGGTGGTGGTGGTAGTGGTAATAGTGGTAGTTCAAGTAATGGTCAAAGTTCCACAAGTACAAGTAACACAGGAACTAGTTCCACTACAGGTTCAAATACCCAAACTAGTTCATCTACAACTTCGTCAAATACCCAAACTTCAAAAACTTCAACAACTTCATCAAAAGAGACTCAAGTGACTCAAAGTGTCAGTGGTAGTACTGTTGTCGTGATGTCTACTGTTGCTGTATCTGCAACACCAACAAGTTCTGCATCAGAATCTCAAACTCAATCCACATCGTCATCATCAACATCACCATCATCTTCTTCTTCTTCTGCCTCTGGATCAAGCAAACCTTCCAAAAAGACCAATTTAATAGGTCCTGTTGTGGGAGGTGTAGTTGGAGGTGTTGGATTAATTGCATTAGTTTCAGTGTTATTCTTCTTTTTACGTCGTCGTTCATCCAAATCTCGTGATGCAGAATTGGCAGATTCAGCCTATTATGATGCTATTAAAAGAGATAATTCCACTGTGGCTAGACCTTTGAGTAATCCATTTTTGAGTAAAGAAGAATTTACTGATCAAAGATTGAATCCAGTGATGTTGGGGAGAAGAAGAATCAGTGAGGGTTCCCTGGCTGATGAAGCTGATTATTCAAGAAAGATACTAAGGGTTGCTAATCCTGATGATGATTTATAAAGTTAATTGTTGATACACTGATTGTTGTTTTTTTTATTATAAAAATTTTGTTTGTTTCTTTTCAATTTGTTTCTAGTGTTTCTGATGTGATCTATTGACCACAATCAGTATTTATTATTATTATTATTATTAATTATGAGTTTTATGATGGAGTTTCTATTGAATTTGTAGTGTTTCTCTTATTGTCAAACCCCAGATTATAGGTCTTCGGATTGAAAACCACCTAATTCCACAACCAAACACACCATAAACACGGTTCAAATTAGCAACACACTATAACCAACGTCAAAACAAACACTCCCAGTGTATTATAACACCTTTTCCATCATCATAACCCCCTTTATTCAACATTCTCCTCATTAAAACAAACTGCCACTTGTGTCCGGTCAAAAACATCCGATTTAATTCCTTGAAAATTGAGAAATTTTAAGGAAAAAACCAAAACTTTTATAATCAACATCAACAACAACAACAACAAATAGCCAAAACCAATTAACAATCATGCCTCACACAAATGAGATACCAAAGAACGAACAAGACATATTCAACCAATTGACAGAGATCCGTACCAAACTATCAATCTTGAAAAAAGATCGTTCTCAATATCTAAATTCAAAAGATGTTTTATCCATATATACAAACGTTTTAACATTAGTTAAAAATTTAAACAATATTAGACATCAAGTTGAAGACAGAATCTCCAATAGAGTGGATCAGGTCGTTGATGATGTCTTCCAGTTATTATCCCTTTTCTTCATCACTGTTGGGTTGAGTAAAACTGCTCCGGCAACTTATGCCTCATTATCTACTGTGCAAAGATTATTGGAACATTTGAATGAATCAAGAGTTTATACTCATCATGATTTGAAACCTATCAAGGAAAGATTGAGTGAGATTGAGGAGATTATTGAAGAGAATAAAAATCCTGTAGATGAAGAGGAGGATTTCTTGTTAAAGAGGAAATTAAAAGAGTGTCAATTGGAGTATAATGAAGTTGAAAATAAAGTTGAAGATGTTGATAATTCTTTAAATTCTTTATTGGAGGAATTAATCACAACAAGAAGAAAATTGTTGAGTATTGCAGCTAGACCAGATTTTAAAACCCAGGAATTAACTCCATTAAAATTAAAATTACAAGAATTGGGTAAACATCGTGATCTAAATGGGAAATTTACATCTTTGGAAACTGGGAAATTTGAAGAAAATGGTCAAAGTGTTTTGAATGGGTTATATGATGATTGTAATATTTTGATCAAAGATTTAGAAGCTCATAAATTTGAATTGGATGATAATTTAAAACCTATTTATGATCGGTTAATTAATTTGAAAACAACATTGGAAGATTTATTAGTTACAAGAAGATGGACCCTAAGAGAAACTGATTTATACACTTATCAAAAAAATTTACAAGAATTGGATGACCTAAGAGTTGATGGTAAATTCCCAACAAAAGATGAATCTAAAAGTAATAAAGGTCAATCAATTTTGTTGTATTTATTAAGAAGATGTTATGCAATCATTTACAAGCTTTTGGAATCAAGTGAACCGGTGAGTGAAGCATTACAACCAATTCATAATCAATTATCAACAGTACGTAGATGTCTTATGGAAGTTAGAAGAATGGGTGGTATTAATTCTGCAAGAGAATTATATCCATATCAAATGAAGTTGGCATCATTGGATAATCTGAGAGAAGATGGGAAATTTATAGTGGATGGTCAAATTCCTGAAGGTCAAGGTACTTTAAATGCCTTGTTGGCTGAATGTTATGATATTTGTCAAGAGATGAAGGTTGAAGCTGAAGAAAATGAAACTGAAGAACAAGGGGTCTCGGATGATGTTGATGATGGTACTAATCTTTATGATCATGATGATGAAGAGGAAGAAGGCGAGGAAGGTGAATTGGAAGGTGATGATTGTGATGCATTGGATGATTATAATGAAGAAGATGAAACTGATTATCAACCAAGTTATGCACCAAGTATTGCAGGTTCTGAAGATCAAATTCCTGCGTGAATACTACAAAAAGAAAAAATATTATTATTATATTATTATTATTATTATTATGAATACGTCTATTATCTATTATTATATATTATATTAAGGTTATGCTTGTGATTTTACATAGTTTTGATGTAGTTGATCAGAGACGTTTTTCAACAAAAGTTCGCGAATTTGTTAATTTTACAAAACTTTTTCTGTTTAAACGATATTTTCAACATTATAAAAAATCCAAATAGCCCCAGTTTATTCAATTGTTTGACTCTAGCAATGTCTTTTCCACTCTGTATATTGTGTGGATTATGTCTAGTCTCTGTGCTTTTAAAGAGGTATTATTGAAACGAGTTGGTGATGATTATTCTGAAATATTTGTCCCATTTGCAATAACAAAACCAAGTGATGACAAGACACCTTTTTTCACCATATATAGTACAAAATTGATTGATGATTTCCCTATTGTTTTCAAAAAAGTGTTGCAACTAAATCATAATTCATTACCATGTGAAAGATTAGTTACAGTTCATAAAAGTCATTCATCAATTGAAGATTTTAATAAATCAACCATAATTATAACACAAGATCCACAATTAAATTTGAAACATTTAGATGAAAGTTTCAGGATTACTGAGGATTATTTCAGTGGAGTTTCAACGTTCTCCGTGGGGAATTATAAACCATTTATTGATATGCAAGGAGTGGAACATTTGAAAGATGAAACTATAATGTTTGGTCATGGTGAAAATTTTGAACGTAATATAACTAGAAATTTTAATGATATTTTCAAAGATTTTGAAATTAAAGAACATCATTTCAATATTTTCAAAAATTTGTTCAAAAATTCCAAAACTGGGGATTCTAATCAGAGTGTTAATGTTGTTGGAATGATTATTGTGGAGATTCCAAAAGAGAAGGATGATGATGAAGAAAAGGATTATATGCTGATATTGAAAAACCCTTCGATTCCAATTGATGAGTTTCTTTTCGAAATGGCCAATTATAAAGGATCAGATAAAGCTGTATTGTTGAAGAATGATTTCAAATTATATGCCAATGATGTTAAAGTTTTCAGAATCATGAAGAGAATGCTCCATGATATCTTTAAACAGTTACACTTGCCAATGACTCGATGCAATCGACGCTCAAGTGTCACCACGACTCCAGAGTGTTAAAATGACGATTAAATCAAATAAATGGCTATATAAATTCTGTATAAAGTGACTAATTCTATGACTGATTCTTATCTAATCCATCTGCAAAACGCATTCGCGAACCAACCGCCAAAAATTGCCTTTCAAAAAAAAATTCAAAAATGAGTCAAAAAGAAAATTCATCGATGAAAAAAAAAAAATGAAAAATTTATAAAAGAATTGAACATTTCTTAACAATTTCCAAACTAAAGTTGATATCCCACAAACAAATTTAGAAAACAATGTGTGGTATCTTTGCTGCATTCAGACATCCAGATGTCGACGCCTTCAAGCCAACAGCACTTCAACTAGCCAAAAGAATCAGACATCGTGGTCCAGATTGGTCAGGAAATGTTGTCAAGAATTCCACAATCTTGGTTCATGAACGTTTATCAATTGTTGGTTTAGATTCAGGTGCTCAACCAATCACTTCAAAAGATAAAAGTTTATCATTAGCAGTCAATGGTGAAATCTATAATCAAATACACCTAAGAGAAGAATTCCAAGATTATCCATTCAAGACATTATCAGATTGTGAACCTATTATTCCATTATATCAAAAATATGATATCGATGCACCAAAATACCTTGATGGTATGTTTGCATTCGTGTTGTATGATGCTCCAAAGGATCGTATCATTGCTGCAAGAGATCCAATCGGTATCACCACTTTATATATGGGTAAATCTTCAAAATCCCCAAAGACTGTTTTCTTTGCCAGTGAATTGAAATGTTTAACAGATGATTGTGATGAAATTGTTGCATTCCCTCCAGGACACGTTTATGATTCTCAAACAGATGAATTGACCAGATATTTCCAACCAACTTGGTGGGATGAATCCAAGATCCCAACAAAGAATGTTGATTATAAAGAAGTTAGAGAAAGTTTAGAATTGGCTGTTAGAAAAAGATTAATGGCCGAGGTCCCATATGGTGTTTTATTATCAGGTGGGTTAGACTCTTCATTAATTGCCTCTATCGCGGCAAGAGAGACTCAAAAGGCTTCACAACATGATGATGATTCCAAATTGGCTGGTGTTGATGATTCAGGTAATTTACATTCTCATGGTTGGTCAAGATTACATTCATTTGCCATTGGTTTACCAGGTGCACCAGATTTAATCGCGGCTAAAAAAGTTGCCAAATTCATTGGTACAATCCATCATGAACATACATTTACCTTGGAGGAAGGTTTAGATTCTCTAAGAGATGTTATTTATCATTTAGAAACTTTCGATGTCACCACGATTAGAGCATCAACACCAATGTTTTTACTATCAAGAAAGATTAAGGCTCAAGGTGTCAAGATGGTGTTGTCTGGTGAAGGTTCTGATGAAATCTTTGGAGGTTATTTATATTTCGGTGCAGCACCTTCAGCTGATGAATTCCATACCGAATGTGTTAAAAGAGTTAAAAACTTGCATTTGGCTGATTGTTTGAGAGCTAACAAATCCACAATGGCTTGGGGTCTTGAAGCTCGTGTTCCATTTTTGGATAAGGAATTTTTAGAAGTTTGTATGAATATTAACCCAGAGGATAAAGTTATTAAACCAAGTGAAGGACGTATTGAAAAATACATTTTAAGAAAAGCTTTTGATACATCAGATGATTCAAGTGCTAAACCATATTTACCAGATGAAATCTTGTGGAGACAAAAGGAACAATTTTCAGATGGTGTTGGTTATTCATGGATTGATGGATTAAAAGATAGAGCTGAACAAGTTGTTAGTGATGAAGAATTTAAAACTCCAAAACCTGAATGGGGTGTTGATATTCCAACTACTAAAGAAGCATATTGGTATAGAACAATGTTTGATGAATTATTCCCATCAAAAGCTGCTGCAAACACTGTTATGAGATGGATTCCAAAAGCTGATTGGGGTTGTGCTGAAGATCCTTCAGGTCGTTATGCTAAATTACATGAACAACACGTTGATGATAAATAGATTATATATATATAAAAATTAAACGTAAGATTGAATGATTTCAATAGCTTCTTTTGTACCATCAATGAAGAATCCAATGAATTGTTTATAAACCAATACTGAATATTTTTCAAAAATGGATAAATAAAAATTATAATACAATTTAATCAAATTGCCCAATTTATAAGTTTCAATCAATTCACTAACTTGATATAAATTTAAAACACCATTCTTGTAATCATTACAGAAAACAATTGAATAAAATTGATTAAACCAATCATTAAAACTTAGTATAGTGAATACTAAATTCCCCAATATCAAACTTGTCAAGATTCTAAACTCCACACCTTTATGGGTATTGGCATATGATAAATATAGTGACAAGTATAATAACAAGATTGATAAAGTTATAATGGATTGACCAAATGATGTGGAAATTAAAGATGGTTGCACTATTGGGATTATTGAACAGAAATTGTTAACTGGGGTGTTATTGTGGGATAGGAAAGATATGGATCTTTCCTGACCTGGGTGGACCAGTGAGTATAAAGAATTGAGTAAAGACATGATGAATTCAACAGTTTATAGCACTTTATAATAGATTTTAATAGCTCTAATTGTTTATATTACGCGTTGGGTATAAAAGGTTGTGTCAACAGGGTAAACAGCGTGTTAAAATTCAGCACATGGAAAAGCAAAACAGCAAAAGTCAAAATTCAAATCAACTTCAACTTCACCAACATCACCAACTTCAATCACCATGTCCAAAAGACAAACAAGATCAATGGATAAAGAACACGACACCCCAATCACCACTGGCTCTTCACACGCCATTGACGACTCCATCCACGGAGATCAAGATTCAGAAGTTGAAACCAAGCCTCCACCAATCAGAAGATCATCCTCACTATTCTCACTAGACCTAAACACAACACCATTAAACCCTCCAGATGACGAAGATATTAAAAAATTCACCAGTGATGATATCCACTTCAGTCTTGTCCGGAACTTACACCTCGCTGACTTCATCACCATGATGAATGGATTTTCAGGTTTTTATTCAATAATCTCATGTCTTAGATTCACATCAACAGGATTACCACATTATGTCCAACGTGCGCATTTCTTCATACTCTTGGGTTTATTTTTCGATTTTTTCGATGGGAGAGTGGCTAGATTGAGGAATAAATCTTCATTAATGGGACAAGAATTGGATAGTTTAGCGGATTTGATTTCATTTGGTGTCGCTCCGGCATCTATTGCATTTGCCATTGGGTTTCAATCCACAGTGGATGTTTTGGTGTTGTCATTTTTCGTATTGTGTGGATTGACAAGATTGGCTAGGTTTAATGTCACGGTGACTACGATTCCTAAAGATGTTGGAGGGAAGTCCAAGTATTTTGAAGGGTTGCCAATTCCAACTTCGTTGTTTATTGTGGCTAATATGGCGTTTTGGGTTAGTAAAGGTTGGGTTAATGATGACTTACCATTTGGGTTGGTTTTGAAAGGTGGGTTTTTGGAGTTTCATCCAATTGTGAGTGTTTTTTTCATTCATGGTTGTGCATTGATTTCAAAATCGTTGAAGATTCCAAAACCATAAGTGCGAGCCCGATAGGGCGAGTCATGAGATCCATTGGCATAGCTAATACTACAACTGATAAATGATTGAAATCGTAGCTAGTCAATACCACAAACTAATAAATTCTGAAATCCGTAGCTACAAACAAACATCCTCTAATATGCAATTGACAATCTAACTATACTCCTCAGGCAAATACTTCTTCAACAACCCCAACGCCCGTTCTTTCAAATCCTCATTATTCTCATAAAAATCCTTTAGTATCTCCAAACACACCTCCTTCACCGGTGGTTTATAAATCACCAAAAACTGCAAACTCTGGAAACCAAGTGCACTCCTCTCAGGATCTATACACAACGACTTCAACTTCCCCACGAGCTCTGCATTCAAGTAGGGCACCTCACTCAACAACCTGATGAAAATTCGTCTATCCCCCATCTCCAAAAACGGGATCAACGTATCCATCAACTTCTCACACCACTGCAAATACGTTGGTGTCTTGCGGTCTGTGATGAACTCTGTGAACCATTCTTCATTGAGCCACTCAATCACTATATCGATCCGGTCATGGATGTTTGCAAGAAAGTACTGGAAGATGGATTCACGAATGAGGTCAGCGTATTGGGGATGTTGGGATAGTCCGCGTGTGGCGAGGCGGGTGAGGATGGTTAGCCAGGATTTGGAGTCCCATTGTGTTATGGCGATTTTGTTTAGTTTGTGGGATGTGTCTGGTGTGTTGGAGGTGGTGGTGGAAGTGGTGGTGGTGTTGGATAGTTTGTAGAAGTTTTCAATAATTAGGTTGAGGTGGGTTTTCTTGTCCTGGATTGATAAAGGGGATGGTTGTGGGAGGATGTATGTTGATTCTATGTTGTCCATCTCGAGGATTTGGTTATTGTCTTGGTCATCTTTTTCTGTATCATCAATTGGTTCTTTAACTTCTGGGATGGAGGTAGATGAGGGAGGTGGTGGTGGTGGTGGTGTCTTGTTGATTAAATCTGCATAACGAGCAGAAACAATACTTAGTGCACTGATTAATGAATTCATATCAACGTTTAATAACGTTGCGATGGCAATGTTTGATAAAGTTTTCAAAGGGATTTGTGAGACATCAAAATTGCGTAATTCATTATTTGATTCAATTAATGTGTATAATGATGAATATTGATTATCATTTGTGATTAATGAATTTGTAGAAGGTTGTAATGGGGGGTTTTCTAATTTGATTTTTTTGTTTGATTCAATTGATTCATTTAATAAACCTCTTTTCCTTGTTATATCCATTGATGAATTGATTTCATTGATTAAATTGGTGGCCTTGTTGTATATTGGAGATTGTTGTGATAATAAATTTGATTTTGTTAAATAATTTAATAAATTTTTCAAATAACGATTCATAAATCTTTTCATTAATTTAAATTTTAAATTTGAATCATTTGAAAATTGATATTTATTGGAGGTATTGAATGATATAATTGAATTTAAAATCTTTGTATTGAAAAGTTGGAATCTTTTCTGTAAAATTATAACAAGTGCATTGAAAATACCAATAAATTTTTGTGGGATTAAAAATTCTTCATCATTTAAATAATTGATTAATAAATCTAATAAACCTTTAGCTTCAGCATCCAAGACATTCTTATTAATAACTGTATGATTTTCATTAACATTGGCAATTGATATTTCATTGCTATTATTATTATTTGACCTTCTTGGATCCTTGGAAACTATATTTGAAGTTTGGATAATTATAATTTTGGAAATAAATTTCAATATAGTCAACTTCACACCAATTGATCTTGATTCATCCAAACTTGAATCATTTGATGGGACCAATGGATAGGTCGAAGACCAAGCAGCAATGATTGTTTGCTTCAAATGATCAAAATCTTGCCAAATTAAAGAATTTGAAGTTTTAGCAACAAGATCAAATATACAATCATAAATATTTGTGGAAGTTAGGACAACATTTTTGAAGATCAAGACATCATTAATCTTGGAAAGATGGATCAAAGCAGGTAGGATCATGGATGAAGTTTCTTGCCTTTGATGGAATGAGAAATCTTTATTAGCCGGGGAGGTTATATCGTTAAAGAATTGTGAACACCATTGATGAATTGATAGGTCATTGGATGAAGGTTGTTGAGTTGCAATTGGGATGATGATTTTGAGGACCGTAGGTAGAGTTTTGGGGTCTCTTTGGACCAGTTGCTTTGACTGGTTGAGTTGGTCTATGATGTTCATGGTGGTTGATCTTGTTATTGTTATTATTGATGATTGATTGATTGATGTTATTGAGTTGAAGAATGTTTTTTTCAGTTTGGGCTTGTTAGTGCTGGAGTTTACTGTTGTGTGTGTGTAAATGTGGGTACTAAGAAATGATAGTATAGATCAAAGGTAGAGTATTATAGTATTATGGAGTATAGTATAGTATAGTAATATAGTATAGTAATAGTAGTATAATATAGAATAGAATAGTAGTATTATGGTATTATAGTGTATTATCGTGTATTGTATTTGCATTTGTATTGTTCTGATCTCAAAGGTACAATCTCTATCAAAAGGGTCCCATCTGGTGACTGAGCAATTGAGTAGAAAAAGAATTGGAATTAGAAAAGAATACTAATACTAATACAATTATAATACAATACATTCCAACATAGACCATACAATAACTATACAATAACCATAGAACACACCAATACACCAACAACTACTTAATACTCCCCCTTCCAAATACCCGCAACAAGCGTTCCTTTGATCTAGACAATTTAATTTTAGATCAGAATCAAGAGAACAGCCATCAACATCATTGATTCATCATCACCAACTTCAACTACATCAACTAGACCAACTGCATCACCTTCATCTTCATCACCCTTTGATTACTTCCTTTCATTACACTCGTCGCTAAAGCTCCTCGCAACGTCGCTACGCCATGAGCTACTACCACTACATTGACGATGAAACAATCCTTCCCAAAACAAACTACAACTCTCCCTTCTACTCATCAGTCCCCTTACATTCCCAACCAACAGACATCCTATCCAAACGGTTCGAACTATGGAGACAAATCATCAAGTCATTAATAAACTATTTCAAATCAATAGCAATTGCAAATCAACAATATAGTAAAATCAATGATAATTTAATCCAAACTATAAACTTCCCCTTCTTCACAAACATCTTCCCCAAAGTTGGTGGTGTGGCAATGGAGAATAACAAGATATTCGAACCTCATGTGGAAGATTTGAAAAAACAAACATATTTTGCCAGTTTTGGAAATGGTTCAATCCAGGATATTCAAATATTGTTGAAGAAGTATCATTTGAATCTGGGTCAACAACAAAGAACTATCTCAATTGAGTTGATAAATACACTTGTCCCTAGATTGGAGGAATTACAAAAAGATTTATTCATCAAGATTAGAGAGATTAAGAATTTGAATAGTGATTTTAAAAATAGCTTAAATCAAGAAATTGCCATCACGGGTCAATGCTTGAATGATTATATTGATGTTGTCAAGATGTACAAGAATGGGGTGATTGAATCTGGGAGTGGTAAGAAGGATCCATATTTATTGAGATTAAAATTGGAAATTCAATTAAAACAACAATTGTATCAAGAAAATTATCTTGAAGAGGCTTTTATCAATTTACAAATTACTGGGTTGGAATTGGAGAAGATTATTTTCCAAGAGATTCAAAATTCTTTGAATCGTTATAATGAATTAATTTCTCAAGAGATTTTTGTCATGTATAATGATTTGATTAATGAATTACACCAGGGGATCATCTCCAAGAAAAATTTCTTTGAATGGGATGAATCAATTAAAAAAGATTCAAGTGCAGAGTTTAAAAAGCATTTTCTAACCATTTTACATGATGATCAATTACCAATTCCAAGAAAATTATCCTCAATAAAATATCCATATAATAAATCAATAATTTCAAAATGTTTTAGAAGTGGATATTTATTGAAAAAATCCAAATTATTGAAAAATTATTCAAAATCATTCTTCATCCTAACAATTAACTATCTTCATGAGTTTAAATCATCAAATTTAATGGAATCACCAACCCCAATAAATTCAATAAATTTAAATGATGCCATATTAACCGAATCCAACGATATGAAATTCCAACTACACGTTAAGCATATAATTGGACCAGATAATAAGATCAAGACCCATAATTATGTTTTCAAAAGAAGTTTAAACGAGATGGATGAATATCAATTCAAGAAATGGATAATTGATTTGAAAAATATGACAAGTTTTAATTCGTTCAATGAAAGATTTAAATATATTAATGGGAAATTATCAAATTCAAATTCAAGATCAAATACTCCAATGTTTGAAATTTCAAATCCAATGGATAATATTGATAAAGTTAATGAGAAGTTACAAAATTTACAAATTACATCGATAACTAATGAAGCTAATGAGGGTAGGGAGGGAGAGGAACAACAAGAACAAGAGCAAGAACCAGAACCACAGGCTCCTTCACCATCACAACTATCACCATCACCAAATGAGCAACAAGACATCCCACAAAACTTCACCCAATTTGCCCAAAACATCAAACCAACCCTTCCAAAACTTTCATTATCATCACTCCCAAAAGTTCAAATCCAAGAACCATCACCAATCCACCCCTCCACTACCACCTCCACCTCTTCAGAAGACCTAATCAAACTTGCAATCCAACATAATCAACAAGCTAGACCAGCATCTATAACTTCATCCACAAACACATCCTCATTAGGCTCCTCTTCGATAAGTGCAATCGGTGTGCCTACGTTGACTAAACAAAAGTCTCATATAGATCTAAATGGTAGTTTGTACAAGGATGAGGATAAGAAAGAGGAGGATGATGAGTTGAATAAAGTGTTGGATGCTTTAAAGAATGAGGTATAGATTAATAGATATTGTATGTGGTTATTTGTCATGTATTAGCTAAGCGATGGGCTCAAAGTTTCTCCACTTGGGAGCGGGAGTGAATGGGCCATTGAGGGTATGGCCGTTGAATAAACTAATGAACTAATAAACCATTAATCATTAATCTATTAATCTATTAATCAATAACCAATATGATATAATATTCTAATCCATGATCTAATACAACATTATAACCCATAACCGATAGCTATTCCCTCCCACTTTCCCAGGGCCCAACGGACTCTGTTGACTCATTCTCGGAGAAACGAATATTAGAGTGGTACGCACACGCCTTAATGTTCCGAGTGACTAGAGAAGTTTTCAATATTATATAAACGACACAAAGCACCATGATTCATCTCATCAACTATTAACTATTAACTATTAACTAAAAGCCTATACATCAACAGCCCAAGAGCCTAATGCAAGACAAACTCATCATCGTCATGGTGGGGCTTCCCGCCAGAGGCAAGTCCTACATCACAAAGAAAATATCAAACTACCTCAACTGGCTAAACATCAACAACAAGATTTTCAACGTTGGTAATAAGAGAAGATTACAACTGTTTGAATGTGAGGAGCAAAATGCTGATTTCTTCAACCCAAACCAATCGAAGAATGTTGCCATTAGGGATCAGTTGGCATTATCCACCTTGGATGATTTATTGGATTGGTTGAATAATGATGATTGTCCCGTGGGGATATTTGATGCAACTAATTCCACTATAAAGAGACGTGAATTGATTAAAGAGAGGATTTCTAAAAGGATGCAAGGACAGAATTATAATGTCTTGTTTTTGGAGAGTATTTGTAATGATTTGGATATCGTGGAGAATAATATTAAATTGAAATTGAATGGTCCTGATTATAAAGATGTCGAGGATAAATTTGAAGCTTTGGATGATTTTAAAAAAAGATTACAAAATTATGAATCGATTTATGAAACGGTGGAGTCTAGGGAATGTCAAGATTATGTTCAATGTATTAAAATTGTTAATATTCATAATTTGAAGAGTTTTAATATCTTTGGTGTTTATTCTTTAATGTTGCAAGGATTTTTATCAAATTATAATACTTGCAAGAAGAAAATTTGGTTATCTATAAACAATATAGATTCATCAAAATTCATACCATTGATTATTAATTCTTCAAATTTTTTGAAAATCATGTCTGAAGAAGCTGAATCAAATCATCATAAATTAATCCCCAAATCATCAACATTGGATCAAATCCATGATTTGATTCTTGATCTTGAATCTTCAAACTCTGATGTCCTTATCCAAACAACTGATCAATTCCTTATCAATGGATTATTCAAATATTTCAAACCTTTACAAAAATTTAATCAATCCAACTCCTCCTCCTCAAACATTGATTTGAATTATGAAATTATCTGCATCAACCCAGATCATTATCAAACAGATTTCACCAAGATTGATATAAGAGAATTATACCCTTTGGAAATGACTAGATCTAATTCAAACGGGAGTAATACAAGTGAAATATATACCCCAATTAATGTTGATGGGTTGGATCAATTTAATTATCAAAATTTATTGGAAGTTAATGAAAAATTGGAATTATTGAAATGAAGAAGCTCACTGGCCTGAGAGAATTTACCAAAAAGTTTATTGTTTTTTATGTTATTTATTATTGTGCTCTATTTGATATAGTTATACAGATTATATATATTACCCTTAATGACCATGTTTTATGACCCTTGAAATCAGTAGTTGATCTTGTGAATTGAGAGTTCAAGTATGACGTATTTTATGATTGTATTGTGTAATTGAGCAGTACAAAATGATCCCGAATGTCCTACAATATCTGAAAAAGGATATCAATCATTTGTATTAATGACAACCATGGAATTGTGTAATCCATGAGATTGTGAATAATAATGATGGTTTTGTTAGTTTGAAGGGTTGTATTGTTTTTAAACAATCAAATCATCTTCAACGCTAAAGAAGTAGCATAAGAGACAATATGCTGATCAAAATAGAATCTATTTCCCGACGAACAACGCTGACAACACACTATCACACTATATTATCAATTATATGAAAACAACAGAATCAGGACCCAAATCATTGCGAGCAAACATCTTGACCACAAGAAAAGAACGTTTGACGCTAATTATACCAAATTCAAAAAACTCAGGTTATAACAGCTGTCTAAGAAGTGCTAAACAACCAAGCCCTTTTCAGAACAACCATATGAAATGCGAGAAGCAATGTACCAAATTACAAAAAAACAATGTGGCAAGCTCTTTCTGGAATGAACAAATATTTGATAATGTGATTCGTGTTTCCATGTTGATTTTATGATTGAATTTTTTTTTCTTCACCATGATTAGCTAATCATCGTAGTCATACACGTAAGGTTTAGAATAATGATAATGTAGATTGATGAAATGTATGCAGGTGTTATCGAGTATTTTACGTAGTATTGAAAAAGAGTAAATCATTTGCATTGATAACAACCATGGAATTGTTGAGATCCATGAGATTGTAAATAATAATGATGATTTTGTTAGTTTGAAGAGATGTATTGTTTTTAAACAATCAAATCTTCAACAGGTAAACTGTAGTGCAACTAGAAGAGAAGTTTGCTTGACTGGATTCATTGTTGAAGAATAAATAATCAAAAATAACCGTTGGACAACACTCTCATATCCCTAAATAAAAGATTAGCATAATGAGTTGAATAACTTGATGTGGAGATGTGAAGCACAAGAAAAGAACTGTCAATGCTAAACATTGCAGATTCTTCCCAAGTGCGTTCAATGGTGATATTGAATAGATGTTTAATTAACAAATTAGAAAAATGGTTGAAGAATCACAATGCGATTTGTGTTTCCTTGTTGGTTTTATAATTGATCAAGTTTGTTTGTTTTTTTCAAATCGTCAATTAACCGTCATGATTAGGTAATCATTTTTAGAATAGAGGAAAGGTCTAAAATAATGTGTAATGTAAAATGATAAGGTTGTATGCAAAAGTTCTCGAGTATTCTACGTAGTATTGAAAATGTATATGATCATTTGTATTAATAACAACCATGAAACTGCTAGATCCATGAGATTGTAAATAATAACGATGATTTTGTCAGGTTGAAGGATTGTATTGTCTTAATTAAACAATCAAATCATCTTCAACACGCAATCAGTGCATCAAAATAAAAACATGACAACAGTAAGTATTGACAGTCAAAAATACCCAATGGACTAGCTGAATCAAACAATTGATCCACACTTCATTCCTTGAGCACAAAAGTCTCATGCAAGAAAGTGGGAAGTAACCTGTTGATTTCTTGTTGAAGGAAAGCTTGATCTTCAAAAGTCATATGAATCAATGGACGAGCAGAAAGATCTGAGATGGGTGAGTGAAGAAGTAATTGTTATATTTATACAAATTCAAACATTTAGACTAAGCATACAGATCACAACAATTCAGGTACATACATCAAAAAATTTTCGGACTTATCTAATATGAACTACTATTGAGTTTTGGAAACCCAAAGTAAGATGAAGAAAGTTATTGCACATGATGAGAATTAGCAATTGATAATAATTCATGTTTCCTTCTTGATTTTATAATTGGACTTTTTTTTTTCATCATCTTCCATCAAGATTATCTAATCATAGTAGTTAAGCTATAATATACAGAAGCGCCTGGTTTAGGATTATTGCAAATTGAAATATTTACTGTAATATGGAAACACGTTATCGAACTATATCCAGCTACAAAAGTCTTGAAAAGGGGTGGATCATTTGTATTAATGACAACCATGAGACTGTTAAGGCCCATGAGATTGTAATAATAATGATGATTTTGTTAGGGTCGTGCTTGAAAGAAATGTATTGTCTTTCAACAAAAACTCATTCTAAACAAGTTGAAAACATCCATTACCCATGGAATATAGCTTGAAAAAAAAGACTTTCCTAGAAAAATTCGACATTATTAGCAACAATAATCAGGCAATGTTAGCGCTAGAAGCTCATATCATGTACAATGTACTGCAGAACGACCACAAATAACGACGAAACGAAAGCGGACAAGGTGATCAATTTTGAAAGAAGTTCAAAAAAACTTATTCTTCAATCTATTCATCACCACACTAATTCCAAGGACTTATTAACACTTTGAGCAAAAGTTTGCAGTACTATGATCAATAGCAACATTGTAAGAATGTACCGATTTCTTGATTTTGTAATTGAAGTTTTTTTTTCGACATCATCATCATCAAGATTAGCTAATCATAGCAGACGTTATTATAAATCTATATTATATGCTATAAGTAATTTACCCCCTTTGGTGTAAACCAGGAGCGTAGAAACATTGTGTACAAAAATTTATTAAAATTGAAAAGGTGTCATGTATTTCAGAGATCCATAAATCTGTTTAAACTTATGAGACTGTTTGAATAATGATCACTTTAATCAGTATGGAACATACTCAACCATGAACGTAATTAAAATCCATAATATGTGAGGCAAAGAAAGAGCAGCTAGCGATTCTATGGAAAAGCTAAACTATCTCTATCATGTTTCCAATTAACGAATAATCACAACATACCAGAAAGTAGGTGAATTGCTTTGCCCCGACAATATAGGATCCAAATTAACTGATCATGGAGAATTTCAACAGTACCTTGAGGTTAAGGGATGTCTAGGTCGACCACGAACGACTTTGATTTGTACAAATTTTCATCCAAAATATCTGAAACAACCCACAATTTAAACGTGTTACTAAATCACATTATAGCTGAGTAAAATTATGCTAAAAACACGCTAGAAAACACCCACATCAGGTCCTAACGATTTTTCTAATCAATTCAATACAAGAAACGGATTAAAAAAAAACATCTTCACAGCCCTCTGAAAATATATTGAACCGCACTGAAATGGCAGATGCTGTCCAGTGTCCTGTACAACATTACATTCATCAAACAAAGCAGGCAAGTGTTTGTCTGGTTTTTCACCTCTTTCAATGATATCAAGACATTTCTACAATGATACATAATAAAATCATATTTTTACTAAACCCCATTAAATGAAACCAATTATATACACACATAAATCAAAAAAACAATTATTACTCTTCTCACTGTTTTTCCAAATCAACATTCATTACGTCATCACTTGAACTAGATGCAGTAGTACCTTTATGATCACTTGTAGCATTATTCTTCATTAGAACTCCATTATGTCCATCACCTTCACGCCCAACTGATCTAACACTTTTTCCGTCTTGTGAAATATTTTCAATATATTGTGCCTCTTGTTTAATACTAATACTTCCAGTATCATTAACATGAACATTATTGATACCACTAACATCTGGACACAATTCAGCACCTCTTCTACCAATCAAATACCAAGGTAAATTGAACAATTCCTCCATACTTTCCAAAGAACGACCACTAATCTCTGGTAAAAAGAACCAACACCAAAACAAACCCAAGATCAAGACACCTGAAAAGAAGTAAAAACATCCATAACTTGTCATTTGTAAAAGCATTGTTGGAGTAGCCTTAGAATTACCATACTGATTAGCAAAATGAAATGTCATAATTAAAGCAACTGCAAAATTACGAATTCTTAATGGAAACATTTCACTATTGATCAAATATTGAATTGAATTCCAACCCATTGTCCAACCAACACCGTTTAAATACAACATAGCCAAGGCACCTGTCCCTGCTCTTCTTTGTGATGGGGTTGGATCAAAATCATCACTTGTAGCTTCTGGAACAATAGCTAAATAAGTGGCAAAATAAAGTGTTGAAAAAAATTGAATAGTGATACCTGTGTATAATGATCTTCTTCTACCAATATAATCAATCAAAAAAAAGGCACACATATAAGCTGAAAAGAATTTAACAACACCCAAAACTGCAGTCATTAATAATTTTTTGGTTCCTTTATAACCAACCATTGCTGTTAATTCTGGCATATAAATAGTAACTGCATTAGCACCTGACCATTGACCCAATATTTGTGCAGCAATACCAACAAATAATCTATATCTAATAGATTTAACTAAAAACAACTCTTTAAGCAAATCAACTCTAGATTTCTTACCAGTTTCTTCACGTTCTTCAATCAATTGTTCTTGAATATCTGAAATTTCACTAATAATATAAGGATGATTTTCATCTAAATTTCTAATCTTGGATAAATTTTTAAAAGCTTTTTCAATTTTACCAACTTTAACTAACCAACGAGGAGATTCATTACAAAGCCATGATCCAATAAATAATAATCCACCAAGTATAATCTTTACAGAAGTTGGCATGATCCATTGTTTCGCTGATGAACTTGAAACGTGTAATGCAGTACCATAATTTGCAAAATATGCAATCATAACACCAAAATAAACAGCACCGGCAAAGACACAATTACATAACCCTCTGATAGATTTTGGTGAAACTTCTGAAAGATAAGTAGGTCCAATCACAGTAGTTTGACCAATAAATAAACCTTCAATCAATCTCCCTGCATATAATTGACCCACTGATTTTGACGTTATTTGAATAATCCCACTAACTATCCATCCAATACAGACAACTTGTAATGTTCTAATTCTACCCAATTTATCAACAAGATACATAGCAATAAGACACCCGCCAATTGAACCCAATTGAACCATGGAAGTTATATTTGATTTTAAATTTGCCAATTGTGATGATGTTTTAGAAGGATCTTTTAAACCAAATTCTTTAATGAATGACGTTTGAGCAACACTACCAGAGATGTTACCTTCATCATAACCTCTTGCACAACCCAATATACCAAATACAAATACTGATATATATAAAGTCTTGTTGAAAATTTCTGGTGGAGAATTATCATTATTGAAGAATTTCTTCTTTAAGGAGAATTTCTCTTTTGATGGTGTATGTTTCCCAATTGTTTGTGTAAGTGTCATTGTGACTAAACCCTTTTATGTGGATTTCAGAAAGATAGCCAGTTTGAAAGCAGGATCTTGTTCAGTATTTATAAGCTCTAATCAATTGGTATCAGAGGGGCTTCAGATCAACCGGTATGAACCATTAAGTCTTCCTCACCAACGGTCTGTAACAATTTATAACCCACTTGTGCAAAACCTTGAATAGCAATGTGCATAGACTATGTTCTTTACAAGGGAAATTAAGGGTACCTGTCTTAGAAACCAGTCATTCATCTTCTGTTGGGAAATTTGAGTATTGGGTATTGGGTACCTATAATTGTGAGGGCAAATTTCCTTATTCTGTTCATAGTAGCCTAATTGTTGTGATTTTGTCCTTTTGGTTAGGTCATGAATCCGATATCTAACAGCATGAATTCCACAACGTACCATGTGTATAAAGCAGTGTAGGATAAGCTCTAATGTGTCATACTGGTTATTACTGGGGGTCTAGTCCAGTTCAGTCACGGTTGTTTACAACTGATTGTCGTTGAACTAGTGGAATCTTTCTCTCGTATCGTGGTGTTTGCTGGGAAAAAACTTCTGGTAGGAACCCTCCGGCTGGTGATGAAACCCAAACCGTGATCAAGAAGATTTGAGTCAGAGATAAAAAGTACCCACTAGTGGTGAAAGATAAGTCTGACTGATATGGTGTAGCGTAAGAGAATGAATGACAATGTAATGTACTACACATGATGGTTTTAAAGTGACCGTTGGAATGCCCAGTTCTTGGTATAGCTTGTCTAATTGTTCAACGCTCGCGAAACGCCAAAAAAGCTTGGTTAGGCTTGAATTGCCTAAACAGAGCACCACAGTCCAAACAACATAGGCTAGTGTGCTGGGTCCCTGTTCCAATCGGAAACTTTGAGCAGAAAACAACTCAGGGACTACCTATGTTGTATTCCCAGGGAATTGAGATGGAGAATTAGATACAGCCGGTTGGGTTGGGGTAGGTGCAATTACTGGAATAGGTTGAAATAGTGAAGAAGTAAAGAATCAAGATGTAGGAATGGTTAAAATCGGAATCAGATATATGTTCATCTTTTCAATTGTACGAGACTTTATGATTCTTTCCTACAATTATACGTGTCTTGATTGGCTTCGTCTCCACAAAATTGCAACTGTATGGTGGCTCGGATTCCTGTTTGCGACTCCGTCAAGCTGGTGGAGGTGGAGGTGATTGTTACGCGTTTAACACGGCTCGCAGATACGGTGCTTGATGAATAGCAAGTCTATGGATATTAATGGAATGGTTGGTGGAATAGGTACCAAAAGAATGCTTGAAATCATGACTGATGAAGTTCAGCTAACTTATAGGTTGCTTCAATTTGTGCATTCATCCATGTCAATGAAGATCTAATCATATAGGCTATCTGTATGCCCCACTACAACACTTAAATCAAGAGTCTCAAGAGTGAACCAAAGCGTGTTGTACAGATTCAATTGTTAGTCTCTCAAGTTTAAAGTGCTGTAGTCCGTTTCTAGTCTAGGAACTCTGTGCTTTGTCGTGAAACTTGAAGTTCAACAAAATGCAAGTTACTCCAAATCAACGGGTGTCAGATTCAAAACCTTAACCATGATTAGGCGTTGAGATTTATGGTTCTAATTATTAGTCTGCATTACTTGCTAAACTTGACACATCAATTGTTGGTGTGAGTAGCTTTGCTCTCAAACTTCATGTGCTCATGAATATGAAATCATTCTGCATCTTTACTATCCAAGGTTTGGTGTTGTACTCTTCTCCCCTGCTTCAACTCAGTATTCTATATTCTATATGTACAGCAGCTTTATCCCAAATATATTCTGAGGTTTGCAGGAATTTGATTACTATAGTTGGTTCAGTGTATGAAAGGCTTTTCAATCAAGATCCGATATTACAACACGTCAACTAAACCACACGATCAGGCACAAAACTTCATCGACTCGGTTATTCAAAATGTTGACCGTGCTCTATACCCTGCTTAGTCTGACATTTGGAAAGCTGAAGGGACCCTTTGAAGGATTTCTGTACCTGAAGGCTTTCGATGTGTCGAGCTTTCCATGATGTTTGTTTTGACCGGAAGACTGCACCCGGAGCTTAGATCTGGGGTAAATTCTGAGAGATCCAACTTTTTAAAGCTTGAAATATTTTCTCAAGATTCACTGAAAATTGAGCAATCAAAACATTTATGAGATAGATATTTGAATAGAGAAAGAGAATGATTACAAAATGTCGTTTTCTTTGACTTTGAGGTTAGGTAACTGATACGAATTCAAGGACAGGTGTTAAAATTAGAGCTTGTCGCGAATGCCATGAATATCCGGAGAAAGATCTTGTTGCAAAAAAATGAACAAGGGGTACAACTTTTCTTTCTTTATACTATTTGAACAGATCATGTTTCCAAGTTCCAACTCGCTGAGGGTATATTTGAATTGACTACTAGTTTTGATTTTTGAAAGACTGACTGTTTATCCAATTGCAATACAAATATGCTTTTGTTTGAAGGTTCTATCCTCTGTGACTTCATCGTGTGATGTTGATCATATCTAAACATTATTATAACAATATTAATTATCAATCAATTAAGATCACCCATTGTTATATACCATACTGTTCCTGAACTGAAATCTAAGATAGTTTTCCAAAGGTTTCTTTTCAAAAATATGGGTATACTACAGATTTGTGTTTGATCAACTGATATTCCTTGAATCTTTATACAATAGGAACAGATGTTGGTCCTTGAAATGCATGAAATTTTTACCGTTCTTCAGCTTTACAATGATGTAGTATAATCGGTGCTCAACAACGCTTAGCAGAAGCGCTTGGGATGTCTTTCTAATGAGACGTTAGAGACTTTGGCGAAGTATTAGTTGCTACACTCTAAATTATAACCAACTAAAGACAATCCTAACTAGGCGCTGGCTATAAATTGACCATTTGATTAGTATAATTATCATTATTATCTAATAATTTCTTTGTGCTTTATATATTTAAAAAACAGCTGTACAACGAATTAGATTGACTAATTTATATATTTATAACTAATCATATACTAATATTAATAGTACGTCGTATAGCTTCTGGCGAGATGTCGTCGTCGACGCCTGCGGTGGCGTGAAGTTAATTATATCATGAATATTTAATTATTGGCCAATTATTAGCTTCACAACTAGGACATTACGACTAATGTCCTGCTGTGATCTAAGTGGCTAAAGAATACCTACTATAGTGAGAATTGACACTATTATAATTGATTATATATAGTATTATAAAAATTTATATAAATTAAATTAATTTTGGAAGATTTATTTAAATGCTAAGTTAATTTCAAATAATCACAGCACAAATGAGGCCCTAGCTCAAAATATTTTTTTCAAAAAATAATGATTTCAAAGAAATAACAAGACTAGAATAATCTACTAACTTTTTAATACTACCATCTTATTTATTTCAAGGAATAGTTACAATAAAACTACAATTTGCAGCACTTACTTATGAACCTCGGACCGTAGGCTGAAAATTACATAATCTCCCGTATAACAAAAAATAAATGCGTCAAACTAAAAAAAAGTTTTCGGATTAATTTTTATGATGATCCTAAAAAAAGAAAGATTTGACATAAAAATTGGTGTCCTTTCTACACTGGAGGTCCAAAAGGTTGTCCATTCAAAATGACTGAACGTGTATTAAGGTGATGCTTCATGGGGCTACAAATTGGAATGCTGAGGTTTCAATCACCTGTTTCAGCTTGTTCACCATACTGTAATTAGCTACTCTCATATCACCGAAGCTAGGAATAAAGACACATTTTGTAGCCAGTTGTATCAGAGTATTTATCCTATATAGCCTCTTTTCATTTGCTAAATTGTAGTTAAGTACACAATTTGAAGCCTACACGTTATCAATGAATTGCCGGTCAAGGCATTCCAAAATTCATGTGTATGTGAATCAGATGTTGAAAAGTGTATCAATCTCCGATTGTTGAAATTTTTATGGCAGAAAAAAGTTTGCACAGTAATTAAAAGTAAATTACCATACGCGATCGTGTACACCTTTTTTTCTTACACAAACAATTTAATACGAATCAATAGAAAACAGGTGAAAAAGGGAGGAGGTTAGTAGATCCCCCAAGATCTCGTAACACTAGTATTAGAGCAACTAGCTTCCTAACTAACCCCAACAACACCATAGTAATTCATACAAATCTTTTAACACTTTGACACCTCTGAAATCTCTTCAGCCAGCTCTGGCACCACCCGAAGCACGGAATACACACAGCGAGCGGGGAGGGGCACACTTCCGGGCGTCGAGTAAAATTGCTGAATCGAGTTTTTATCCGGTTGGCTCCATAGAGGAGAAGTGTGAAGGAAGAACTGAGCGATGTTGGGTACGCTAAATAGGATTAATAGAGAGTATGAAATGTGGCACAAGATGGTGTAGACATGGTTGGAATGGTGAGAGTATTCCCAATAACAGAGGCCCTATGCTCTGACTCACCAGCCCATGGCTATTCCACCCAGCAAAGACTGGGCCCACAGCGCTGCTCCAGGGACAGTCGGATAAAAATGGAACTAACTAGATCGGGCACGGTACGCGCCACACACGCGCATTGTTGTACTGGTTTTTTCTGATTCTCGATGAGCTAAATACTAGTTAAATAGGGAATATAGCTGTTTTCTTCCTATCTGCTACAAAACCACATCCTATACACCGCTATCCTCCAGATTTCAAAGACAAGGAAGCTCTTTTTGGTTGTTGTCCTGCTGTTGCTATCCTGCTTTCTCCCTGGTCTCATTTAAGACTCATCTTTACATATTCAAATATCTCATATATATTCAGGCCATACTGCTCCAATCATGCTAAGTTATAAATCCCTAAGACAGATCAACATCAATAACTTGAAAACAATGACTATTAGCTCTTCAAGAAGTTATAGCTCTCCATCTGCTAAGGCTCAAGCCACAGCTACTCTAGACAACACAATGGGTCGTCATCAAGCTGCTACATCTCATGACATCAAGAGACCTATTGGTGAAGCTGCCAAAGCTCAAATAAACACCCCAAAGAGAACTAGATTAACAGTTGAAGGTCCAATTGAATGTTCCCTTTCCGGGTTCCAATTGTTAAACTCTCCTTTATTCAATAAAGGTTCTGCATTCACTGAAGAGGAAAGAAAAGCTTTTGGTCTTGAAGGTTTATTACCTGCTCAAGTAAACACTTTGGATGAACAAGTTGAAAGAGCTTATAAACAATTGTCATACCTCAAAACACCACTAGCCAAGAATGATTTCTGTACTTCAATGAGAATCCAAAATAAAGTTTTGTTTTATGAATTAGTTAGAAGACATATTAGAGAATTGGTTCCAATCATTTATACACCAACTGAAGGTGATGCCATTGCCGCTTATTCTCATAGATTTAGAAAACCGGAAGGTTGTTTCCTAGATATCACCGACCCAGATTCCATAGAGAGAAGATTGGCAAACTTTGGCGAGGATAAAGATGTTGATTATATCGTTGTTAGTGATGGTGAAGGTATTTTAGGTATTGGTGATCAAGGTGTTGGTGGTGTTAGAATTGCCATCTCCAAATTGGCCTTGATGACATTATGTGGTGGTGTGCATCCAGGTAGAGTTATCCCTGTTTGTTTAGATGTTGGTACTAATAATAAAAAATTGGCTAGTGATGATTTATATATGGGTAATAGATTCCCAAGAATTAGAGGTGAACAATATGATCAATTTGTTGATAAATTCATTCAAGTGCTAAAGAAAAGATTCCCTTCAGCCACTTTACATTTTGAAGATTTTGGTGTCACAACAGGTAGACCTTTATTACAAAGATATAGAAACCAATTGGCTTGTTTCAATGATGATATTCAAGGTACTGGTGCCGTCGTGATGGCTTCTTTAAGTGCTGCTTTGAAACATACAAATAGACAATTACTAGATTCTGAAATTGTCATTTATGGTGCCGGTTCAGCTGGGTTAGGTATTGCTGATCAAATTGTTAATCATATGGTTACTCACGGTGCCACCGTTGAAGAAGCCAAAGCTAAAATCCATACAATGGATGTTAGAGGGTTAATCCTTAAATCTATGAAGGAATCTTCAACTAAAGATCAACATTCATATGCTGATCCAGATTCAGAATGGGAAGGTATTGATACAAAATCATTATTGGAAGTTGTTCGTAAAATCAAACCAACTTGTTTGATTGGTTGTTCTACACAAGCTGGTGCATTCACAAAGCAAATCATCCAAGAAATGTATAAGCATAACCCAAGACCTATTGTTTTCCCATTATCAAACCCAACAAGATTACATGAAGCCTTCCCAGTTGATATCATGGAATGGACAAATAACGATGCCCTAGTTGCTACAGGATCTCCTTTCAAACCAGTTGACGGTTATGTCATTTCAGAAAATAACAATTGTTTCTCATTCCCAGGTATTGGGTTAGGATCTGTTTTATCAAGAGCTAAAGTTATTAGTGATAGAATGATTTCAGCCGCCGTGGACCAATTAGCTGCATTATCACCTCTAAGTCGTGATCCAAAAGCTGGTTTATTACCACCATTAGAAGTTATTAATGATACTTCTGCAAAAGTTGCAGCTGCTGTTATTTTACAAGCTTTAGAAGAAGGTAATGCCAAAATTGAAGATGAAGTTCAACCAGGTAAGGATGAATATGTTAAAGTCCCAAGAGATTTCGATGCTTGTGTTGAATGGGTTAGATCACAAATGTGGAAACCTGAATATAGACCAATGATTCAAGTTGAACATAGGGAAGATATACATACTCATCAATATTGAGTTGGAATTTTTTAAAGTTTTTGTTATGACATTTAAAAAGAGAGTTAATTTATAGAGATACATTGTGGATACAGTGACAAAACATTGGATAAAACTAATTTAATACAAAAAAAATAGAAAATATTAAAAAAAATGTTGTAGTTTCTGATACATTCTGAGGTACAGATACGTGTCAATAAATGTCTGGTAGGGACAGTTCAGACGCTAAAATGTGATTTTCAGGGGAGAGAATCTAGACATTCTGCTTAGTACATTCAAAATTACTCGAGATCATGAGATCTAGATCTTTTATAAATAATCCCTCTCGACAAAGAAGTTGGTCCCTTCTTTAACAGTATTTCTCCAAGGCTCAAAGTGAACAATTTCTTTATAGTTTGAAAAATTTCGTACCTTAAAAATTTTCGCGTCGCATTTTCCAATTCGCGATTTTTTTCTCTTGTGAAGATCTAGATTGATCAAAAGACCAGTGAAATTGGGCTATAATTGAAATTGAAATAACAACGTCCAACTTAGTTCAACTCATTGTTCTCTTTTATTTATCCAAGGAATAAATAGAAATGAAGGAACTAAAGAAACTCACCAAGGTTATCAACAAGAATAAAAAGCTCAAGGTCTCAATATATTCTTTGCTGATCATAACGATATTTGTTCAATTCTATCAATCAATTTATGGTATCTCTTCATCAAATCATAAACTTTTCAATACATTGATCAAAACACCATCAACTACTTCATCGTCATTATCTTCAAACTCATTATTTTCAATCTCCAAGAAACCTTTACCAAATAGTCTACCCAATGATGCTTCATTAAGAGAACAACTACATTTCCAATTCCCTTACGATTCAACAAAACCTTTCCCAAAGATAATATGGCAAACTTGGAAAGTCCCAATAACTTCACCAGATTTCAAATCAACCTTCCGTCGTTATACCAAAGAATGGGATGAAAAAAATCCAGACTATTTATATAACGTCATTCCTGATTCAGCTGCACATGAATTAATCAACCATTTATATTCCCCAATTCCAAAAGTCTTACATGCTTACAACATCTTACCCAAGACTATCCTCAAGGCTGATTTCTTTCGTTATTTGATCCTTTTCGCCCGTGGTGGTGTTTATTCAGACATTGACACCATGGGGTTGAAACCAATAGATAAATGGGTTTCAAACAATCAAACAATTTTCGAAACTCCAAATAATGCAGGCGTTGTTATCGGAATTGAAGCAGATCCTGATAGACCAGATTGGAACGATTATTATGCCAGAAGAATCCAATTCTGTCAATGGACCATACAGAGTAAACAAGGTCATCCAATGTTGGGGGAACTGATTGCTAAAATTACTGAAATTACATTGGAGAAAGAAAGAGAAGGTGTTTTGAATAAAATCAAAGGGAAAGATGCAGGTGATGATATAATGAACTGGACAGGTCCAGGGATTTTCACTGATGAAGTTTTCAAATATTTGAATGAAGTTATAACATTAGATTCATCTGTTAAAATTATAAATAAGACCCCACAAAATGAGTATAATCAAGGTTTAGATATTTTCCAGAAAGGTGTTAATTGGAGATTCTTCACATTGATGGAACACCCAATCATATTGGATGATGTACTTGTGTTGCCAATCACTAGTTTCAGTCCAGGTGTTGGTCATATGGGTTCAAAATCTCCAAGTCATCCTTCTGCTTATGTTCGTCATATGTTTGAAGGTAGTTGGAAACCTGATGCTGAAAGAAATATTATCGTAGATGAAGAGCCAAAAAAACCTGCATTACAAAATGTTGTCGTTCAATAGATGATTTATTGCTTCTCGTTTAGTACGTAGTTAGTTTGTAAAAAAAGTCCCGTTAAGATTAAATTAAAAACACACAATGAAAGGAAAGGAAGAAAAAAGGCTATAATATAGTACAGCTTGACTTCTTCTTCTTCTTCTTTTGTGGCTGACTAGCACCTGAAGTATTAACTTTACCTAATGGTTTTGGTGCCACTTTTTGTTGCTTTGATTGAGAACTAGGCACAGGTTTTTGAACATTAGTTTTTTGTTGTTGTGGTGCAGTTGAAGAGGATGTAGCAGCATTAGGTATAGCTGAACTATCCGTGCTATCTTGTTGTGTTTGCTTTTGGTTTTCTAATGATTCATTTCTCATTATCTGTCTAACAACATCGATAAAAGCTTCATCAACATTAGTTTTATGCATTGCAGAAGTTTCGTAAAATGGGACTCTACCCCATTTTTCACTAATTTTAATACCGTCTTGAGGTTGCAAAACTCTTTCATCAACTAAATCACATTTGTTACCAATTAAAACCATAGGCACATTTGTTGAATCTTTAATTCTTAAAACTTGTTCTCTTAATGCTAATAATTCTTGTAATGAACTTTCATCATTAACAGAATATACTAATAAAAACCCTTTACCACTCTTGATATATAATTCTCTCATTGCAGTAAATTGGGCAACACCTGCTGTATCCAAGATTTCCAAATCACAAGCACGTCCATCAACTTCAATTTGTTTACGATACGAATCTTCAATTGTTGGGTCATATGAATCTATGTAAACACCTTGCACGAATTGTACGGTTAATGAGGATTTACCAACACCACCAGCACCAAGAACAACGATTTTGTAATCTGCAGAAGGTTAGTAAAGATAAGTTTGGATGTTTGACATTCACATACCTCTCATGATAATTGTTATGTAAAAGCCCTGACTATGAGATTAATGAAATAAATAAGCAACAAAAAAATAATGCAAATGAATGGGTTCCAAGCGAGTGCGATTATATAGTGAGCTAAAGATGAATGAAACTCTTTCTAGTTGAATATTGATACGTTCTAAACTAAAAAGAAATGGGTTGAAGATTGTGGATTTCGTTATTTTTTTTTTTTTGAGCATTTCACGAAAATTCAAACTTCTGTTTAAGGAAAGTCAACAGGCGAGTTGCATTTGGGTTAGTGAACGAGGAAAATAGGCTATTAAGAGTTCAAAAGGATGCTTGTGGATTACGAGAGTAATTTTTGGAGGTAGTGTATAACCAGGTTCGGTCTTTTCAGGTCCTGAAAATGTGCAATTTTGGCGTTTTTATTGATATCAGACGCGTTCCTGAATTGACACGAATTTTATTTTTGGAGAAAGCAGGATCTAAATTTAATTTGAATCGAAACAATAGGATTTTTATGATGGATAAAGTTACAATTTTAATTTCAAAGTGTCATTAAATATGCTTTATTTCGATTCATTCTATTTACAAGTTTTCATATCGGGCCTCGATCTTATTTCTTTGAGGACAACTCCTTAACAATCTTACCCACAGTGGCCTTCACTGTATCAATTGAAGCATTCCACTCAGAGGCAGCTTTATTCCAGTCAACTTCTTTGAAAACAACTTTAGGATTTAGTTTACCTTCAGTTTTTTGTTTAAGTTCTTCAATTTTAGCATTAACATTTCCCACAATTTCTTCTTCACTTGCAACTTTTAAGGATTTTGAATATTCATTAACTAGTGAAATTGCTCTCTCTTCTTTTTCAACGAGCTCTGGTCTTCCATGAGATTGATACTCTTGAACTGAAGTCTTCATTTGATTTAGGATTGATCTATAGATTTCAAAAAGAACAAATTCGGTATGTTTTGAAGGATCAAGTTCTAATTCTTTGTTCTTGATAGCTGTAAGTAAGTACTTGATTGTGTCTTTTCTATTAAAGAGTTGTCAGTTTGAATTCTTATAATATTAGAGATACTGCTCACCTTTCAGCATCTTTGGCCAACATGGCAGCCTTCATATCTTTTCTCAAAGTTGTAGTGGCTTCTTTATACATGGTGCTCACATTTCTCAATTGAAATTGAGCTGGACTTCTAATTGAAGATCTAATGACTCTGGAAAACATCTTGGATACTCTTCTTTTAACCTCTTCACACTCAACATTATTACACTTTATGATGTTCTCCTCGAGATTTTTTTTCACCATACATTTCAATTTTTTTGAAACCGGGACACAACATTATAAAGTACTACTACAGAAATTTCCTTTAATCAACACCACAAAATTTCATTATTACGTACTTTTTGAACTTTCCTTCTCAAGATATTCAGTCCATAACGACACAAAGCTTTCTCTTGAGCTTCTTCTACCACTCGCACTACCTGCTTGAATGAATCCAGCTTGAACTTTCTTATCTTCATCCCAATTTAGGAAATTTGAAAGTAATTGTAAAACTTCAAATTTTTTAGTATCACCTCTTGGTATTTGTAAGAATGATATCAACAAGTTCGAAATCAATTCCCTATCCACAGTTTCTGAGCTACTGTTTCTCTTAATCAATTGTAATGCTTTGGTTAAATGTTCATTTAATATCACAGCTTCATGACGCAATTTACCAATTTGTAGTTGTTTTTCTTTAACTTCATGTTCTAGTTTGGAAACTTTTGTGGATTCTTCTTTTAGTTTGTCATTTTCTTCTTGTAATGTTGCTATGTTTGTTTTGGTTTGTGCTAATGATTCTTCTAATTGTTGATATGCAGATATTTGTTGGTCCAATTTTGATTGGGATGCTTGTTCAGATTCTTCTAATTGTTTGGTTATTGACACCAATTTTTCATCTTTCTGAGTGATTTGGGATTGAAGACTAGTAATTGTATCGTTGAGTTCTTTCACTTTATCATTTAATTCTGTTATTTCATTGTTTAATGATGTGTTTATAATTTTGTCATTTTCTAATGTGATTAAATATTCTTCATTATTTTGTTTCAATGCTTCAATTTCACGTATTTGTTTATGAGTTGTACTAGATAAGTCATTTTTCTCATTTATCCAATCAGATTCTTTTTGTTCAAGTTCTTTACGTAGATTTGTTAAATCTTGGCTCAATCTATCACACTCAGAATTCAAATCAATACTTTCTTCTTTCAACAATTTCAAGCTTTTCTCCAATTCACTCTTTTCTTTGTTAACTGAATCTATCTTCTGCTTCAAATTCAAGTTATGTTTTTCATACTCTGATAATTGTTCTTGAGTTTGTTCCAATTCATTTTGCGCTTCCTTCATCTTACTGAAAACTGATTTCATTGATCCCAGTCTACTCAACAATGCTTCATACTGCTGTTCAACTCTCTCTTTGGCAGATTCAGTTTCTTCTAATTTGGACTTTAATGATTCAACTTCTTCGCTTGGAGATGTTGATTCAATTGGAGTTGGTTTGACTTCTTCAGCTTTGGAAAGTTGTAGTGTCAATTGTTCGATTTTCTCCTCTAGTTCTTTGATTTTGTCTTTATCCTCACTCGAGTCACTGGATCCATTGATCTGTTCACTTTCAGTTACTTTCTTGTCATCAACATCATCTTCCTCCTTGGATTCGTTTTCAACATTTTGTTTTTCTTTTGATTCAGATTCACCATCAATTTCAGGTTCCTCTTGGGCCTTTTCTTGAGCTGTATTTTCTTCTGGAGTCTTTGCCTTGGAGGCAGCAGTGGCAGCAGCAGCAGCCTTCTTCTTGTTGTTATTCTTCTTAGCCATACTTCAACCCAACAACCAATCAACTTTTGTATTCAGTTTTATTCACTTCAGCTTTTTGACGTTGTTCTGCTGTTCAAAAAAACAACAAAAAAAAGTTCACATTCGCGAAACTTTTTTCCAACGCGCGCAAACGAACGAAATTTTAAAACGCGTATAACTGGTGCTTTCTGAGGACAAAGACATTTGAAAGCATCAAAGAAATTGAAGATGGTGGACATCAGAGACTTCTTTGGGAATAGTGGTAAGAAGAGTGGAGGAAGTAGTGCGAAAGCTACACCAAAAGTATGTTGAAATTAGGTTGCAATTGATCCAATACTAATAATCCCTTTTATAGAAACCCGCAAAGTCAGTTCCTGCTAAAAGATCTAGACCTATCTCAATCTCAGATGATGAAGATGATGACATTGTCGAAGTGAAAGATCCAAAGAAAGCCAAGAAGGCACCAGAACCAGCGCCGGCTCCAAAGAAGTCAGAATTCTTTGATAAATCAAAAAAATCAACCACAGCACCTAAGGCTAAGAAGAAGAAAGATGATGACTTTGTCGTTGATGATGATGATTTCATAGATCTGGATGACGACGATGATGATTTCATGGAGGATTTGAAAGAATTGGAGGCTTTACCAAAAGCAAAAACTTCAACCAGATCCAACACAAAGGCTGAAGAGAAACCAGAACCAAAAGTTACAAAACCGACACCAAGTCCCAAGAAGAAGGCAGCACCTAAGTCAACTCCTAAATCAGCACCGAAAAAGACATCGAGTGGTGGCGGTGGTGAAGTCACTGCACTTGATGTTTTATCAAAGATTGAAGATGCTGAATTACCAGAAGATATCCCAACTGGTGAAGGTTTCAACTATCGTGATTTCAAAGCTCGTCAATCAGACTTACCTGTACAATCGGGCTCACTAGAGATTCCAGAAGGTGCACCAAACTGTTTAACTGGGTTAACAATGGTGTTTACAGGTGTGTTACCAAATTTACCAAGAGATGATGCTGAAAATTTAGCTAAGAAATATGGTGCAAAAGTTACAAAATCAATCTCTTCGAAAACTTCTGTTGTTGTTTTAGGTGAAGAAGCTGGTCCAAGTAAAGTGCGGAAAATAAAACAATTGAAGATCAAGGCAATTACCGAGGATGGGTTCATTCAATTGATCAAAGGTATGCCAGAAGAAGGTGGTGGTGGTGCAGAAGCTGAGAAGGCTAGAGCTAAAAGAGAGGAAGAAGAAAGAAAGGCATTGGAAGAATCAGTTAGACTGCAAGAAGAAGAAGAAGCTGCCGCAAAGAAAAGAGAAGCTGCTATAAAGAAAGCCCAAGCTTCTGGTGATTATGCAAGTACCTCTAAGTTGAAAACTGATGCTGAAAAGTTATGGACTGTTAGGTATGCTCCTACAAGCACATCACAAATTTGTGGTAACAAGAGCTCAGTCACAAAATTACAAACCTGGTTAGAACAATGGCCCGCAAAATTTGGAAATAGGAAACCTGCTAAAGGTGAGTCTGAAATGAGGGCTGTCTTGATTCATGGTCCTCCTGGTATTGGTAAAACTACAGCTGCACATCTTGTTGCCAAATCTTTAGGTTATGATATTTTGGAGAAGAATGCATCAGATGTTCGTTCAAAAGGTTTACTTAACGCAGGTGTTGGTAATATTTTGAATAATAGTTCAGTTATGGGGTTCTTCAATCCTTCAGAATCTAAAAACTCAAATGGGGATAAGTTTTGCTTAATCATGGATGAAGTTGATGGTATGTCTGGTGGTGATAGAGGTGGTGTTGGGCAATTAGCTTCATACTGTCGTACAACTCAAGCTCCAATTATTTTGATTTGTAACGATAAATCATTACCTAAGATGAGACCATTTGATAGAGTTACATTAGATATCCCATTCAGAAGACCTTCAGCTAAAGAAATGAAGTCAAGATTAATGACTATTGCATTGAGAGAAAAAATTAAATTGGATCCAAATATCATTGATCAATTAGTTCAAGCAACAAGTAATGATATAAGACAAATCATTAATTTATTATCCACAGTTTCTAAAACTCAAAAAAATATTGATTCTGAGAATTCAAACGATATAAGTAAAGCATGGCAGAAAAACATTGCATTAAAACCATTTGATATAATACCTCGTTTATTAAGTGGATCTAATTATTCCAAAAATTCACAAGTCCCATTATACAAGAAAATGGAGTACTATTTTGATGATCATGCATTTGTTCCATTAATGTTGCAAGAAAATTATCTAAATTCTAAACCAGCAAACGGTGGATCCAAGTTGAAACATTTGGAATTAGTTGCTAATGCAGCAGAATCTATATCTCAAGGTGATTTAGTGGATCGTAAGATTCATAGTGCAGAACAACAATGGAGTTTGATGCCACTGCATGCAATTATGTCAACAGTTAGACCTGCTTCGTTTGTTGCAGGTTCATTAGGTGGTCGTGTTAATTTTACTGCTTGGCTAGGGCAAAATTCAAAAGCTGGTAAATATTATAGATTATTGACCGAACTACAATATCGTTCAAGATTACGTACATCTACTGATCAAGTTGAATTTAGATTGGAATATATCCCAGTTTTAGCTAAAAAATTATTAGATCCTTTAGTTGAAGGTGGTGCTGATAGTATTCCAGATATTATTGAAATATTAGATCATTATTATTTAAACAAGGCAGATTGGGATTTCTTGATGGAATTTCCTATTGGTGAAGACGTTACCCAAGCTAAATTAAAAAAGATTCCAACTGCAACAAAATCCAAATTCACAAGAAAGTACAATTCATCATCTCATCCAATCTCCATCTATAGACCTGGGTTATCCACTGGAGTCTCCAAACCAAAGAAAGATGCACCAGACCTTGATGATGTTGTGGAGGATGATCCAGAACCAGAAGAAGACCTCATTGACGAATAGAGCTTTAAATAAATCAATTTCACACAACTGAAAGTTTATCCGAAGCGTATGGCTCTGTGGCCCGTAGCACATCTGTGGCGTGTACCGATTCTGGTTTTTTTTTTTCTTTCGTTTTTTGAAAGGGGCGCTTTAAAAGAAAAATCAACAAGAAACGGTACAATCGAAATTTGAACAGTTTTTGTATTGGAAAATTTATAATTTGGTGAAGAAGACGTAGAAATATCAATTCAAATTTGGTGCTGAACGAGGTGCAGTTCTTCTCCCATTCAAATCAACAAACACATCCAGCTGGCCAGGGTATTTACACGTCACGACGCGAATTGGTACAACCCTTGCTGAACCTGCAACTACCATAGATCACGAGAACAGAGAAGGCAATTGAAGAAATTTCAATAATAGGAGGTTATACAATCCAAATTAATAAAGTCTCCTATTCCATCTAAATGGATCAAGCCTAAATCATTGAGAAATACAACACATATCAAAAAGAGAATAAAAATATCAACCACATTCGCTTATAATCCAAACAATAGGAAAAACAATAACAATAATAAATCATGTCAGCACCACCACTATTGCGTCCACCAGGTGTTAATAATAAAAATCCAAAATCTCCAAGACTAAAGATACCCACACTAGCAGTGAACACACCTCCAAAGCTCACAATAGACACAAGTCCAAATGATCAGAGAGGTCCAACTGGTGGGTTTCTACAAACTCATCAAAGAACTGATTCTCACAACTCATCATCAGCTTCATCATTACTATCTAACAAACTTGCAAATCTAGAAATAACAGACTCATTGGGACCAAGCTCCATATCACATTCACCAACCCCGTCAACTGCAACGTCAGAGGCTAGCGCTGGTGTGTTTAGTGCTGATATAATTGCAGAGATTGATTCCTCTTCAACTTATAGTGTGAAGCATATGGGAAATTATGAAGATGAAGGTGAAGGAACATTACAAGTGCAACACAAAGATGTTAATGAATTGGATGAAGAAGGTTGGAGGATTGTATCCAAGAAAGGTGAAATTATAGAATTGGGTGTATTGGGTGAAGGTGCTGGTGGTTCAGTTAGTAGATGTAAATTAAAGCATGGGAGCACAGTGTTTGCACTAAAGACAATCATAACAGATCCGAATCCAGAGACTCAGAAGCAAATATTGAGAGAATTGCAATTTAACAAGAGTTGTAAAAGTCCCTTTATTGTTAAATATTATGGAATGTTTTTAAAAGAAGAGACAGCTTCAATTTGCATATCGATGGAATATATGGGTGGTCGTTCATTAGATGCAATTTATAAAAAAGTTAAACTACGTGGAGGAAGAATTGGTGAGAAAGTTTTAGGGAAAATTGCAGATTCCGTGTTGAAAGGTTTATCATATTTACATGAACATCGTATAATACATCGTGATATTAAACCACAAAACATTTTATTGGATTCGGATGGGAACATCAAATTATGTGATTTTGGTGTAAGTGGAGTTGTTGTCAATTCATTAGCGACAACATTCACAGGGACGTCATATTATATGGCACCTGAAAGAATTCAAGGACATCCATATTCGGTGACGAGTGATATTTGGTCATTAGGATTAACTCTATTAGAGGTTGCTAAGGGTCAATTCCCATTTGAAATGGATACAACAAATACTTCACCAATTGAAGTGTTGACATTGATTATGACATTTACACCAAGGTTAGAAGATGAAGATGGAATTGTTTGGTCTGGTGCTTTTAGATCGTTTATTGATTATTCTTTGAAGAAAAATTCATCAGAAAGACCTAGTCCAAGACAGATGTTGTCACATCCATGGGTTGTTGGACAAAGTAAAAAAAGTGTTAATATGGGTAAATTTGTTAGACAATGTTGGGATGATGTGTAATGAAAATTTTAATTTAAAATTGTTTAATGAGTATGATATAGATGATTGGGTAATCATCGATAATTTAGGGGCTTCTCGATAATTTAAGAAGAATGTAATAGAGAAATTAAGAGTGCAGTGAGCTACTACAAAGATTAAAACCTATAGTCATATCATAAATTTAATCAACAAAATAAAAAATCAACACACGATAAACTGAAAATCACCCATTATAAAACTCTTTTTAACATCCATCTCTCTTTCAAGTCCATTCTATTTATAAGTTTCCTTGAGGTCTAGTGATTGGCCATTGATAAGTACCTTCACTAGTGAAAACATAACCATGTTCTTTCAAGTATTCATGTAAAGTTTCTGGACCTCTAGAGCCATAAGGATAACTGATAGGAGTTGGAGCTTCTGGACCTTCCAAATATTCCAATAATGGTGTGAATAATTTCCAACTAACATCTAATTCATCATCTCTAACAAAGTTTGAATGATCACCATGTAAAGCATCTCTAATCAATGATTCATAAGCTTCTGGGATCCAGAATTGAGTGTATCTGTTCTTATAAGTCAAGTCTAGGTCAGTTAATGAAGTTGAAGTAGATAAACCTGGTTGTTTAGCATTCAATTTGATATATATAGCTTCATTTGGTTGGATTCTGATAACTAATTCATTTGGAGGAATTGAATCAAACATACCAGATGCAACTGGTTTATATTGGACTCTGACTTCAACTTTACCATCATTCAAAGCCTTACCAGCTCTTAAAATGATTGGAACACCTTCCCATCTTTCATTTTGGATCTTGAAAGGTAATGCAGCATAAGTAACGGCTTTTGAACCTGGTTTAACAGTTTCATCATCAGTATAAGCAGGTTTTGAACCATCTTCTGATTTACCATATTGACCAACAATGATATCATTCAAGTTTATCTGTTGGAAAGCTTTCAAAACTTTAACTTTTTCATCACGAACACTTTCCGGATCAAAAGAAACTGGTCTCTCCATAGTTAATAAGGTCAATACTTGTAATAAATGATTTTGCATAACATCTCTGATGATTCCGATATCATCAAAGTAACCACCTCTACCTTCAGTACCGAATGGTTCTTTGAATGAAACTTGAATAGATTTGATATGATCTCTATTCCATGAAGCATTTAAGATTTCATTACCAAATCTTAAAACTAACAAGTTTTTAACCAATTCTTTACCTAAGTAATGATCAATTCTGTATAATTCTTCTTCTGTAAATAATGGGGCCAATTGTTCTTGTAATTCTCTTGATGATTTCAAATCATGACCAAAAGGTTTTTCCACAATGACTCTAGTTATACCGTTTTTAGCATAAACATGTTCTTTCAATTGTTTACCAACATCAACAAACACAGAAGGAGGTAGAGCCAAATAGAATAAACGATGTGGTTCTTCAACTTTTTTTTCAGCTTCAAATTTTTCAATTTCAGAATTTAATTGTTTGAAACCTTCTGATGAATCATATGGACCAGAAATATATGTAATCAAACTTAAGAATTCAGAAACTTTACCTTTTGATTCTTCAGTTGGAGTTTTCAAAAATGGAGTAATACGTTCTTTCACTTCATCAGTTGATAATTTTGATCTAGCGAAACCATAAATTTTAGTAGTTGATGATAGGTAACCTTCTCTGAATAAACCAAATAAGGCTGGGAAAGTCTTCTTTTTAGCTAAATCACCTGAAGCACCAAAGACAGTGATTACAGTGTGTTCCTTGAATTCAACGTGTGGCATTGTATATAGGTTTTAATTTAACAATTGATGGCAAAAAGGTGTAAAGTTGCTGTTAGGGATGAGATGGCACAATAAAAAAAACAGCAATTGAAGTTTGTTTAAAGATCAATTGACTCAGTAGATATATGACCTAAAGTTCTCTGTAGTTTTATTGAAGTACAAAAATGGCACTCGTTGATTGCAGGTGTTTTTTGAGAAGGGTGTTGGACAAATTGGAAGCAAAGGTTCAAAGTTTGGTTATATATCAAATCATCGAATCTTTAAACGGAGGCATCCAATCCGCCTAAATTTTTTTGTGTCTGACAAAATCACACGTGACAATTGTGGATTATGTAACAATAGTAGCCGGAAAAACTTTTACAAGAGCTCAAGAGCATCAATTTGTTGAGAGAAAAGGGGGATTTTGAAGGCTGTATTAGTTGGGGGTATTGTAGTTTGGATTAGGTGTTTTTTTCTTGCTCTGGTGGTTGCAATTGGGTGGGTTTATGGTGTTCTGGGATTGAAGGAACCAGATTAGCCTCGCTCAAGATGTTGACGAATTGGCGAGCTGATTGAGCTGAGTAAAGCTCCTTGATTGAGCGAGGGGATCGGGTAATTAAACCGTGAACAATATATTGAAAGGAGAGAGGGCTTCTTAACTATGGCCATGTTCAGATTTAGCCATCTATTCTTCTATACTATTGAGTCACAATCCCACCCCTACTCAATCTTAAAATCAATTAATCATCATCTGGAAGATTAACATTTGAAATAATTGTCCGCTTTTAACGGAACACCGATTATTATCATAGGCTAGAGGGTAACACTGCCTAATCTAGCACATATTGCCGACAGTTGAATCGATAAATATTTGGTGGAAGTTTTTTGATATTTAATTTAACAATACAGTTATAGAATCAACATGATTTGATCAAGTGAATAGAAATGGATGTGTTGTTTTGAGAGCATACAGGATCTAAAGCACATTTATGTTCGAGATGTAATGAATTTAACCAACTTATTAGGTTTTGTTGCATTGACAAGATAATTTCATCAACTAGTATAAAAGAATACCAGAACTCTGGCTTAGGAAACCGTTTTTTAACTTGGCTAAGGAGATCAAGAATCAAGAACAAGGTTGTTCTCATCTGCAAACTTTGCTGCAATCATGGAACTCATATTGAACGCATTTCACAGCTCATATCTCATTCATCAACCTGTGGAGTTCCAGTATTTGTTTATCATCTTCTAGGATGAACATGGCTTTCAGATCCAAACTTTAATATGCTTAGGATAAACTCATGGGTGTGAATTCAATGTGTCGCTTAGTATATTATATTTCTGATAAGTACATGAATATGTTTGAATTGCAAGAGAATACAATAAGATAATTGAGACATAACGTCATAAATATGAATTGTTACTGCATCATGATAAATATGAGTCATGTTTACTTAGGAAAGTGTTATAACTTCTTATGATCTGAAGAAGGGTTAAGTGCCTTTTCAATAGATCACATAACTTCTATTCAATTCATTTCAATGTTGCACAACAGCTTATTCATCAAATATTGGTACATATTTCAAACAACAACAGTCTGATATTCGTCAAATTCTCAATTCAATACCGGCCTTCCACCACTACCTTCGTCGCACTGTACTACTGGAGTTATTAAAAAATTGATTTAAGAAGGTCCAATATCGAAAACGTGATAACAGACTACCATTTTTAATGAAGATACGACCGAAACAGTCTATGTTACGAGAAGCAATTTGTTCATGAGGCCTCAACAGCTAGCTTCACTTCCTTGAGATTCCAGACTTATCAAACTGGGTCTTGCATTGTAAAATCTCATAAATTGCCAGCCTCATCTATATATTGATGAAGAAGTTGTAATTAATCTTCATTGGGTTTACCGGAAGCACCAGGCTGAGACAAATGATGACGAAGAACATAGACGTCAGTGGTCAATCAAATAGCAAATACCACAATCATTATTTATTATTTGTTTTTGACCGTTTGATATAGATAGATAGTTATCTTCAGGCCTTTTGACTATGGCACTGTTGTCGATTCTAAACAGAGAATTATGCAAAGTCTGCCTATTTTCCCGAGAGGTAAATGAATCTTCCTTGGATATCCAGCGGACTTCTTAGCTCAAGTCCACAAGCGCACTTGCGACAGTTGGCCTGTTATATCCATCCGCCAGCACATTTCATCTCCATTTTCCAGCCTTTGAAAACTTGAAAATGAAAGGGTACTTTGACTCCTTTGCCACTGGCCTGTGGAGCTAATGAATCACCATGAGTATTTTGCCTTGAATCAAGCTTCTCCCACCTAGAGTGTACCTCAATTGGCTCTTTAGGAACTCTCCGTCAGCAGCCCTAGGCAGAACTAATGAGCCCATGGCGCCAGGGGGCTCCGGCTGAGACCGCCAAAAGGTGGGAAAAAGAAACGCGATATCCGAGGGCCCTTTCTGACTGAAAAAATCTGTACAAGTAGATTTCCTTCTTTTAAAAAGCGTAATCATCGCCAGTTTGGAAAACTTGCTCATGACACAAGTTTTTGGAATATTTTTTTCTTGAAAAAACCAAAGATTTTCACATCCTTATTCATTTCAGTATTCACCAATTTGCCCTAGTTCCAATTCACACGAGAAGCTTCTGATCGTGTGGCCGACGTGTTTTTTTTTGTTTTGTTTTTCCCGCGAATAGCAGGCCTTTTGAGTTTTTTGCTACCAATTTTAGTGGGTAAGAGGTGGTTGAAAGGTTTTTGATAGTCGGTGTTTTTTTTTTTGCAGAACCATATCCTTGGGTAAAAAGATTCAAATCTGTAATTTAATTTGTGCTTCTTCTCATATAGACTCGTGCTTGTTCAAGGTGTTGACGAGTCATCTCTTTTGAAGATTCCATCATGAGCAACAATATGAATGCAGTGTGCATAGGTTGTCGTTTAAGGAGAAAGAAATGTGACAGAGGCAAACCAATATGTACGAGTTGTTTGGAGCTAAATATTAGTCCAGATTTATGCATTTACCCTAAATCAAAGCTACAGCTTGCCTCCAAAGATTCCAAAATAACCTTGGATTTATTGAGAAGTAAAAATAAAGAACTGAAGGAAGAATATGAAGCGGTAAAAGCTGGCGAGAAACCATCAACCAACTCTTTGCAAAACAACAATGTTGTCCTTAGCAGTCAAAACAACCCAAGTGACAAGATAGACAACACACCAATAAACCCATCCGCAGAGGTTCTAGGATTCGTTCAAGATCCAATAAATACCACAGTTAAGGAAACAAACGAATTTTTATTACATTGTGGCCCATTATCATGGGTCTCTTTAATGAGTTTTGAAAAAGATTTTGCTCAATTATGTCTTCAATTTGGACAAATTATTGCAATAGCTAAAGATCTTCGAAAGGATTCAAGACGTGGTGAATTCATCGATCAAGCAGATTCAGATACTCGTTTTAATGATATTAAAAGTAGATTATCCAGAATATTGTTGGGGATTGACCCAAATGAAAACATTTTCAAAGTTATGGAGGAGCTTTTCCTGGAGATTGAAAATAGATTGCCTCATTATGATATGGTTATGACTTTGATTGATAGATTCTTCATCACTACAAGGATCCAAAAGATGGGTGTGATTCAATTGAACGAAGATAGTTTTTATGAAACTTTGAGTCAAATTATTACAAAAGATTCAAATGGTCGTGTAAAGATAACTGTTAAATTTCCTGATGAATACTACAAGACCCCTGGTGTTTCATTATTGTTGTCAATTGTTGCAACGATGCTTTTCCAGGTGAATCAATTAGTCAATCCAATCACATCTGCTAATCATTTGTTGATTTTAGATTGTATAAAGGTGTTATTCGTTGGTTTTAGTATCTTTAAAAGAACATCACCAACACCCGAAGCTGTTGTTTCACCAGAGTTGGCTGTTCAACTATTGCAAGGGTTTCTATATTATGTTGGATTTGATCGTTATAATCCACATGGTCGTGAACATGAAAAAGCTGATAAGACAGGTGAGAATGCTATATGTGTTCGAAAGATGGTTTCTTATGCTAGAGCTTTGAAACTGAATTGTGATATTGAAAAGATTTATAGACATAAATCCAAGAATTATAGACGAAGTTTGAAAAGTATTTGGTTTGCATTGGCATTTTTTGGATATTGGAGAATCTATTGAGTTTGGGTTACCAACAAAGATCAAAAGGGATGAACTTTATTGTTATGATGATTGTCAAGATGAATATTCCAAATCGGTTATTGTATTGAATGAGTTGATTGCTGATTTCCAAAATATTGAAAAAATTTCAAATACGTTAGATTTCATCCAATTGGTGGAGAAGAATCTTATTACAAAAGCTAAAAACACATTAAGAGATTTATTTAAACCGATTCATGAAGATCTGAAAACTTTAAATGAGATGAACTTTGATGATTTATCATTAGTGCACAAGTTCATGGCCATCACACAAACTTTTAACGTCAGATTAACATTACTCACCTTAATTGAAACTTATTATCATCATTGTTTTGCTCGTTTAAAACAATCAGGTTATGATAACACTGATTTTTGCAAAAAGTATCAAATATTGGCAATGAAGTACTCATTATTAGTTTTCCAAGTGATATCAGGTATATTTTCAGCTTATAGAAGATTATGGGGTCATGAGAATAGTACAACATTTGGTAGTTTAGGTACAATTTTGGCAATTTTCTCCACAATGAAGTTTACTTTTAGAAGAGTCACTATTTTCGCTGGTGCTAGAGTATTTGAAGGATTACCAGTTGAAAAATCCACAGTTATTTTAGATTTGTTCGAATTGGGTAAAGAAACTGATTCTGAAATTTTGAATTATTTGTTGAGAACCCAAAAACATCCGTTTTTCACCATTGCAGATTTAGAAAATGGTGTCGTTGATAATCATGATGAAATTTTGCTAAAGAAATTTTCAATATTGACAGATTATAGATTTTCCATGTTGAGTGCTGCTGTTTCAATGTACAACTTGGCAGAATCATTGAACAATAGTCGTTATGATTTGAATTTTGTTCGATTGAATCGTGCATTTTATTTTGCTTTGAAACTGGTTTCATTTTTCACAAGATTAGAATATAGAAATGAAGTTTATGGGAAAGATAGTTTGACTAGCGGTAAGAATAAAAAGAATACCATCAATGAAGTCAATTTGGAAGAATTTTACAGACAAGCTATTAGCACTAAATCCAATGACGCCTTGGATCTGGAGATATTCTTCAGTGCTCCAAATTCAAGCGGATTTTTTTAAAGTATTGAAGATGGTGATTTTAAGAATTTGAAAACAACAAGGACGTTCTAGACTTATACGTTTTTTATAAAGAAGAAGACAATTTTTATAGATTGAAGTGGTTTGAGAGCACATTTGAAAGCAGACAAGAACTATTTATATGACGCAGTATTATTGGTGTTTGCGTTGAGTTGCTTATGAGTTTAATGATTTTAATGAAATGTGTTATAATGTTTCAAACAGTAATTTGATACAACAATATGTAGGTGAAACAATATTTTACATGGCCTACTAGCTACTAGCTACCTCGATACTGGATTGATCAGCCGAAACTGAATTAATTTCATCAGGCGTAATTAGAGTGTCACAAGATGAAAGGCGATAACAAGTCAGTGGTTTGAACTGCCAGTCAATCTCCCTGATAGTGTAGAATCTAGATTCTGGTTAGTTATCTTCAATGAATCTTTGGTTGCTAGTGGCAACGGGCGCTTTGGGCCTCGGAGAGCCAACAGAGAATTCTTAGGCAGACTCTATGCAAAGAGCTCTGCCCAGCGAGATGAGGGTACCAACGGGGTCCAGGCTCCAGGCAGCGGATGCTGAAAAACTACAAGGGCAGTCAACAGAAATTTATATAACAGCAACATCAGCCAACCCACTTTACACTAAACCTTCATCTTTGGAACTTCACCTGAAAGTTCAACCGCGTATTTTCATTGTGTCCAAGTCGCCAAAGTTAGTGCCGCTGACTGTTATTTTCGAATATTCGATACAGAAGGCTGCTTTCAAGATTTAGTCAGTTCAAAAAACAAACTAAAAAAATTCTTTGTCTCCCCAACATTGAATCAACTATCAAAAAACGGTTCATCAGCACCAGCAACGATTCATTTCGGTCAATAGTCTGTTGATAACCCCTGGATTACTCAACTTTATCAAGAGCCTTTTCATATAAGCTGAAAGTTTTTTCAAATCAAGGAAGGGCACAAGCCGCCGTCACTAGCAAGATGTCAACAACAACAACTGAATTTAACGAGCAAGACCTTAAACCATCAACTTGTATCGCGTGTCGACTCAGGAGAAAAAGATGTGACAGAAAACAGCCTATATGTACAAGTTGTGAAGAGCTAAACATCTCTCAGGATCTTTGTGTTTGTCCTCAAAGTAAGTTGGGACTTAAATCAAAGAATTCAAAAGTTACATTAGATGAGTTGAAGGAAAAAAATGAACGTTTACAACAAGAACAAGAATACCTTAAATCTATATTGAATGGTGAACTACCTGAACCTGATGTACGAATGAAATTAAGTCAAATCTTGAACTCAGAACAAAAGGTAAAAAAGCAAGATAGGAATTTATTTTTGACTGTTAAATCTGGCCTTTATTCATGCTCTGCACATTTTGGGTCAACGTCGTGGCAATCATTGTTAGCTTCAAATCCTCAATATTCACAATTCATGTATCAAATAGCTGCTGTGTTGAATCATGCTCGTATGGAATATGATCGAAGAAAACACACGTTTCAAGGGCTAGCAGCTGGTGATCCAAGATTGAATGGGATCAGGGCGAAGATTGTGGAGGGTGCCTTGGGGCTAGCTCAAGTTGATCTCAATCAAATTGGGATTGATCTCATAAGTGAGATTGAAGCAAGCTTGCCAGCGTATGGAACCTTGTTGGGATTACTAGAGAGTTATTTCTTATTCAATAAACATAGAAAAATTGGGTTTGTTATGATAGATCAAGAAGAATTTTTCAATGAATTCCATCAAGTGATAACAAAAGATGAAAGTGGACTAGTTAAAATAACAATTTCATTACCTGGAGAAGAAGTGAAAACATCATTTTTGTTTTTGTTGGTGTCGATGATTACCTGTATGACTTTCATAATGAATCAATCTTATGGGCCATCAACTTCATACAATCATTTATTACTTCATGAACATTCTGAAGTGCTTTGTTACTATTCAGCTATGCTAATGAAAAGCCTTCAACAATCACCTTCATCAATGATTGACTTCAAGGTGGGTGATTTCAAGTACATGTCACAAATGTTTCAAGGGATTGCACATTTTTTGATTTTTGAAAGATACACACCTCATGGAAGATTGATTGAGGTTGAAGATGCAACAATGGGGCATTCAATCTCCATTAAAAGAACATCTGGAATGATGATAGGCTCGGATTTTTACAATAGGATTGATGAGGTTTTCAAGCACAAGTCGCTAAACTATAGACGTGGTTTGAAAAGTGCATGGTTTTTTGCAATTTTTGTTGATTCATGTGAAGCTGTTGAAGTTGGTGTTTTACCTAAATTTAAACCTGAGGAGCTAAAGATAAAAGATGAAGATAAAAGTAAATACACTGAAGCTATTCTTTTGTTGAATGAAACAATAACTAAATATTTGAGAAAAGAACTGAAAGATTCAATGGAAGTTGTGGAACTGATTTCAAAAGAATTGGTGCCAAAGATCAAAGCATTTTTAAATAAAAATTTCCCGTCAATTGGTCAAGTTGTTGCATTATTGAAAACATTGGACTTGGAAGATACTTCTAATGTTGATACTTTTTTTGATCTTACAGAGTCATTTTTGGTTCAATTGTTATTTTTATCCTTGATTCAGGTGTTGTACAGTGTTTGTTTCAAAAGATTAGAAGAAAACCATAGATTTTCACCACTGCACAAACGTTTCAACTTATTGTCTTTGAAGTATTCATTATTGATGTTCTATTCAGTCCCTGCGTATTTGGAGTGTCATCAAAGAGTTTCAACCCATAAAAACAGTATTGTTTTCGGTGCTCTACCTGCGCTATTGGCTATTTTCCCTCATTTAAGATACTCTTTTAGAAGAGCTGCCTTGACTGCTGGTTTGAGAATCTTTGAATATTTCCCTGTTGATAAACGTACATTGTTCAGCAGTATTTATGAAAAACATGATAAACCTGATGATGAGATTTTGAAAGAAATTTTAGAAAAGGAAAATTTTCAACCATTCTTTTCTTTCCAAGACTTGGAAGATTTCCAAATTGATGAAGATCATGAAGCTTTGCTGAGTAAATTTTCAGTGTTGAACAATTATAGGTATTTGATTTTATCATTAGGTAAAGCTGTGATTGATTTACAAAATTGCTTGAGAAGTCAATATATCAACTTGAGCTTTATTAGATTAAATCCTTCATTTTTCAGAGTTGTGAAGACTTGCAGTATCTTTTTGAATGTTGCATACTCAGATATTCAAGAAGTTCCAACAAGTGTCAATCCATCCCAAGCCCAATACTCTCAAATGCAATACGTTGATAATACTACAGAACCAAAAGACAGAAATCCGAATGATAGAGCACATCTTTTCCCTGATCCTTTTGTTCCCCCAGAACCACAACCTGAACTAGATTTGAGAGGCTTCTTCAATACCCCGGGATTGTATCACCCTGGAAATGTCGATGAATTGTTGTCATTTGTTCCAAACGGTGGTGCCAACATGTACAGCTACCAGTGAGGCAACCTTTTTAACCTACTCTATTTACGTTTTATGACTCCCTTAAAATATATGATACGGTACATTAACATGTGTAATTCTGTAGCCGTTTCTATGGACGAGGTTCCCTGTCACAGCTCAGAATTCTATGCGGAGCTGGCATTCCCTGTTTATTTCTTTCTGGAGAAAGGTCTGAGACAGCCCACGCCAAATTCGCGAACCGACAAGCAATTTTTTTAACGAGGACAGTACCAAAAACAGCTAAATCTGCACTTCAACTAATCTTAACTAGACAATATAACCAGGGTTGGATATCCTGATCAATTATCCTCATCTTTCCCATTCAACCCTTCAAACAGTTGGAAAATGAAGGCTCCATCGTGCACTTCATGTCGGTTGAGGAGAAGGAAGTGTGACAAGCAAACGCCTATATGTGGATCATGTAAAGAGCTAGGAATACCTGCTGACTTGTGCACTTATAAAATCTTGAAGACTAACACCAAAGTGAAGGATTTGAGAACCATTCTTGATGATTCAAAATTGAAGAACCAAAAGCTCATCACGGAGAAACTTGTGCTGAAGAAAGCTTTAGAAGACAAGAAAAGAGAAATACGAGAACAGTGCACAGCAATCAAAAGAGAGACTGGTTCCGATAAACACGACCAATATGAAGTTAACCCAGCGAACGTTGGATCCGTACATCATATGAGTACGCCAACGAGCCAAATAAGTGAAGTGAGGTCTACTAGTCGAAGCCCTTTTGTTGTTTCTCGGAAGAAACCACACGGCGATTCAATTTCCTGGGCTTCGTTGATGTCTATGGAACCAAAGATGAAAGTTTTATTATCACAAATTGATCGTGTTATTAACGAGCAAAAAACTCAGCTTGAATCGTCGAAAAGAGAATTGAAAGATCCATTAAAGAAAGCTTCAAAGCTATCACATTTAAGAACAACGGGCATAGCTCATGCATTGGAACTTGACAATACTGATATTTGCGCGGACATACATGAATTGTTGGAGGAGATTCAAACACACTTACCTGAAAAAAAGACTTGGGATAGAGTTTTGGAATTGCAATTCCATATAGTTCCTCCTAAATATGTCGGTTTCTTACATCTTGATCATGATACTTATCAAGAAATTTTGAATCGGTCTGTTGAATTTGATAATCTTGGAAATCCTTCGTTAAATATTACATTACCTCAAGAAGCTGACAAGCTAAGGGATTTGGGATTCTTGATATCGTACCTCATATTTACAGCTTATCATACTACACAGGTTATTGGTGAAAGTTTCCCGATGAGTCCAGTTATGTGCTCCAGATATTCAGAGACTTTGTTATGGTATCATAGAATTATGAGCGTCAAATTGGGAAATTTGGAAGATGCTCAAATCACTCCAGAATACTTACAAGCCTTGATTTATAATGAAATATTCAATAGGTACACTCCACATGGAGAATATATCCCAAGAAGCTATGAAGATAATGCATTTTGTATTAGAAGATTGGTTAGTATTGGTCGTGTGTTGTATTTGAACCAAAATGTTGATCAAGTTTACATGAACAGGAGTGAGGCTTATAGAAGTAGTTTGAAATCAACTTGGAATTTTTTGGCGTTCTTTGATATTTTGGAATCATTGGACAATGGCTTTCCACCAAGCATTAAACCAAATGAACTTGTTAGATACCAAAATTTTTCTGACAGATACACAGAATCATTAATCGTGTTGAACAAAGTACTACATACATACATCAAACTACAATGCAAGGAATACAATGATGCAAAATTTATCCAATCTATTGAAAATGATTGCATTGGTGAGCTTCAAGAACTTTTAGCCACGGAATATCGTCCTTGGGACCAGGATTATCAGCTCTTTATGAGCTTTACATTTGAAGATAGCTCTCGGTCAAGAGAGTTTACTTACGAATCTGCGTCATTCAACATGAGATTCACTATCTATTCAACAATTCAAATTTTCTACTTTTTGTGTTTTGAAAAAGCTTCCAAGTCAGAAATATGCTCTTCAAAGCTTGCAAGAAGATTGGAAATCCTTAGTTTGAAATATTCATATCTGCTAGTGTTGTTGATCAATGCTTATTTTGAAATTTATGACAAGTTGATTACTCTACCCAAGAGCTCTGAAAATGGTGTCCTGGAAATGATGCTGGCTACTTTCCCACATTTGATTTTAGCGTTGAGAAAATTACAAGTTTGTGCGGGTGCCAAAATATTCAGAAGTATTCCATTGCGAAACGTTTCCGCTGTCAAAACATTTTTGAATGGTACTAAGATTGATGAAGAGGCATTTTTGAGAGAAGTGGGTGAGAAAAAGCAAAGCTACAAAGAACTCTTTACTATTGGGGAACTGTCCGATAGTAGTCTTGATAAAGATGATGACAAAATTGCTGCAAAGTATTCACCATTGATGGACTTCAAGTTTGTCATATATGTTGCTGGTGCTATAACAGGAGAGTTGGCGGAAAGAATGTTTTCTGAAAAATCAAGTTTGAGAATGGTTAAATTGAATCATGTTTTCTTTTATTTGTTGAAGCTATCCAGTTTTTTCATGAATTGCTCATTCTATTCAGACGGAACTCCAATTGAAAATCATAAAAATTACATCAAAGGACTTCATCGAATCAAGCCTCAAGATTCAACGTCTTTTAGTACTGAGTTCGACTTTCAAAGATTGTTTGAAGAGGCTATAAATACAAATTCAGAATCGTTTGATTTTAGTGGATTCTTCAATATTTCCAACGGGCCTTTCCAAAATAGTGATATTGATGAGTTTTTGTCAGGCTATCCTTCATTCCACAATGACTTTGGTGGTATATGATAGAATGAATGAATTGTCACACATTTGACCTCTGATGTATTTTGGCTATTGTAGGTTCATAATGACCCGTTTGGTTTTGGCAGCTCAAAAGTCAGCCGCGAACATTCCAAATGCCGAAACACCTTTTTTATAGCCGCAACTATCAAACGGTAAAATTTTAGCCTGAAAACTATTTAAAGGGTCCAAGACTACAAATCTATTTGCGAGGTTCAAATAAAGTATTGTATTAGCATTTAGGGGAGGAATGAAGCCAACAGCATGTACCGGCTGTAGGCTCAGAAGAAGAAAATGCAACAGAGAAAGTCCAATTTGTTCAAGTTGTAAAGAACTAAATATTCCACAAGAATTGTGTATTTATAGAGAATTGAACTCAAACACAAAAACATGCAGCAGTAAGATAAAGCTCAAAGAAGTACAGGGTGAAAGAAGAAAGCTTATTCGTCAAAAATTTGAACTCAAGAGAGTTGCCGAAATTCAACGAGATGTTCAGGCTAGATCTTATAGATATAGGTTTAATTCAAAAAAACGTTCAGCATATTCAAAAATACATGGGGATGAGTATCAGTCTGAGTCAAAATCAACTAGATCATTCATCAACAATTTAGATGGTGCCAGTTTAGTTCCAAAAAGTCTCGATTCAAAATCAAAGGTTGGATCCATTTCTTGGGGCTCACTGATGTCCGCTGAACCAAATATGAAGGTGGTACTATCCAAAATGGATCAAATCATCCAAAATCAAAGAGATCAATCTACACAAATAAAGACAAAATATGAAATTCCAGCCAGTGACCAAACGCTTCTCCTGTCAAAATTAAGATCAAAAGTACTGTCGTTGTCGTTGGAACTTGAGCCACCTGGTGATTATTCGTTGATTCAAGATTTGTTCAGAAATATTGAGAAGAACCTTCCAAAAGAACAAGTATTTAGAGCAGCTATACAGCACCAGTTTAATGTGTGTCCTTATGAATTTGTTCCTTGGGTTTCTCAAGATGAAGATGCCTATTTTCAGAAGCTAAAGAAGGTGATCAAGTTTGAAGAAGATGGTCAACCCAAAATAACCATCAATTTGCCAGGTGACGCTAGCTTGGTTCTGGATTTAGCATTTGTTATCTCATACTTGATCTTCCCAGCATATCACAGGTCGCAGCTCAATATGACTGAAAAGAATTTGAATCCATATTTATTTGTTGATTATTCAAAGATCTTGATGGATATCCATAGTCAACTGGTTACTCATAACTCCAGAGATCAATCGTCAATATTCCCCGATTTATCATTTGAAATGCTACAAGCCAAACAATACAGCAGCTTTTTTGATCGTTATACTCCGCAAGGGCGTCACAATGCAAAAGATCCTCTTGATAAGTTCAATAACTTGAGACAATTAATTAGTGTTGCGAGGATGTTAAACTTGAATCAAGATATTGATGTTTTTTATGCTGATAAATCCTCTGGATATAGAAGTTCAATGAAGACCATGTGGTACTTTTTAGTATTTGTTGATATAATGGAGTCTTTAGAAACAGGATTACCTCCAAAGATTGAGCCATCTGAGATTTTAAGATATGAAGATCATACAAATTTTGCTACAGAATCAATCATCACTATGAACAGAGTCCTCTACAAATACAACTCAATGGATCTAGATGATATTGAAGATCCTGATGAGTTCATATTCATTATTGAAAATGAGTTCATTGGTGATCTAATGACTTTGTTAGAGACAGAATATGGTTCAATAGTGGATGATCTGAACAAATTGAAAAGTTATGATTTTGATGATACATCTTTTGCCCCATCTTTCATGTTAAGTGCCAGTGTGCTTCCCATGAGGTTCAATATTTATTCGTTGATGCAGTCACTTTATTTCCTTTGCTTCAAGAAGATTGAATCGTTTGATAAGTTTTCTAAACGATCTCAAAAATTTAGCATCTTAAGTATGAAGTACTCATCACTCATCATCTATTTATCTGGTGAATTTTTTGCATTATATGATGGCTTACTGAGTCATCCAAACTGTTACGATTATGGAGTTTTGGAATCCGTTATTGCTTGTTTCCCACATCTTAGCCTTGCGGTAAGAAGAGTTTATATATGTGCTGGTGGTAGATTTTTCGAAGGGTTACCTATCAATAAAACATCTGCTATCAACAACTTACTACATGGAAAAAGCACAAATGAGAGTCAATTGTTGAAGGAGATACAGCTGAAGAAAGAATACCAAGTGTTGTTTTCAATCGAAGATCTCGAGGACCACAGCGTGGATAATAATGAGGAGGAGTTGTTTGGAAAATATTCGATGTTATTGAACCACAAGTACATGATATTCAGTTTCAGTCAAGTTATGAGAGGCATTTCTAACGGATTATTCAAAGAAAACTCCAACATGAAAATTGCAAAGTTCAATCATATTGTGTTTTATTTACTGAAACTTATGAGTTTCTTTTTGAATTCTTCATTCACAAGTGATGGTTCACCAATCGAAAAAGAAAACTTATTTATGGGGCTGGCTCGTCCTTCAAGTCCATCCAAAGTTGGACAATCAAATCAAGAAAATGAATTTGATTTTGGTGAACTTTTTGAGAGATCAATCAACACCTCTTCTAACCATTTTGATTTTGAAAGCTTTTTCAATATTTCACCTGGGTTATATCAATCAAGTGACATTGACCAGTTTTTGATGTCAGAATCTGGAACTTTAACCAACAACTTCAATGGCGAAGAGGACTATATAGACCCACTTAATCCATTTTAGAGAACTCATACGTCATGATTCATGAATATAGTACAATCGAAACTCCGGTCCGTAAAAAGTACCTCGTACACATAGTGTGTTGCTGTGGAAACCATGGAAGCGCACCTTTGCTGCCCCAACCGAGGCGAAAACCGCCAACAGCAAATTTACTTGAAGGGCTCAGGCACTATAGTGTAGAAGTGTTTGGTTAAGAAGCAAGATCCAACGAAGGTATCCCAAGGATCAGGAAAGTGGTTAGTTGAACTGATAGCAAAAAATACTTTGAATAATCATGAGGGTGGTTGCCTGCATTAGTTGCAGGCTAAGGAGAAGAAAATGTGATAGAGCTAAGCCTGTGTGTACAGGTTGTAAAGATCTTAATATCCCACAAGAGCTTTGTGTTTACAAAGATTTAAAAGCAAAAACGAAATCAAATGATCGTAAAGAGATACTGGACCAATATAAAAGTGATAATATGAAACTCAAGAACCAAAAATTTCGCCTGATGGAAGGAATCGAGTTGGCGTTTGTAGAAAAATCAAGACTTCTACGGGAAGAACTGGCGTCCAGCTCTGCTTTGAATAATGAGAGTAGCCCAGCTAATGTGATACTTCAAACTCAATATAAGAAATCTATTGAAAAAGACAGCAAGAAGAACGAACAAGATATCACAAACAACTTGCACTTTGGATCAATATCGTGGGGTTCGCTGATGACTTCAGAGCCAGATATGCAGGTTTTGTTAGAACAAATGGATTCAATAATCAAGCGTCAGAAGGTTCAACTAGATTCACTAAAGAAAAATTTTGAAGAGCCTGTCAATGAGAATTGCATTTTGTCCAAGGTGAAAGCCTATATAACCTCTGTTGCTTTAGGAATTGAAAAATTAGATGACTTCCAAATCTTTCAGCATTTATTCCATGATATTGAGAAAAACCTTCCAACCTATAAAGAACTAAAAAAGTTTCTAGACCATCAGTTCAGAATTTCACAAACAGATTATGTCGCTTTCTTTTCTGTTGATGAAGAAACATATTATGAAATCTTGCATCGTGTTCTTAAATTCGATGGAGAGGGAAAACCCACCATACAAATCAGCTTACCAGAACAATCATCACGGCTTATGGACTTGGCTTATGTTATTTCCTACCTCATCTATATTGCCTACCACAGGTCACAACTTATCCATGATAACCACAATGCCAACCACATGTTACTCTTGGAATATTCTGAGACCTTGCTACACTCGTATCGTCTTTTATGCAACGCATTCAAGTGTGATAACTCATTCTTACCAACACATACACCAGAAGAGCTCCATACAATGCTCTACATCACAACATTTGAAAGATATACACCACACGGAAGACACAAGTCTAATGAAAGTATTGACAATACCATGAATTCTAGAAATTTGACTTCAATTGCAAGAGTGTTACAATTGAATCAGAACATTGATATTGTCTATTCTGGCAGAAGTGAGAATTATAGGAAAAGTTTAAAATCTGCATGGTATCTGTTGGTGTTGGTAGACGTAATGGAATCTTTGGAGAGTGGACTTCCCCCAAAAATTAGACCTGATGAGATCTTGAGATATAAAGACCATTATAATGGATATATTGAGTCATTGATTGTTCTAAACAGAGTCCTTTACAAGTTTCATAAATATGATTTGGATTCAATGCAAAACACATATGAGTTTGTCAGAATCGTTGATGAGGAATTAGTTACAGATTTGAGAAGGCTCCTAAAGAGTGAGCTTCGTCCTGCCAGATATGACTTTGAATGTTTATTGGGTTTTGATTTTGATGATATATCCATGTCTGGTGAGTTCGTTAAGGAAACCGCTTGTTTTGCTATAAAATTTAATATTTTTTCACTTATTCAAACACTTTATTTTATATGTTTCAAGAAGTTGGAGATGATTGATAAAGAATCTGATGAGACTAAAAAATTCAATATTTTGAGTATGAAGTACTCAACATTGATTATCTCATTGATTGGTGAAGTATTCATTCTGTATGACAAATTGAGCTCACATCCCAACAGCTATGAATATGCAGTTCTGGAATCCATTATGGCCATTTTCCCCCATTTGAGTTTAGCTCTAAGGCGTGTTTATATTTGTGCTGGGGCAAGAATATTTGAGAAATTACCCATAAACAAACCATCAGCTGTCAAAAGGTTCTTGTATGCAAGACCTGCTAATGAAAATACCCTTTTGAAAGAGTTGCATTTGAAACAAGAGTATCAAATTGATTATAAAATTGAAGATTTAGCCGACTATGATGCTGACGAGGATATAAATGAGCTTTTTGCGAGGTTTTCGCCGTTGCTGGATTATAGATTTGTGATCTTTAACTTCAGTCAGGTATTGAAGAAGATATCAGAGAATCTGTTCAACGAAAAATCTAACATCAACTTTGTGAAACTGAACCACATTTTTTTCTATCTGCTGAAGTTGACTAGTTTCTTCCTCAATGCAACTTTTGTGGATGATGCTAAGGCTCTAGGCAACGCAACTTCATTTAAAGGTCTCCATGACACACCAAGAGCTAGTAGGTATTCTGATGAATCTGAATCTGAATCTGAGTTCAATTTCAAGGATCTTTTTGAAAAGGCAATCAATACAAAGTCAGAAAACTTTGATTTCAAGGAGTTTTTCAACAATACAAACGGAATCTATCAAACCACTGATATTGACGATTTCTTAACAACCTACCCAATGTCAGTTTTAGGAGGCTCGAATCAGGAATTTTGAGGTTATCATTGTGTATAAATCGCATCTAATTATGAAAGTATTAACGGAAATTTCCGTACTTGGTCGCTCTGCCAAAACGACACGGGTCGTAGAGAAGACTGATGACACCAAGAAAAATCGTTGACCGCTTTTAAAGCTGCTTAAGCCGTTCCCATCTGATTTGGTTGCACCCTAAACTTATATTTTTATCACAAAGACGAATTGGAATTTGTTCGGCTGATATTGTCACGGGTTGTATTCTCTGATTGTTGGGTTGAAGTTACATTGATCAATCTTTATATCAGTAAGGGGTTGAACGATCGAGTCAAATCTTATTTTTTACGCCTGATACAGCTCAAAACTACATACAGATTTGATGGTGGGCCAAACGCTGGATACAGAATCGAAAAAGCATATAGCATGTCTTGGTTGTCGTATTAGAAGAAGGAAGTGTGATGGTCTTAAGCCTATTTGTTCAGCATGTGTTGATTTGAACATTCCAGTCAGATTGTGCGTGTATCATGATGCTAGGATTGGTTATAAGGCCGATAAAGCTGAAAAGACTTTAGAAAAGATAAAGGAACAGAACCTGAAATTGAAGAAAGAACTACAAAAGCTGAAGAGATCTTCTTCGGGAAATCTAGTTTCAACTAGTTTTCCAACTAGACAGGCTCGAAAACGTCATCAAAATGATCCATATTTGTTGCATCTCCCAAACAAAGCACACAAAAAAAATCCATTAACTGCTACAACTGTGGAATCCTCAGGAAGTTTTGTTCATTATGGTCCAATTTCATGGTACGCTATAGCTTCTACCAATGAGACATTGAAAAATATATCAGGTTGGTTTGTCAATGTGATAAAAATGGAAAAGGAGAGGTATGATAGAACAAGGAGCTCCCAAAGACATTACGGTGAAGGAAACCCAAAACTCAAAGCTTTAACACAATCATTGGTTGAAACCTCATTGGATATAAGGCAACATGACACGCATTTGATCTTGCAACAATTGTTGGTTGAGATTAGCATGGATTTGCCGCCAAAAGACACACTGGACAAATTATTAGCATATTATTTCCACGTTAATAGTCAGCGTACAGTTGGGTTTGTGTATGTTGATGAAGGACAGTTTTATGAGCATTACAAAATATACTTACAATTTGATTCAAAAGGAACTACTTCACTCTTTTACAATGGTGATCAGGACTGTCTTTTATTTGTCATGCTGTTATTGGCTGCCTTAGCATATACCGGGTTTTTTGCAAGCAGAAGTATCATTGATAATGTACCAGACGTTCAAATAAACCATATACTCATGATTGAATATTTAGAGGCGTTGATAGCTGCCTCTGGTAGTCACAGGGTCCCTGGATCATCATCATTTATGCCATATTTATGCCCGGAATACCTTATAGTCCTGATCCACCTAGGTGTTTTCGAAAGATGTACACCACTGGGAAGAAGGTTACAAGGTCCTATGGGTATAGGTGATTCATTAGCTTCCAAACAGGCTATTTCGTGTGCAAAAGTTTTGAATTTGGATAAAGACATTGATCTCTATTACCCAGATAAGTCCGAAAATTACAAAAGAGGATTGAAATCAATATGGACGTGCTTGGTGTATTATGATTTGTCTGAAGCTTTAGATACAGGTATTGACTTGAAAATAAAGCCTGAAGATTTAGTCATGTATGAATATGATACATCCCCTTATGTTAGATCGCTGGTTGTTTTGAATAAGGTGTTGAACCAGTTTAACGAAAAAGCTGTTGAAATTTCAGGGTTGGAGCTAACAGATTATATTGAAAAACAACTGGTATCACAATTAGATAAATTTTTGTCAAATGACTTACCCTCAGGTGCTTCAGATCTTCAATATTTAAGATCTTTTGACTTTGATGATATAGCAGGCTCTTCAAAATATGTGTCTACGTTACAAATGGCTGCCATAAAGATGTTATTTTATTCACTTTCACAGTCACTATATCAGTTTTGTACCAAAATGGCTGAACAAAATAATGGTAACTGGAGAAGATATGAACTTTTGGCTATAAAAAAAGGTTCAACATTGATGCAATACTTGAAAGATACTATAGAGGCTGTTAGAAGATTGATCTTACATGATAATGCTAAATATTTTTCTTTGATTCCAACTCTTCAGATTGTGGGTAAACAAGTGACTTTCTCACTAAGAAGGTGTACTCTCTTCGGTGGACATTTGGCTTTGAGGAACTCTAACCAACGATATAATTACCAGGTATTGAATGAATTGGTGAATGATCCACAAAAATATGCAAAGTCACTGATGAAATCTACAGTCCCAAGTAAACGTTATGAAATTTTCTCATACAACATGCAAGATTTGGAAGATCTAGAGATTGAGAAAGACTTGAACTTGATGAAGCAAAAACTTAGTCACTTATTTGAAAGCAAGTTTTTGATTTTCAAACTATCAAGAATGATCCAAATGGTTGCAAAAGCATTGGATAATGACAAGTTCAATTTGAATTTCGTGAAATTGAATTACGTGTTCTTCTACTGCAGCAGTGCCAGTAATTTGTTTCTTTCATTGGCATACCCACCAGAGGATAACACAAAGCTAATGCTTATTCCAATCAATTCAGATCCTCAACATATTGATGGGTCTGCTGAAGACGTGCCAGCTCCAGAGTTCAATTTTAACGATCTTTTCAAGTCATGTATTGATACAACCTCAGATAATTTTGATTTCAAGTCATTTTTTACTGGTTCCACTGATCTTTATCAGAAGAATGAGTTTGATGAGTTCTTCCAATCCTTGGATGCTCCTGGGACAGACAGCTTGAATGATAAGCTTCCAGATTTTTAGTTATTAAGGACAGTATTTGTTTAACTGTATTGGGCGTTGTAAGTGCCCTGTGTAGACTTTATCATCTCCTTCTAGAGCTAGGCAGAACCCCCTTTAACATCTCCTCCTGGCGATTTTCTTGGCTCCTTCTGGACCCTATGCCGCCGGAAGCGTGCTTAGGCTGAGTGAATCCCCGTCAGAGGCTACAGACCGTAGTTGCGCACGCCCTGTTCGTAAACTTAATCGGATATCATTCTCCACCAAGAGCTCTGGAAAAAAAAAATTGTGAACAACAATATTGTCAGCAACGCCCAAAACAAAGGAGTGGTTTGTTTCAGAGTCTGTGCCCCAGTTACTGTTCCATCTGCTACAAGTCATATTCTTCTCAAGGCAAGAATTTCGCTTAGCCCTGTTTCAAAGAGGGTGTCAAAAGCCGAAACCAGTTTAAGTTCTATGCATTAATTTTAAAAGGATCAAAACATCAAGACAACATCCACATATTTCATCAATCCTGTGACCAACACACATCAATAATGCAGACGCCAAACTTCCAGATAGTGGAGAAAAAGGAGAGAAAGCATACTGCGTGTCTAGGCTGTCGAATTCGGAGACGTAAATGTGATAATGTGAAGCCCATTTGCTCTGGTTGTCAAGAAATCAATATTCCAGCTGATCTATGTCTCTATCATGGTGCAAGAGTTGGATTCAAAGTCAATGGTTCTAAAAAGACATTGGAGAAACTAAGAGACAAGAAAACTCAATTACTCAAAGAGCAAGCTGCATTAACAAGGGTTGGTCAAAGGAGAAGCCAATATCAAGGTTATGAAGCTTATTACCTTCCGTCATATCATAATAATCAATTCAAGAAAAACCCACTAATGTGTACGATGGGTGATGTTTCGGGAACATTGACTCATTATGGTCCAATATCTTGGTTTGCTTTGATCTCAGTTCAAGAACCTTTGAAAAAGCTATCAACTTGGTTCATCAATGTTATGAAGTTTGAGAAAGATCGGTATAACAAGTCTAAATTCGAGAAAAAAGTTGAAGAAGATAATGTCTTGAGGACACTCAACAAACTCTTAATTGAATTCTCATTGGGATGTATGGAAATACCTGATAAATATTCACTCTTGAATCAAATCTTATCAGTCATTGTATCAAAATTACCAATTCAATCAGTTTCGGAAGAACTTTTAAAGTTTTATTTCCATTTAAATCAACAAAGAGCTGTCGGATTTGTTTATTTGGATAAGGATTCATTTTATGAAAAGCTTGAAAAATACATCAGTTTTGATGATAAAGGAAAAGCACATTTGACAATGAGTCTCCCCAAGGATCAAGATGGTTTATCTTTCATTATGCTCTATTTATCTATGCTCACATATCAAGCATTCTTTGCAAGCACTTTAAATACATCTTCATACCCACAAGTTAATCATTTACAGATGTTGGAGTATCTGGAAACGTTGCTATTAGCTTCAGAAGTTTTACAAAGTGATGAATCATTTGGAATATCACCTTTTTTAGACCCAGAAACCTTGTTGGCCATTATTCACGTTTGTGTTTTCCAAAGATGCACTCCACATGGAAATATTAGTCGTGGTATTATTGGTGGTAATGATGTTCTTATAGTGAGGCAATTGATTGTGTATGCAAGAATCTTGAGACTCGATGAAGATATTGATGTGGCTTACCAAACAAAGACTCCTGAGTATAGGAAAAGTTTGAAATCCATTTGGTATTGTTTGATGTATTTTGATATTTCTGAGGGGTTGGAAACTGGAATTCCCTTAAAGATAAAACCAAAAGAGCTAGAAAGGTACAAAAATGAAAACCTATACATTAGGTCCATGATAGTTATCAATGATGTATTGAACCAGTTTAATGATAATGTTTTAATGGTGGACAAACTGAAACTTATAGAATGGATACAAAACACACTGGCACCTCAACTTGACAACTTTTTGAAAAAAAAGTTTCCGTCTGCTGAAGAACATATTGAATATTTGGAAAAGTTTGACTTTGACAATATAAATGATTCGCACAAATACGTTTGGCATTTGCAAATGGCGGCAATAAGAATCCTGATATATTCAACGTCGGCTTCTTTTTATCACTTCTGTGCCACAGTCACAGATCAAATTGGTGTTGAAAGTAAAAAGTTCAGATATATTGCAATGAAAAGAATGGGGGCACTTGTGGTTTTCATTAGAAATGTTCTGAATGCTGTTAAAATTTTGAGTGAGCACAAAAATAGTTCCTATTTTTCACTTGTTTCTTCACTTTTGGTTATTTCAAGACAAATGACATTTGCATTGAGAAGAGTATCAATTTATATAGGTGGAATGGTTGTGAGAAACTATGACCAACAATACAGCCTCCAATTTTTGAGCACTCTGATGAATGATTCAGATAGATATGCAAAAACTCTTCTTGACACATTGATTAAAACATCTGATTACCATTCATTTTCATTTTCACTGGATTCACTTGAAAATTTTGAAATTGAAAAAAACTTTGATGAATTGGATAAATATTACTTTAGGTTGGATGACTATAAATTCCTTGCTTTTGAAAACTGCAGAATTTTACAACAGATGATGAAATCATTGGAAAACAAGAAATACAACTTGAACTTTCTAAGATTAGATTACATCTTCTTCTATGGATTAACTGCAAGCAATTTGTTTTTGGCCCTTGCGTTTTCCTCAGATGAAATAAAAGACAATGCAAAAGTGGCAGGCAAAATACCGGACGCTCATGACGATAACGGTAATAATATTGAAACAGAACACCAAACTGAAATAAGTGACGCCAGTCGTAACAACGATTTTGATTTCAATGACCTGTTTGAGCGTGCCATAGATACCAATTCCGAGAGATTTGATTTCAAGAGCTTTTTCACCACTTCGAATGATCTTTACCAACATGAAGATATTGAACAATTCCTTGAAAACTTGACAATGCCACTATCTGATTACTATAGCAATAATTCTCCATATTTCTGAACTTGGAATGTTTTTGATGAATTGATGACAACGTATGGAGATGTTCTGTTTTAAGTGTTCATTCCAGGTACTGAAATAATATTTAATTCAATGTCCCCACTTCTCCAATCGCTTGTAGAAACTATTTTGTCAAATATGGCTTGTTTTGTAGTCAACTGCTTCAACGTTGGTAAATTCAAAACCAAGTCAATGTTGTTTGAAATTAATCTACCAAATTGGTTGAAATACCCGATGTCCAACACTTCTAAGTCTGGGAAGAACTCTTGAGAAAATTTATATTTTTGAGGATCAGGTAAAACTTTTAAGTGAATGTATAATGACTTTAACCCTTTATAAGAAATACCACTGTTGAACAATACCTGGTTGAAAATTTGCAGGTTTTTAACATTCAACAATCTCAAATTTGGGGCATCAAGTTTGAAAGGGACTGGTGTGAATTCATCTGTGCTTGCATTGAGAGCACCTAGCTTCACTTCTTGAAGTTTTGGAAAGTGTATCTGCTCAAGTTTTGGAAACGAGGAACAATTGCTGCTATAGATACACATCACTGTTGTGTTGCTTATATCTAAATGTCTTAAAATATAAGTTGGTGCATCAGAAACATTCGAAGCTGAAATATAAAGCCTTTCTAATTTGGGTGTCTGAATATTCTCCATGTGAATTGTTGATCTAAAGTTTCTTTCTGTTGAACCACTTATAGTTATATCAAATGTTTTCAAACTTGGTAAAAATAAATCAGATATTGAGATGGAGTTTCCAGATACCTTAAAAGTAACCAAGCTTCTAAGAGAAACAAGTCTTGTTTCCGCAACATTTAAAGCTAAATTCCCAGTGAAGACAGAGTCTAAGTGTAGCTTTTCCAATTTTTTAAACCTTTCAAATACTCTCAAGTCCATTCCACTTTCAATTCCCAACCCGGTCAAGACCTCTAAGTTTGGTATGCTTGAATAATGTAAAAAATAAAATAAAGTGGGTAGTCTAGGTAATCTGTCATTAACGTTGGTTATTCCGCTGAGAACCTTCAAGCTTGGGGACATTATTTTAAAATTGTACCTTGGACTAGCGTAGACGTAAAGCTGTGGTAAATATTCAACATTATCCATATAATATGCATTACTCATCAGCATCATTGACTCATTTCTTCCAACCAAACCTTCTGGAGCTGACACATTCAATGCTTTATCTGAATCATAAGCAAAGATGGTCCTGGACACTTGGCTAAGTTTTTCAGGGACAAAACTTCTTGGATCAAAAATTATGGATTTGGAAATAAGAGCAGCACTTTGGTTCATAATAACAACATCAATCTTTTGAGAAACTTTTGGTTTATAGTCAGCAATCAAACAAATATAACTTTCCATCAGTTGTGTCAAGTTCATACCAAAAAATTCAAACACGAAATATTGATGTGATCTAATAGAGCTTTTCAGTTCAGAGTGCACCAGAGTTTGAGCATCAAGTTTAATCTGGACATGATCTTTCAAGATTGATTTGAATAAAGGTGAAGGGCGAGGCGAATCACTAAGCACCAAAACAATGGACTTTACCAAACTTTGAAACCTTTTGCATACTCTTGCTAACCGAAGATATTCAAACAAATCATCAAGCTGACCAACAATCTGTAGCTGTAATTCAATGGGGAGATCCAGTATATTCATGACTTTGAGATCCTAAGCGGTTATCTGATCAGACAAAACACAATGAAAGTTGAAGTGAAGTGAAGTGAAGTGAATTGGAATGATGAAACCCAGAATCCTATCAATATTTCGCGAAACCAATCCTCTTTAGCTGCATAACTGACAACAATGATATGATGCACAAAAGCTGACTTCTGGTGAGTGATTTTGGTTCTTGGATGCTTCTTCTGATGATTGGAGTTTGCTGAGGTGAAGGTGGGAGTTGGGATGGTTTCTGTAACATCCAGCTGTTCTTAAATACACAAAGCCTCAACGGTCTTCCACAAGAACACGAAACCACAAAGACGAAGAAATTAAAGTCGTTGTCACGACAACACTTAAGTATGTGGTAATGGGCCACAACTTTTTTTTCCATAGCCATCGATGATAATTAAGCTGTTCGAAATGTTCAACAACTTGATTCATCTCTGAGATTAACAAATTGAGGTAAAAACAATGTCTAGTGTTGCAATCAGCTATGAATTGAGAACCATCAAATTGAAGGCAACTCCAGGTACTCCAGTTAGTGAGCTTCTTGAGAAAGCCGCTGCTCATTTCAAATTGGATTCCGCCACCACTGGTTTATTGTAAGCATCCACATATCTTTTAGCAGGATTTTTAGCTCATATACTAACAATTGACCAGTCACAACAACTCAGAGTTATCTACCTCACTACCTTTCAGACTTTTGAATTTACCAAGCGGGGCGAAATTGACATTGAAGGCAACAAAGACCAAAAAAGCTTCAGAAATCAATATCAAGGTTCAGTTCATCAATAGTACATTTGAGAAGAATGCCGTTGTCAAGAAGGTTGGTAATCAACTTACTCTAGGACAATTGGTTCAAGAGATAGAAAAAGACATTTTGAGTCCAATCTTGAGCACTAGTAAGAACTTGAAATTTCAAGGTATGACTAAAGTTGTTACTCAAGAAGACTTTGGCAATGTTACTTTGGCTCAATTTGGTGCTGAAAACAATGCTTCTATAAGATTGATTTTTGAGGTGTCCAATAAAGTCACAAAACCTGAAAATAAGCCAACAGATGAAGCTGCTTTTATCCATGAGAAGGCTAAAGAGCCAGAGAAAGAAAGAAATGTTTCAAGCACTATACTGGAAGAAAAACCAACGCAGGACGTACCTGATATAGAATCACAAGATAACACAGCTCAAGACAAACAGGATACTCCTGTGGCTTTGAAACCAGATGATGATGATGTTAACGCTATGGAAGTAGATGAACCTCAACAACAATCACAAAACAAAGGAGCAGCTACAGAAGAAATTCAAAAGCATCTTTATGTTTATAAAGCTCCAGAGAAGCCTATTGAAACATACGAGCCACAAGAAGAAGATTATGATCTAACAGTCTCACATGCTCGCCAATATCAAAGTATTTTATCACAACGTGCACATGAATCATACAAATCTAAGAGACTTCGTCAAGAAGCAAATAAGAAGAAAATCACAAACATTGAGATAAGAATAAGGTTTCCAGATGAGAGCAGTTTGCAGGTCAATTTCACACCATTGGAAACGAATAAAGATCTATACAACCTGGTTGCCAGTACATTAGTCGACACCTCATCTTTCGTATTATCAATTCCATATCCATTGAAAGACATATCAAATGATGAAACTAAGTTAACTGAAAGTTTTGAATCAAGAAATCTGTTATTGTTCAAAAGTGATAAAACTTCTGGTCCTTTCTTAAAGGATGAATACCTGGACAAGGCAAAAGACTTGAAGGAGGCAGAAGATGTGAAACTAGATTTAGAAAGACAGCTTATGAAAGATGACAATGATGAAGATAACATTGACGACTCCAAAATTCAAAACGGCCAAATTCCTAAGAAAACAGAATCTTCATCCTTCAAATCCAAAACACCTGCTTCCGAACAGAAAGAAGGTTCAAAAGTTCCAAAGTGGCTAAAGCTGGGGAAAAAATAAGCTACAACGAAAATGTTATACAATGTTCAATAATAGTATATAAAAATGGGTATTCAGGAAATAGAATAAGAGTTACTTCCTTTTTTTGCACATCAGACGAAGTTTGGCAAATGCCTAATGTTTTGTTTTACTGAATATAAGTACAATCAATCCAGTTCAACCACCGAAAACAGTTGAAAAGATGTCTTTAACTTCAGTACTGTTGTAACCTGCCGCCAATGAGACTTGTAATAATATTCTCGATTTGACTGGATCCAAGATACCACCAGCAATTGTGACATTTGAAAACAAATCATCTGGACTAACAGTACTGCCAGGTTGATCGTTTGATAAAACAACTGGGACACTTTGAGCCAAACCTTCAATGGCTTTTTCAACATCCTTTGAAAATGAATCTGTTGATTGGGAAGAGCCTAAAACGACACCATCAATAGATGATTCACCCAAAGCTGAAATAATTCCAGAGCTAAATCCTTGATAGTTTTGTAAAACAACAACATCTGGTAGACTATCAACTTCATCCAAAGTGAAATCCAAGTCAGAAGTTAATAAATCACTTTCATCATAATACCATTGGACTTTACCTTCATAGATATTTCCAATCAAACCTTGTGGGTTTGAGGTAATAGCATCAATGGAATCAAAGTTGATTCTCTTCGCATAGAAGCCACTTGCAATACGCTTCTGAGTAACCACTAAAGTCCCACGATTAGCAGCCAAGTCTGAAGCAGCGACTAAAACAGAGTCGTATAAGTTTGAAGCACCTTCAGTGAGCAAGTTTGAGATAGAAACATCTTTAGTCAAAACAATTGGCTTTGATGAGTTAACAACCAAATCTAAAAAGAATGCAGTATCCTCTAAATATTGACTATCTTGAACAATAACAGCACCATCAAATTCATCACTTGAAAGGTCATCATTAACTTTATTATACAAATCAATCAAGTAAGTTGAGTTCAAGTCAGCACTTGAAACATTGGCAATTTCTTCATAGGATAGAGTAGCAACATTATCGAGACCAGCACTCTCTAATAGAGAGCCAATACCGATACCTGATGTGCCAGATGATAATTTAGAAGCTAACAATTTAACAGCAGTGGCATTCAAATTTCCCTTTGGACTTTGACCAGCAATGTTTAAAGTGGACAAAATTTCTGAAACTGTTAAATTAACTGGGTAATTCAAGCTTGAAAGACTTGTAGCATTTGTATCGTTACCAAATAAAGTGGTGAATTCAGTTGAAAAAGAGTAAACTTTGATATTTGGTAAATAAGTTTCATCTGCAGCAGAAGAATTGGTATGATTACCTCCTCCAATGGCTGTTGAGTTAGTGCCGTTTGAGCCACCAGCTATTGATGAGTTGGTACCATTTGAGCCTCCAAATCCTGAAGCATTAGTTGAATTGAGAGCTCTTAAAACTGAAAATGCTGGTAGACTGGATTCAGCTTCACGGCGATAAAAGTACTTCAATATATCAATTGGAACAGCGTTAACGTTTGTGATCACAACAGTGGATACTAAAAATAATTCTAAAAACTTCATGATCTCTTTCAATTTGTCCTTATTGAGAAATAATTTAAATTGAATGCACTAACATATCGAGAACTTTGACCTCCTTATATATCATATTCACCAAAACTTCCTTGAGATATTTAAATTGGAACTAGAGAAACTTTTGACGCATGTTTATGATTTAGGCACTGTTTTGAAATTGTCAGATGTTGACATTTGTCAAAAAATGTATGTAATTTGTCCAATATGGCTCGAAGATATTTCAAACAGTCTTTTCAACACCCACCCGATCCTTCCTTGGGATAGAATCTAAACAGCACCCCTGAATTGAGTATGGTCATATCATTGATGAATGGTGAAACTCGAAAGGAACCTCGAGCCTGTTGGGATACACCTGTTCAGTGTTCAACAGGTACATCTCCACTGCTTCAGTAGATAGTTTGTTTTCTCTGTGCAAAGCCTATGAAAGACATTCAAGAAAAATCAGTCTTCGAGATCTCAATCTTGAGTCGACAATTTGGGAATCTCATGTTCCCCAAAACGGAATCGTTATGAGATGCATTAGTACTACGCATTCGGGATACCCGTGAACTGGGAGTTCATGGGTCATGGTACAATTTAAAATCTTCTAGAATTAATGATTTCTCAATTAGTTGAGCTTTGAAATCGTAATAGAGAATGAACATCGCGACATCTAGCAAGCTCTAGAGTTTCGACATTATCCATATATTCAATCAATCAAGGACCTCCAATCCTTGAAGCAACAAACTATGAAAGCAGTTAAGATATACGATATTGAGCTTGCTTTTTTACGTCTACTTTCTGACGAACAATAGGCAAGCCGTGATACCATTCTCGTGATTAGCTGAAAGAAGATTGAAAGAAGCCTGGTCACTACAGAAAGGAGAAAACATAGCTGCGTCTTGATTTTACAAAGATAATAGTTAAGCAAATTGATGAAGTTGAAGTAGCTTCAGTGAACACTGAACAGTGAACAACGAAGAGCTGTTGGCGTTGATACGGCGCGGGTTTAAGTAAATCCGACATTTGCGGTATGAAACAAAATAGTACAAGTGTACTGAACAAAATTGGAATCTTCTTAACTACAATGATGTTATTGGTAACTGCTCTATAAAATCATACAGGCCATTCCTCAATCACTTGATAATGTATACTCCTATGATTATAGCTTGTTCATGATCTATGCCTTTCGGCTCTGGTGCTATTGACACGATATCTGCACCCAAAGTTGGCGCGGCCGGCGCCTACGACCGCAACAACGACATATACTAGCACTAACATAGTCTCAATGTTCATAAGTGGCTAAATATTCATTTTCTGATAACCCTATTCAAATAATTAAAAACAAAAATTTAATTAGAACAATTATGAAAAATTATGCAAAATCGAGATATTTTACGTACCAATGATAGTCCTCATTAAATTTAAAAATTAATAAAAAACTTTTTCAAAAACTTTTTTTACTCTAATTGAGCAAATAAACTAAAGGGAAATGACTTAACTTAGAGGTAAACTAACCAGAAAAAAATCCAACATATTTTTCTTACCGTTTTGTAGAGCAACGAAAGATTTTAGCAAAGGTCACATGGTGATCACGTGCCAGTCACATGATATATCTGAGAAACAGGGTAAATAACGCGTTGAAAATTAATTCCTCCTTATAACCTTGGGAATGTTCAACCTTCAAACTTCATGAACACTTCTTCTTCTCAGAGCTTGATGCTTCCCATCATAAATAAGATCGTTAACAAATCATTCAATTTGTTTCATTCCATTGGACCTTATGCTTTCCTAGATATAATACCAAAAACTATAAATGAAGAAATAGAGTATCAACATAACTCCCATGAGGGTGAACCACATTTCTACTTATGCAGAGCTTTACAACTAAGGATTTAATAGAGCAGTGCAGCCTTTACAATCAAGACATTCAAATACACGTCTCAATCAATAGTGTTACAGAAAGAGTTAAGAGGAACAGGTTATTTCCCTGATCCTCAAAACCCATCCAAAACCGCCCAAAATTCGCGGAAACCAGGGAAAATTCGCGGAAAACCAGGCAAAATCCAGTCAATGGCTTTGAAAAATCCATCCAAGGGTCCATGAAAACCCCTGTTTTTGAAAATCCCGGAGCAAATTTGGTGGTGAATGGTTATTTTAAAAGTGGGTTATGTATCAAAATTGCCAGAATTTTACACTCAAGGTGTCTGATTTGCCAGAAATGAAGTTGTTGAGATTCGAATAAGCAGAATATGGTGGTGTGGTGATACATGGGTGGGTTGTGAATCCGATAAAATAAACACTGCAGCTCCTCAGACGATCTCCCATGTGCAAACTGCTACTGATTTGGAATCTACAAGTGCAAATACAACTTTGGCCCTTGTTATTGCTGCCCTAGTGTTACTTTTTGGAATGTTGTGATACAAAGTTTGAAACCAGGGAAGTGGTGTTTGTAAG